TATATATATATATATATATATATATATATATATATATATTGCCTTAATATTATGTCTCCTGTCGACTTCAGAGAAGTCTTGGGGCGCTACATTGGTGGCAGTTGAAAGAAATCTCTATCTTAAAGGATGATTGTTCTGATTTCTATTGCTTAATGCAGAAGTACATAGGCTGCAGATGTGAGAATCGGTGACGACCCTTAACCGAAGAGCTGAAAAATGGCGTCTGCTCCTAGCAATTTCCTTAGTCCCGTGATCTGCAGGAAAGCTATTAATAAATAAACCGACACTGAGAGTGAACCATTGTGCAATCGTTTTCCCACGAAGCTGTCTGCCTTACTTGAATGAAAATGTCAACTATGTGAATACGCGATACCTCCACCACCTCTCCCGCTAGCTGGAGAGAACCCAAGTAGACAGATATAGCTTGGCAGTACTAAAGTGAAAAATTAATAGCAAGGAGGAAAAGACTTTAAGCAATTTCCCCACAAAACTACGAGATGGTCAGCACATTTCTTCATTTCTTAATACAGTTTCCCCACAGAACGAAAATCCAGGTTCACTGGAATTGCCAAGGTGGTTCAGTGACTGTGAGGTCAAGTGGCATGGAAATTCTATGACTGTGCAGATGATTCGTGGGTGTTTTTCCTTACAGCACAGACTACGTCTGGCGTGGAGGTTCGACCACAGAGAGCGTCAAGGACGACACTGAAAAGACTAGAGAGGCTTTGTAATACGTTGGCTGATTGTTTAAATCTCGGCGTGGTAAAGGTGCCACATAGGTGCTCTGCCACTTTACATTTGTCTGGTGGGTTGGCCTCCAGGGCATGTCAGCAGCCCCAGCCCTACCGCATGTCGAATATGAATGTTCTGTCTGCTTGTTATGTCGTCCTTCTTTTTTGGAGAATTCTCGGGGCTATACAGTGATAATTATTCAAACGCCTTAAAATGCGTATTTTAAAATTTTTTTCCAACTTTCAATTTAAAGTTTGCGAAAACCTCACGAAGGTCACTATACCTTATTTTCCTATATATGTAAAAGAGGTATGAAATTATTTCATTTTCATTTTTTAAAGGATTTTGTACAAAGAAACATCTTCCACCACAAGCAAATGCGCTGAAAATTTTGAAAGAACCATTTTTTTACCTTTTTAAATCCAACGTTTTAGCTGCGCAGTTCGTTTCCAATTCTTTATCCGACTCAGGGATAAATCCTCAATGCATTCTACGCTTAAACAGGCGGAGTGCTGTCTCTGGTTGTCAGTGCTATCACAAAGGGAAACGTGTTTTCAAACACGCTGGCCAGTTACTACGCACTTTGCCCCTTTTGTTCCAAACATTATGCCCTATTAATGAGCATCTCAGTTGGAAGTGCTGCATTGGATTACAAACTTTAATACCTACTTGCATCCTTCGAGTCCCGAAATCACTGTTTAAGACTCTAGTCAAATTATTCCAATGAAAGGGACTCTGAAACTTAAGTTTGCCTTTTGCCATTTTAATCAGTAGGTTGAAAGCTCAACTTCAAATCTGAAAAGCAGAAATCATCAAATCCATGTGAGATACACTGCCACCAAATACAACTTCTCATGCATAGTATTAACGCAATTTTTGTGAGTGATTTTTTCCTTAACGCAAAGCTATTTGCAACAATAGAAACTAGCAGCTTAACGTCTTGATAAGTTCTTTTAGCGCCATTATTTTCAATTTAGTCAGATTTTATGATGGAATGATATGACTCGACGTATGCTTATTTGTCATAAGTAGGCAATTCTGCTTTCATTTTAATTTGCCATTCAACTTATTTGCTAAATCAAATTCAGGCAACGCACTCAAAGTGGGCCAAAAGGCAGGTCTTTCGTTTGCCGAAAATCGTATTCATGCAAGTGGTGCCAATTTGCTAGGTACTTCTGCCCTCCCCATGACAAAGCCACAAGTTGTCTGATTTTTTGCAATAGTCTCAATAAATTCTTGGCGTAAGGGTTTAAAATCTCATGAGGCCGCTGTAACTTAAGTGTGGGTTTTATTTAAAACATCACAACATATACAAGCAAATCCATTATCGCATCTAGTGATTTCAGATGAAGTCATCGCAGGATCTGAATCAAATCAAAAAGTCGTTTATCCAACACCCACATATTGCTCTTGATACCTTTTTATTCTTTGGAAAAGTCTTCCAGCCATTCTTTATTCTTGTCATTTACAGATGGTTAATTAAATGTTTATTTTATTTCTTTCGATTGTAGAAGACTAGTTATTAATTAAACATTGTTTCTTAGTGTGACATCTTAGAACTTCACTAATGAAATATTAGGCTATGGGCTTTTAAGTAGTGTGTTTAATTACCTCTGAACTTAACCAGTTAAAGGATGTTCAAAGGAAAAAATGTCTGATTTGACTCACCTTAATACCTTAATATGGTCGAAGGCCATTGAAATTCCCACTAAAAAGATATTAATACCTTAGTTAGTGCGCAAAATATGTGGTTTCATAAAAGATTAGTATCTCGACCCGATATCGTAAGCATTCAAGTTGCAGAGGCTTGTGGTTTTCAAAGGTAGATGAATTCGAATAGTGGATACATGGATGACTTAGAAAGCATCTTCTGTCTCACCAGATCCATTTAATTTCCCCCACTTTTCTTCTATTATTAAGCAGTATTGTCAAGACCTTTAAACTGCAATAAAGTGTAAAAAGCTCCTCTTACCCCGGACCGTAGTTACAGACCACGTAGACTGCATCAAACCCGTGGAAGTTGCATCTGCTTACCCCACAGCCGACGTGCGTGGTGTTCGCCCATACGAGCTGAAGCGTGCAGCAAGAGGATTAGCAAAGGCTAATGGTCATTACCACTTGACACAGGATGACACCCTTATGCAGCCTTGGTGGCGCATTTCTCGGTTTGATAATATAGTAGTTTCTTATCATGAAAACAAAACCTATCAGTGGGTGGATTTTTGTCATTTAGAGTTCATGAAGTCGCATTCAAAGGAAGAGATTTACCGCCCATAATGAAATGTACAGGTGTGCGTTTATCTACGCGAGTACTTCTGTCGCTGCAGATTGTAGTTCTATTCGGCGGCATGGCTTTTAAGACATGCTAGTACCCCCCAGCCCCTCTGTGGCTTGTGGCGACTTCAGCGAAGAGTTGGTATGCTACTCTAGACAGGAATGTATTGCCTCTTTTGAATCTCTGGGTGTAAGATTTTGTCTTACTAGGGCCAGGATACAAAAGAATGAAACATACCTGTGTATAGTGTCCGCAGATACCACTGCAATAGTTGGAACGGTAGTTGTAGTCCTTGTATTCGTTGAACCACATTTCGACATTCCTTTAGAAAAATGCTGTACAGTTTGTAGTTTATCGTTTGATTTCAAAGGTAGAAGACTGCTTCAGTAGGCTACCGATTAGGACAGGAAATATTAAATGTTCCTGCAACAGTTTCACTCACTCGGCTACGCTGGACGAGTAAGCAATGTTCTGTCCCACCCAGTCCCACTTAGCCGTTCTACGTGCTTCGTTGCTGTCGTGAGCGAATTGACAGGTATCAGCATGTCTCTGGGCCGAAGCCTCCAACTCTGCACTCCATTGCTAAAAAGTGAGAGAAGCGTAAACTGACTCCTGATTAACAACCTTTTTAGGATTTTAATGCATGCTCATAAAGGGGTAAATTAATCTGACTGAAAGGCGTCCTATTTACCATTTGAAATCGTTTGTACCTTAATAATTATTCAACCTGCACTTAGCTGGTACATATGAGACAATGGTGAGAAAAGAAACACACGAGATCGTGGATTTTTGAGGAGGATGGCTGCCCAGGCACTTGGCCCCTAGCAACCCGTCGACGGTAGTCGTTTTGAAGGTCAAGCAGTTCTCTCTTTTCCTTCGATAGACTAGCCGGTTTAGCTTCCTGTGCGTCTCCTTCGTCAATACCTCCAGTGAAGTTGATGAAGAAGGAGCCGTCATCGTCCAGATCAGGGCACTTGCAGCATTCGTGACTCCACCAGGCATGTGCATGATAGGTTGAAAGGAGGTTGAGCAGGAGGAAATTAGCGACATGCATTTTCCCTTCGACACCTTTGGGTCTCGATCAGAGCCATAACCAAAAATGCAGACATTTTATACCCTGACGGACGATTTCCCATTGGCCCACAAGGAGCGCACACGTGGACGAACGCACAGATAGGATTCTATTTCAAACTGAAACATAACGACGCCACCAATAATAGTTCTTTCAGATAACTTCTGACATATATAACAGTTAAGTTAGGTCATCTTTAATGAATCTGAGGAATTTCGTATTAAACGCGTTTTCTAGAAATGTGTAATTTAGTAGCCAGTTTGCCAGGTGATAAATAATTTAATTGATTGCTGTAAATGTATCAAAAAACCTTCATTACTCATCATTTTGGGTCTTCCTTAAGACTAATGGGAGGAATACCGAAACGGCAAGACTAGTAGTGAGGTTTTTTTACAAGGCCTACTTGTTACTGCTACTGTAACCTTGAATGAGGGAAAGAGCCTATCGACTCATATGGTTCGTGGAATACAGACTGAAAGCCTGGTATCATGCATCTATCGAATATTCTCAAGAGCTCCAGGTCGCTTTTCCTAAGAAGTCATTTTAGCAACGATTGCTTCCTCAGTGTCTATTGTAAAATTGTAGGAACACGCAGTACTCCATCCCAGTATATAGATTTGCCCACTTGAATTGGTAAAATAAATGCGTGGGTATTTGTCTTAGAACCTACTTCCAAAAGTCGCATTCACGAGAACAAGACCATCAGACAAAGGCGAGTCAAACTATTCTGAAAAGTTCCATTCTAACTCATACAAACATAAAATAAATTAATAGGTTCTTTGCCATACTCCATAACGGACTTACAAGTTGATTCGCTTTAGCTGGATGGGAGTCTCGAGTAAGTGAGTGATCAATCCAGCAATGCAATGATACCATCCGATCGTGAGTTAAACCGATGTTAAGATATCCATAGGACAGGCAATCATCTTTTCCACTTAAGGTATAAAATCTTGATGATTTTATACGGCTGCCATTATAATTAGACAATGTAGCATCACTTCACTTACTAACGTGAATGAAATCGTGCCTCAAGGTAAAAGGCTTTCACCAGTGAATCGCTGTCAGTCAAATTAAGTGTTACTTCTCAGACCACGCAATCTAGCTTGATTTAAAGTGCTTGTCTAATTAATTGTGGTTGTTATATCCGTAAGTCACACCCATGAACAGATATGGTACATTAAAGAGTGGCGAAAAGATACTTGCTTTAGTTTTCCCTTAAAGTGTAGAAGCTTTTTAGCCACCGCGAATCTCAGTCACCTCCGCGTTCCCTTCTTGTCAAATCCGGATACGTATAGTGAAGTCCCATTCACACTCTTGCATCTTGAAGCGCCCCCACAGAGGACTTGGCGCTGCAGAATATTATTCCAGTGGATCCGACTTTATCAACTTCAAGTGCCATAATTGGTTCTCTTGTAGTGGTTTGGCCTTTTTTTCACCTCTACATTACCAGCACATGTCCTTACATACTACTCTAGCTTTTAACGACTTGGGCAAAGACTCGGGAAGCCACAGAATATCCATTGCAATTTAGAAGGTACTTCCACCTGTTTAACTGCCTTTAATCGCTGATTTGACCTCTTGGATAATTTTTAATAAGCTGACAAGGGCATTTATTATCAGAAACTGTTCCCATTTAGCTTGGTATCCTTTTGTTTATAAGTGAATAAATGAGTTTATTGTTTTAGTTTTTCAAAACAGTTTAAACAATCATTGTTTAAGTGCATTGGTTTACAATTTTTTAGACTATGAAATTCTTATAGGTGTTTTCAGCACCTCATTACTTTATACTGCCTGCTTTTTCAATCCCTTCACAGTTGTCTAATTAAACTGAGTATCTTAATGGTCATTAAAGAAGTTATTTTTCCTGAAGTATATTATAGTCTTTCCAAAGGGTGAGGTTATTGGTCTTCGAATCCAGATGGCGCAGCCTGTGAGGTGTCAACTCTCTGGGTGGTTTATCTGTTCCACCTAGTTTTCCAAAACTGCTTTAATTTTGAGGCAAAAACAACTTTATTTAACCATACAGTTTAGTACCATTCAAATGAATTCCAAAACAAGTTTCATCTATGTATCTCTTATGTACTACTTATCCCCTAAATACTAGTTGAATATGCGTGTGACCTGCAAATCTTATTAAGTACCTCATTTATCAAGCTGCGGCATAAAGAATACCACATCCTGTCACTGTAGTAAACATGACATTACTGACCATTGTAAACACATTCGAACCCTTGTTTTTGTATCATAATATACCTACTACGACTACCAAAAAAAGTTGTCTGACCTAATTGTACATAGTTTTGATGATGCTCCAAGGTTCCTGTAATTATACCCCACAATATTTTTGTAATTAGATGGTTCTGATTTCACCTCCAAATACCAACAAATTCTGGACCCCTCGTCTGTCTTTGCATGGTAGATTTGCTTGGTCACAAATCCCATTAAGGAATAACATTTCAGTCTAAAAATTCTGTATCTTTACTCAGTTATTATTTGGGCTTCAGGAGAAAGCATTTCTTGTACGAAATGAAACTATCTTCAGTGATTTGCACAATTAGCCTACTGATATTTATTAGTAGCAACATTGAATGTGAGTGCTCAGGATTGACTCCGGAAACACCACTCAAAAAAGTACCCGAAAAGTGCATTAAGAAAGTGGAATGTGTTTTCAGTTGACACACACATCTCCTCTTCCTGTGTTCAATTAGACGGCACCATTAAGCAGCTAATTCAAGCGTTATCCTGCAGGAAATACATCATTGCCACGATTAATAGCGTCCATTTGAGTATTAATTTAAACTCCTATAGTGTGCCACTCTTCGTTTAATTTAGCCAGACAAAATAATTCTGATTTGGCATAAAAAATGGCTACGAGAAACTAATTTTTGGTATTCGTGAGAAACGTTGACTACTTTCATGATGTCTCACGTGTGTTGCGGAAATGGATTGTCGCACAGTAGGATTCGTTTCAGTTTTTTGTTGTTTTGAACTGGGACCATCCTTGATTGGATATAACTTAAACAAAATTTTAGAAGTCGAAGTTAATTTACACTATTATATTTAACGGCTCTTTAATTTTACTTAATAAATGACCTTGCATTTGGGAGTTGAAAATGGTCCAGCCTCCAGCATGTTGCTGACATCACCATGACTTGCTTTTCTCAAACGAGAGAGACCAGTACGCTTTCACGGCAGCAGGAAGTTGTTGTTCTTCCGTTCCATCCAGCCATGCTAATCAAATTGTTGCTTTAGTAGTTATAAGGTCAAATAAAAGGAAGGAGGCGCAATTTCTTGTTTGCGTGGAGGTTCGAAAATATCTAATCCAAGTGTTTCAAACGTGCTAAGTTCTATCGAAAATTTAGCATAAATCAGTACATGATTAGCTCCAATTTGTGTCTACTCATCAGTGAAACGTGTAAACTGTCTTAGCTTCTCCTGGAATGGTCAATGGTACTAGGAAACCATATCCGCTATATCAAATCTGATTTCGCTGTGTCAGTTCAAAGATAAGCAATCCGAATCCTTGTACAAAAATAGAGCTGAATATTTCTGTGGAGACAAAATCTAGCCAGGGTGAGCTGATCCCTCACTTTTTATAAACGGCTAGCCTCCCTGCTGATCGCGAGCTGGACAACTCGAGGTATCTTTGAAAAAGAGTTACAATAAGGAGTTTTGCCAGTCAATTAATTGGTTTGTTGCATAGATCAGCCCCCTCCCTCCCCCCTAAGTTGCCGTAAGAGCCTGGATTAACAAGATGTCTCAGTTGAATAAGCAAATGTCCATGTTTTAATCCTTTCGCCATTTCACGGTCAGTGAGTCCAGCTTTTTGGGTTTGGATTTGTTGCCATATAGTGTGATCAAATTGTCCGCCTTCGAAATCCCTTGAATGCACCTGCAAAACTCCCATCGCGTCATTAAGTGGCTATATGTGGTAAAACATTATCTCCCCAGATTGTTGGTTCTTTTGGTAGATTTCCACATTCTAATTTGACATGTTTATGACAGATGTAACCATTTGAATCAAAGCTAATTATTATTAGAACAAACGTCTAAAGTGTAACGTAAAATAAATTCAGCATGAAGAAGTATTGAATTGTTCTCTTTAAATAGTGAATCCTTTGAGTTTGCGTAATGTTCTGCTAAGGCTTGATATCTGTTGACTTAATTCTCTAATTGATCAAGTAGCAATTCACTAGATTTACTTCCTTCGACCTGCCATTTCATAGACTTATCATGGTCTTTAATGAAACAACCAACACCTTAGCTGGTATGGCGCTGTGCGAGACACCCACTGGGAAAATAATGGCTTATGTTTTTCCCAATTTCTTACAAAGTCCCTTGTGGATCCACTGAATGGAAAGATTATGACCACTAATAAACAAAAAACAACAACAGGAAAGAAGAATAAAGTCTTTGAGTAAGACCCTCCCACACCCGTTTACCCCTACCGCAAGGCTGGATTTACTTTGACTGAAAGACAAAAGCACACGTGCTCCCCCCCCCCACCCGCCCTCTCCGTCCCTTCACCCTCCTTAGCTAACCACACTCGAGGAAACAATTTTTCACATTCTCAATAATTATGTAGTATGGGGAAGTGAGAGAACTCAGACGGTACCTGATCAGCCTTTTGCTTAGCTTCTGTACTGCTCTCTGCTATTGTATACAATAACCGCGCACTCCTCGTTACTTGATCAATCAAGAGCAATCAGCACCTCCAACCACCCAGTTGATTCTAATAGGGCTTATTTTCCCCTCCATTTGCCATTAGATTCGGCTGCCTTCTAATTTTAAACATATTTTGCATATCATTTCAAAAATTCAAATTTCATACAGCAAGCAAATTGCTGCTGTCTCTGCGAGGTCCATTAACTTGCAAACACTCTTTGCAATCGCCGTCATCAGAGTAATGTAAGGCCTCAGCGTACAGATGCAAACTCCTACAGCAAATAATGAATACTGTGACAGCAACGATTTGCAAATTACATCTTAGATCAGTTTGAAAGAATTCCATTTTGCAGAGGAGATTTTCGTCTTACAATTACAAGAACATATCTACATTGGCTGTACTCTGCTTCACACTCGCTTCGAAGTACGATATTTAGCTTCGGTAATGAACTTATTCCTTTCATATTCATTCGGTTTGAATGTATTTCTTCAATGCTCTTGCTGATCTTCAGTAAAGCAATTCACTCAATTTCTGAACACAGCGACTTCACTTAACAATAAAATTCTGTGCTGTTATTTTTTAGTTCCGTTTGCTAAGTAAACACATAGTGTATGCATAACATTAAGGTGATAATAGACATGGAACGCAACAGGACCCGAAATCGCACTATGTTCTCCATTCGAAATTACATTTTTCATTTGCAGTCTTTTAAAGTTGTTGTAAAACGAGGTTTTTTCTTAGCTAGCAGACAGGTCCCGATTGTATCGGATACCGGGCGACTGCTCCGCCAATGGCATACAGCTCGATACGGCGGGGGTCTAATCCGCGCTTCGGTTTTTGCGATCGGGAAGCCTAAATGAAGGTTCCTTTCGGCAAGAGGGAATTAACGAATCTGTCTAGCTAGCAACCCTGTTTCAAAGCTAAGCCAAGCAAGGAATTATGTGGCAAAAAAACTATCCCTTTTGAATAATAAGGTGGATTAGGCTCATTTATTGGTTGCTGGGCTAGACAGCATAATTTCAGTAATGCCCGAGGCGGATATTGACATGTCAGTTTTGGGGGCGATTGTTAAAAAATGAGACCAAAATAAAAGTTAATTCTTACATCATTATGATAACTTGCAGACAGTTTTTCAGCTTTGACGCATGCGAAGTGCTGAACTAGAAACCTGAAAAGGTGATTAATCAAGCAGTCACTTTCATCTTTTCAAATAACATCCTCTAAGAATAATTTGACATAACTTTATCAATTTGGATGAGGGATGGGTAATTCAGGAGAACGGTCTCGAACAAAAATACATGGTAAATATTAGCGGCGAAGGAAACGTTCAGCACTTGTGATAGACAGAATGAAAATCAACCCTTGCATGGGAAATTTAGTAAAATACGCTCTTCCCCTACTTTGTTAGTATAACGTTATAAATACTAAAGTACTGATCAAGTTAGTGAGGCTTTTCAAAGCAGTTTTATCGTCCCTAATACTTTTTAATAAAGAAAATGATTTACTGTAGTAGTAGCAGGATAAAGTAAAAAAATAGCATTAAATACTAACGTAGAACTTCCTCTTTAGTTACGAACGGTGACCCCGTCACCCTCACCATTCAAGCAGAATTTTAATTTACTATCAAAAAAGCAGTATTTCCACTTCGAATAACCTCGTTCCTAAATGCAGCACTGAGGGACTGATAAATTTATGGGGTTGTCCACTGCTAACAAAGCTTCACGATCATAATTCTCTTGAGATCAAGGGTGCACTTAACGTTGGAACAATACTGCTATCACACGCAGTGTTGCAGAGGGCTTCTGCGATTACCCGTACATCATCGAATTGTTAATAGATGGAATTAGCAACAAGCATGATGATTGTTGCTATGGTAGTATTGGGTTGATGCTCCTTATGGTTGTGGGCATAGTGCCTTGAATAAACAAACACTCACGCTGGGAGGTGAGGTATTGGGGCGTATGGACTAGGGTGGGGGTAGTTCGGTCAAAGAGGTGGGAGGGGAAGCGAAGGATGGAGGGGCGGATCAGGCTGCTAAAGGCCTAGCCACAGATATGAAACGGTATTGGCGACACCACACCTAAACACTTCATGCAGGTGTTCTGGGGCTATGCCACCACATCCTCTCCAATCAGAATTGAAGGCTTGGCAATGGGTAAGTGCACCGATTCTGTCGCCGTGTAACACACTGGATATTCCAAGTGACTCTGTAATAACCAACAAGCCAAATAGTTGGTTTTCAATTTATTAAATACATAAGTGACAAAGAACACATTTACCTACCTTAATCTCACCAAGTTCAGTTGGATTTGTAAACCAATCCTGATCCCAAATGCTTTTAATCGACCGGAATCGAAATGTATGTAGGCCTCTGAACAATCGGTACTACAAAGAGATCAAAGGGGACACACGATCTTGAAATTCTGACCAACAGTTATATTTGCCAGAACCGTAGTTTAAAGTTAAAAACAACTCGGCCTAAAAGTACTACAGATATCTATCCAAATGAGAGAAAACAAACAATTTCATGATCATTTTTCACCAGGTTTTTTGCAATGGTCACAATGCTCAAGTATCCATGCTAAATTTTATTATTCAAATTAATCTTATATTATTTTAGTGAATATTTCCTTGATAAATTGGTGGGATTTGCTAATGAGCTTCTTTCAACAATAAAGGAGACTACTGTACTGTGGTTGAGAATTGTAGCAAAACTCTGAAGTGGGTTGCAACGTAGCCAGTGTACTGTTATAAGATGACCTAAATTCAAAAGTAGGCATATGAATGTGGTACTAAATATAAACTTCAAAAGTGTTTTCAACAAACGATGACGCTACATTAAATACCGAAGTCTACTATTTGCTAATTTACCCGGCAAAAATGAATGAACTCGTCATTTTAAATGCTTCAAAAATAGCAAAACTTTGTCTATTTACCCACTTTGTTTAAAAAAAATTCTGTTGAATTGTTCCCAAAGTCTTTGTGGATTGTCCAATTAGTCAATCATACTTCTAAAACCGTTTCACTGGGAGACTTATTAGATTGTTTCCCTCACCTTTACTTCTCTTGGCAGTACTTTATTCCCCTTTAATTTAAATTAAAACAAAAATGCGAACAGAAGATTTAAACTAGAAAGGCTTAAATTTCAGAGAATTGTTTTAACCAGAGACCGATACAATTGAAAGGGAATTTCTTTGAACGCAAAATCACACCATCAAAACTGATTTGTTGGATTAGACAATAAGGTTTCATGAAAAACGGCAAGTTTCCTCTAGCAAAACTCTTTTAGTTCCAAATTCCCAGTTTTTTTCCTTCTCTCCGAATCAGAATAATATTTATGCAACGGGATTGCAAAAAAATTAACAACACGCACTGCTCCATTGAAATTTTTGTCTCCAGTTGCCGCTACTATATACACATTATCCATTATAATCCGTAAAAATTTTCACCTGGCATTATTCAACCATGTAAGCCCACAACCAATCAAGCGCCTTTAGTAGCCCCATGCATGCAATCAAGCGTACTCGCGTGATCGCATCGCGATTGGATAATTATCACGGTTGGACGCGTCGCCCACCTTTGCGGAGGTTAAAGGGGGCGTGGGACGAGGGTGGGGGCACACATTTTGCGCGCTTGAGTGGACCAATAGACTCGCACACTCACACACGCACACACCACACTGACCAGCCGACATTCAATTGGGGTGTTGGCATTGTCGTCTCCGTCTTCATCATACAGTCTTCTTGTCATCACTTCTCGCGACACTTCGCGCATCAGTGAACTTAACCAACTTACCACCACCCACTTTTAACCCTCTACGAATTCCTAATTTCATTTCACAAAAATTAATCTCCTCGAAATCGATCCTCGGGGCTGGAAGGAGACGATGTCTGGTAGGTCGACTGCTTGTTCTTTTGCTCTCAAAGACCCTACTCTACAAATTGGATTATTTACAAGTGTTCTTGGATGAGCTATCTCGGGTTGCAAGTGTTTATCATCATTTATTAAGTATTATTCACCAGCTGGTAACTTGTCGTTTGAATCCCATCAGTCGTCAACGTAATATAGCCTGTCAGTAAAGAATACAGTAGGATGTATTTTCATTAGTATAGCGGCATTGTCATTGTTATTGGTGACGTTAAGAACTTCGTTAAGTCGCCTTAAAGGGGATATTCTAACAACAAGCCCTAAATTATACCTACCGAATAACAAATAACCACTTTGGTTAAATTTGTTAATAATAAAGTAGAGGTGGGATAATAGCGAATGATTAAGTCACACGGTAGTGACTATCAAACGGTTTGGCGGTTCGACACTGTGACCTGCTGAAATAACAAATTTTGTTGATGCAGGTGAAACTCCTCTCATGTCATTTCTCCCCTCTCTTGATCTGTATCATATTCCGGAATGCGCGTTTGCGTTATCTGAGATACAGGTCTATTTTCCCACTTCTGGCTTGCTCGAATATTTCTTTTAATTGACTTCATCTTTTCTTAATTGCTAATGCCATGAGTACGTGAAGATCTTCGCCTTGCTTGTATCAAATTAGTTAGGATTTCGTGCCATTAGGTAAAGTTTATTAACAGTATTTAAAACGCTACAGGTATTATTCCTTGTTTTAGTTAACGTTTCGGTCAAAGATATTCTTATTTCAAGCAGATGGAGGATAATCCATACGCAGTGAAGGCAAAGCCACTATTTAAAAATTGGCATTCTGCCAGTTGATCCTTACCTTTTGCCTTAGCATTTGGTCAGCCTGTAGTTGCCTAGTCATACAACCCATTCGGGATCACCAGTGATTAAATTATTGTTCATAACTAGAGCTGGTGGGTTTTAAGAACTAATTTCTAATTAGCTGGCGTGTAAATCACTTAGAGACCCATATTTGAGAAAGATTACACAATACCACTTGGGTGCTTGATGAACCAGCTAATTCAAAGTTTGTTTTTTTTTGCGAAGACAGCAGATTAGTCACGAACGAAGTAGCCTCCTACAAGAGGCAAGTTTCCACTCGTCATTTGTTTACTATAATCGCTGAACATCAGGGCGACTTGTCTTATTTACAAGCCCACCTACAACTCTCTTTATTTTAAGCCAGGTTACTCGTGGTCAGTGCTCATTCCATTACCTTATTTTGGCGGACCTGGGAGTCGGATCTGACAAATTAGCCGTTTAAAAGCCATCACTATTGATGTTAGTCATTGGCAAAGTTAGCGGTCAACATCTTGATCAGCATATAGTCAAAAAGATGTTGAATTCACCAACCCAACGTACTTACACAATCACCTTCCTCTGAAATTAAGCGACAACCTAGTACGAGAATAGGGGGCTGCATTGTGTTCACTTTCATTATTAAATGAGAAGTGTTAGATATGGATGCTGTGACCTTTCCATTTGTCGGAAACGTGTAGGGCATTCGGGAGTGAATCAACTGGGAGGCGCCTTTGTGAATGGGCGGCCTCTGCCGGACGCAGTGCGAAGGAAGATAGTGGAGATGGCGCAGGCAGGTGCGCGGCCCTGCGACATCTCGCGCATGCTTCAGGTCTCCAATGGGTGCGTATCGAAGATCCTTTGCCGCTTCTATGAGACCGGCTCCATTCGGCCCAAGGCCATTGGAGGCAGTAAGCCACGTGTGGCCACCGACGCGGTAGTTGGCAAGATCGCCGAGCTGAAGCGAGAGTGCCCCTCCATCTTCGCGTGGGAGATTCGTGACAGACTCATCCGGTCCGGCGTCTGCGCGCACGACAACGTTCCCAGTGTGAGTGACGATTCCCATCAAAATATCACTTTCAGACAATTAGTGTAGTCCGATTAACTGTGCATGGAATACCATAATGATGAACCTGAATACCAATTTTACGTGTGACAAGAAAAGTATACGCGTGTTAAATACATGCTGCATAATGCATGATGACCTCACGTAATGACCAACCTCAATGAGCAAATGAGGTCACTTATTTTCACCGTTATAACGTTAACCTCCTTCAATAGTGATCCTCAATGGCAATAAGAGCAGGTGTTCTTTTAGCTAATATCTAAGTTTACATAAATTCGGCATCTCAAACTAATATTTGTGCGGTAGGTTTCGCAGTAAAATGCACTGCGAGGGTGTTCCTCTTTGGCCTTCAGTTTAGAGATTTGTCCAATGAATAGGTGGCTGGACCAAATCAGTGAAAATTCGAACTCACCTCACTTTATTGCAAATAACTGCCAATAAAGTGACTTTCCTGAGACAAGTAAAGTCAAGATTCACTATTTGGCACATTATCGCAACAGGTAATTGATTTCAAGTAAAGTTGTCGACTTTCATTATCGACACATTTAGTTTTATAGACGGCTGTTCTGTCAACCCGTCAAGTAATAAACGAGAAAAGGATTTGCATTTGCGTGTTAATATTGCTAGCTTAAACGTGCACGGACCTAGTGTAGACATCGCAGGAATTTCTACCTACTGCATTTTAATTGAGGCGTGTTCTCACTCCCCATAAGGAATGGGGAAAATGCGATGGATGGGGAGCACGAGGGGCATGGAGAGGGAAGGCGGAAGTAATCTAGGTGTAACACGTGTCAGGTTCACTCATTCGTGGCGTACCATGTTTGCTTTGCAAAAAAAGAAAGTGACATAAACACAAACTTCCGATGATCACCTCAAATCTGCAGCTCTTTTAAGTGCGGCAGAAAAAGATGCGCCAGTCTTAGTGCTAATTACCTTCATCCAGCAGTGGGGATAGGTGCTCTTGCGCGTGAATTCATGCGGAAAAAAGACAGCGTGCCACTCAAGTGACAAAGGAGCCAGTAGAGAAGAAACTACGCCAAGGAGATTTTATTTCCTGTTGGTCCTCTGGACTTTGCAGTGTTTTTCATTCGTCTGAGCAGATGTACCGTCCACCCCATGCTTACGGAAGTCCGTCTGCTTAATATTATTCCCGAAAAGCTTAGGTCCCCTGTATTTTGATAAAAATGGTTCTGACACCAGAGAAATTAAATGAATAGATAACTTCCGTATGATCGCTCTCTTATAGGACTACCATGCATGGCATAACACTTTTAAAACTCTCCAAGAAGAACTTGTACCCCTTTCGAGAGCTGCTTAATTTAAACTTCTTTAGGTAAAGCAAATAATTTATTAAATTTGATTAAGAGAAATTCCAGGGTAAGGTCGTTGTTGCTGATATTTACAGAATGCAATGTTGCATTTCTTACATCATAATTTTAATGAACCTGCATCAAAAAAGAGTGTGGTAAACCAACTGGGATTGATTCTATTTAGGAACTAAATATCATTTTGCTACATCTAGCCCACCCCCAAGCTTCAATAACAAGTACGCTGATCTACGCAGACCATTCGGCGGCTTGAAGTGAGAACGTTTCATTTCCCTCCTTCTAGGTGTCATCCATAAATCGAGTCTTGCGAGGTCTCTTCAGTGAGGCACAGCGACGATTACAGGAGGAGTCAGCACTGCCGCCTCCGGATCCGAGTCACCCCTATACCGTGCCACCTAACTTGCGACTGCCAGCAGATGAGACATTTAGTCACTTCGGGGCACTTTACGTCTCCTCCCCGGCAGCCCCATCCCCCTCCTCCACTGAACTCCAGGCGACGCCAACAACACCGGCAGCCCCGGCGATGTACAGTCGGCTTAACCAATTTCTGCATCCCACTACCGCCTGGCCGTCATGGTGCTCCTCCAGTAGTCTCACTGCCCTCGATAAACCCTCCTTCTACTACCACTCACATATCGGCGCCATTCGCACTGCTACTGATATCACTACTTACACTCACTCACCACCACCACCGCAGCCACATCTACTCCAAGTCTCTGCGGCGGTGTCAGTGTCGCTAGAGAAGGCGATCCCTTGTACTGCTTCCCACGAATGCCCTCCCGACACTGCATTGTGCCAAGGTGAGATCGTCCATTGTATGTACTACTGGATTACGGGTTTTTAAAGCTGTATAACCAAATCGCGAGTACTGAATGGATTATGCAGAGTAGAAGAAGTGATTTTCCATATAAAATAGGTGATTTGAGCCACTATCACCAAAGGTTGATGTGAAGTCTGCTCGAGCTAATACTCGCATTTGTGGTGGTGTAATTTCCACGTGATAAGTAGAATATGATTTTTCATTTGCAGTTTTCACATAAGTAATGCATTCAGTGTTAAATCGATTTGCTTAAAACAATTAATTTATGTATCATCTTACCTCAAAACGTTAACCAGACCTAAAAAATTTATGAAAGCCTTGTAGATGAAGTCATAAACGCTAAAGTAATATGAACGAACGTATTTGTAAGGCGCACTTGGGACGGGGGTTACTGGTACGACTCGAAGGCCATGCTGGCGAGCTGAAGTACAAACTGGGGAAGGGAGGGGGCTTAGGTCGGCGCACTTTTAAATAAAACATCAAAAATCACTGTGTTATGTGCATCACTACTATCTTAGTCCCTCGAAGTTGTATGTAGATTAGCTTTTCGTAAAACAATGATCTTCAAGATATTTCTGTCTGCGTCAACGATAATTTTTTAGTCATCATAGTGAGTATTTTTCAACTACGCTAGCATCGTATAGCAGTTCAAGTGTCTTTTTTATAAATCGTATAATTTTACACACTTTTAGACGACAAAATCCGAGCAGGAGCACAGCACTATCTATCAACAGTGTCAACATCGGAGACATCACCTTGTGTTGCCACCTTAGCACCTCCTGAGGTTTGGACCCCTACGGTCTCCTCTTTTGACACCTTGGATTGGGCAAGTCCGGCATCTGGCCAGAAGCGATCTGCAGCTGACAGCGTCGACAGTTTCAGCAGTGAGGCCGACTCTCCTGTGGCATCCGAAGGGGCTGAAAAGAAGCCCCAAGTGCGTTCTCGCACCGCATTTACGCAAAAGCAAGTTGCCATGCTGGAGCGAGGTGAGAGAACTTAGATGTAATCAACCCACAAATAGAAAATTTTGTTTAGTTGTTCGATGAATGGAAGGAGAGGGTGAGGGAAGGACTTAGTTCCCTTTCTTGGGTGCACGCGTATAGGTTCACGCTTCGGTGGCTCCCATCTCCATTCCCCCCAGTCCACCTCCTCCCCTTCTCTCTCTGTTACTCCTCTCACCTCCGGCCTTCCCTTGCGTCATGATTACTTTCCCCTCCCTTCGACCAGGCTACTAATCCGGGTTCCATCTATTCCCCTCGCCTACTCCACGCACACTCCCATTCGACCATCACCACACCAGCGGGTTCAAATACACACCGGCCGGGGTCATTGAATCTAGAATCAGGTGGTAAATTATAGTAGTCTAGTGACTCAACCTATCAAAAACGCGCATCATTAGATAATAGAGTAAAAAAGACAATGTCGTATCATTCGGATAAGCAGTTTAAATAAAAATTGTCAGATAATCCATACCAGTCTTGCGTAGCGACCTTGCACTTTAACAACTTAGCGCACAAGGGTTGATTTCAAAAAATATGGAGACCTATGACCAAATGAAGCCTTTCTAGGGTTTTAAAAGTCCAAACTTCCTTGCTAAAAACAGGCAGTAATGAGCAGCTACTACTCTCTATTGAAGAGTTCGAGCAAAGTCACTACCCAGAGTACTCCACGCGAGAGCGATTGTCGGGAGAGACAGGACTGCCGGAATCAAGGATCCAGGTGTGGTTTGCGAACCGACGTGCAAAGTACCGCAAGGGCTCACGGACGACGGTGGCGGCGGTCACGGGGCGGACAGCTACGCCGTCGCTGCTGCCGAGCAGCGTGGAGACTGCGCATCTGACGGCGCTGACATCAACGGATGTGCCTAAATTAGAGGCAAGTCACTACGAGGGAGACGGTTCGCGTCAGCCCAAGGGCTGGTGCTACCACCCCTATGAGGCCTGGCTGGATTACTCCAAGCACCCATGGCTCTACGACAGCACAGCTGCTGCCACCGCTACCGCCTTTTACAACTCCTCCGTAGGTTGGCTTGTCCTTGAGTGCTGGTAACTTAAAGTGTTACCTTATAGAGTTGAATTTATTTGTTGCAAATCACAAAATCATCCACGTTTTGAGAATATTTTTTAATGAGAATGCAACAAATGCATGTTATTTGCCCAACTGAATTTGGCAGTTTTTGAATTACTAAATTGACTGTCAAATGGAATGGAACTAGGATCAGTTGAAAGTCCTCCCACATTATAAAAAACTATCACTGAAAAATTCCACTTTTTTAAGGAATCTTTCGATACCTCGTAACCTTAGAAAACACAGGCTTTGGAAGACAGCTGTGTGAATATTGCGTAAATTTTGAAAGTGATCAGCACGATAAGGACTGCTCGAATACCTTAGATTAGGTGTATGATGTTGTCAAAAGCATGTAAGACCAAGTGCCAACTAAGTTGTATTTCTATTGACTCTATCAATCAAATGATATGGTGAAAATTTCTTGGCGTCCATGCTGGTCGTCAAATCGCCAGTGCTAAGCATATCCCAATCATTTACAGGCTAAGGGCCCTAAGAATCTGGTGTCATCCTTTCATCCCACCGATGGCGAGATGGGCCAAATTCAAGTGCCATCACAACGGCTGCCTCCAAATGAGCGACCGCCTCTGAGTGGCAGTACTAGCACGGAGAGCGAATGTCTCGGAAGCGGTGGTGAGGTAACTGATTGCTCGGCTCCATTCACCATGCTGGCACACACCGACTCTACCGTCTACTTCCAGGATCCCCAATCGATAATAACCTCAACCTACGCTTCCACCTACCTAAAAAATCCAATTTGCAGTCTTCCACAACACCCTCTGGTGTAATGAACTCTCCGCTTCACTATCCAATCACACTTACATGTACCAATAGAATAAATTTTCGAGCAATCCTACGACCACACATACTTCATTTGCCCATTGCAATTAGATAAATCACTCAACTCCACACAAACTAGTGCACCGGGAAAATACTTCATACCACACCACTCTTAATCATTCATGTTTATTGCAAAGACAAAAACACGAAAGAGCAAGGAAGAAAAACAAAGTAGGTCCAACTACGGTATTTTAACCTCCGTCATGATTAATGCGACACGTCCCGCACTCCATTGAGCACAAGGAAGTCACTTCAGTAACTTCAACTCCCCAATTTCGCAATGCAGCCAACATCGCCAAACATGAGCATCGAGGAGGACCTCGAAACCCCGAAAGAAATTATCAGATTACGTGCAATGACCTTTACCCTACAAAGTTCCAACAAGCGCGGGACGGGGCGTTATTGAAACAAGCCATAAAAACAGAAAACTCAGAAAAGAGCCTTTATTGATTTAAAACAAGATAACAGATAAGCGGTCCAGTTCAATCGGATTTTATCGAGAAATTTATTAAAAACATGAAAGCACCGCCGAGTCTCATCGACTAAGGGGTCCTGTGAAACTCGCCAAAATATTTTTGCGGTTTTGCCAACAATCGCCGCCTAAGAGATGGTCACGAACGTTCTCAATTACCGAAAGGGAATTGAAAGGCTTTGGATGGGTTACCCTTTTCAGCGTCTGGGTTTATTGAGTTGACAGGTACAAAACGAAATGGGGAGCCACGGTCCGGTATGAATGATTGATCGAATAATTGTCCATCTTGATGCAACCGCATGGCACTTCTCAGTGGACTGTAGTCAGAGAGCGAATCTGGAGATGCACGAATTTCTCGGTGGGTTCTCTTTAAGTCTGGCTTCCAAGAGTTTTTGACTACGTTATTTGGATTAGCGAAAGATCTGTTCAAAGGTTGAGCCTCGCTTGAGCTGGAATTATTAATATTCCGAGCTGATATTCTTAATTTTTGACACTCGCGCTCCAGATGAGACAATTTTTGGTCGGAGGCAATGAGCTTGGACCGGAGTTCCTCACATTCTTGTGTCAACTAAACACACACATAAACATCAAATAAGCATACGGCCTTTTTCATGTGTTCATACACTGAGTTTTCCTCCTTCATTTTCAGCATAAGAGATTTAAGCTCTTTTTCAATCGACCTTGTTTTTTCTATAGACTTTGCCGCAACGTATTCTAAGAATTGGGATCTGAGCGATTGCTGTAACTCGTAAAAGGTGATCGCCCTTCTTGTAATATCCAATATGATTTCTGGAGATTGTCCAGCAAGAATGAGTGACTTAAAACGATCAGAGGGTTGTAAATCAACCTATTTAGCAGCGTGAATAAAAATCAAACAAATTTACCTCAATAAAATCATTTGCATTCCTGTCAAGAGGAGAATTACACGCAGGGCAGTTAGTCCGATGTTGGCCAGTTTCTAAGCCAGGTCCATGGGAAAGGCAAAATATATGTTGACAAATCGTAACGATAGCTGTTTCGACTAGTGGTTGCCTGCACTTTCGATAATTGCAAGCCAACTCTATCTCACGCGATATCATAAGACCGCTTTTTAATTTAGCGCACAAATTTCATGAAATGCGGCAAGCCAGGCTGGAATAAACAACTAAACTGTTGTTTTCTTTCATCTAAAAAAGCAAAGTGACGTAGAAAAACCACATACTACGTAAAAAACTCCAAAAATTATTGCCGGAAATGCATGAAAGTGGCAAAAAACCCCAAATGATCAAAATGCTGTTAGTTTAGATGAAATTTGTGTTACTAAATAAAAAGTGAATAAGTTTGCACTTTTGTATTTGGTATAAAGTTAAATTTGAGACTGGAGTTTTTCAGGAGGGCGTGTACAATTTTAAATACAAGTCAACTTAATACAAAATATCAAGGCAAATCTATTAGTTCTGCTTGCATTGTCTTTAGACTCTACAGGAGGCGAAGAAACGCGGTCCTGGAGCAGAATATGCATATTTGATCTACAGAAGGAGTTAAGGCTACTGGCATGGCCCAAGGGCCTGCCCACCTGGCAAAGGTGTAATGGCTAAAATACAAAGTATCCCTTTACTATTCCAAAGAGCTTTGCAAGTTTTTTAATGTGAAACAGTGCGTATTAGTTTTATGGGCTCTTATTTACGCACCAGTTTAAAAGTGAAATCTTGGTCCATGTATGGAATAGGTAGTATTTTCCTAAACTGCTATAAAACATATTTTAAAAATGGCCACTTTTCAAAAACCCTTGTCAATACCCTTAGAAGTCTGACTGGAGCAAAACCACTAAGCAATAATCGAAGTGTTGACTAATATATTCAGCCCAAAAATAAGTTGTGTAGGTCTTTTAAGGTATTACGCGCCCTAACAATAGAAATCCTTGCACAATTCAAAGTGGACACGAACAATTAAAGATAGGAGTTATTGCAAAATGACCTTGTACCCACTTAAAAGTAAAAAAAACAAGGATATAGAAAAGGGTTGCTCTACGTTTTTTAAAAACGTCTAGAAACTTTGTTGAACCATTGGTGTTAAAGCCTTACATTTTATGCTTATTTTGTCATTTGTGGAGATGGTTCACTCCTTACACCCCGATTTACTGGATTTGCTTTTTAAGGTCAGTGTGTTATGCTTGTTGTCTCTATTCTTTCGTCATGGCAGGTTGGTGGATATAGTCTTTTTTGACTGTGATGCGATTTCCTTAGACCGAAATGATCTTAAATTCCCACGTTCTTGGTTCGGATCGCATGCCAATATTCGTATTCTCGATAATTGCACATCGACCCAATTTAATCTATCGAACCTACTTAAAACAGCCTATCAATTAAGCTAGATTTGTGCTTCTGTTTTGCGTCTTTTCAATACTCTACTTAGTGTAGACGTTTGATCTTGCGATCCTTTATGGCGTTAGGGGAGAACTGCTGGTCCATTTTCGTTTGAATCTTGTTACTAATGTCCATACTCTGGGATCTCAAATCTAGGCATCACTTTGTCGGTAGTCAAAACATGTGCCATCTTGTTTCGTAACTTCTTCACTCAGCATTTGGTCCGTGCCATCAAAGTACACCTTTTTTAGGTTTTGAGAAATGGGGGTTCGTACTAACATGGATTGGAATTTGATACTGCAAATTAAACCACTTGACGCATTTGAGAAACCAATCTTAGTGGGGGTGAAGTCTTTTTTAAGGTTCGGCGCTCATTATTTTCCCTCAGGAGGCTGTGAAAATCATGGTCACGGTGCCCATGTACCGTGCTCAAATCAAGTTTGGATAGGACCGTCAGTGCTAAACGGTGACCTCTCTTCTTTGGCGGACTTGTCTGTGAAGCTAATCGATTCAGGTGCGGACTACCTTCATTTGGACGTTATGGATGGACATTTCGTACCGAACATCACCTTTGGACACCCAGTTGTGTCGTGTTTAAGACCCAAACTACCGTCTGAAACCTTCTTGGACCTACACATGATGGTTTCAGAACCTGAAAAGGTTCGTGCTTCCTTCAACTTGTTGTTCATTCACCAAATTTAACATAGGAATGATCACTTTTCGAGGTAGTCTATTTTTTGTCGGTGTTTGGAGTAATTTAAGTGGAATAAAACTATGATCACATCTATTTGTTCAAAATGTGGGAGTGAGGAATTGCTTTAACATTTTCTACAAATTTGATCTGTGAGCTTGTCATCTGTGCGAAGGTTACGCACGAACCAGTTGTCATTTACCCCAAGTATTATTTTCTATGCTGTACTCTATTATCCCTACTGTTCTCTCTCCTCCAAATTTACGTTCTCTTCATACATTTACAGCCTAGCTTTCGCCTATTAGTTATAGCCAATATGTTGGAAATTTTTAATGAGCTAAATTTCCATAATATACCTTATGGTAATAATAAGTAGTGAGCAATGCTTTGTGGTCTAAAAAGTCAAGGCAATTAAAAAAGTTTTTGGGAACCTGTTTTCTTCAGACTTAAGTTGTTCCGTGTCAGAAATGCCAAAATTTTGTTAACTTTGTTCCAGCATATTTTCGCACAACCTTTATTTTGTATTTTTCATCGGATGTGGATTTTGGGGGTCTGATCTTGTCCTCAACTAACTGTTCTGATGATTTCAAAATGTGCTGTGCTGAAAAGGTGCACTATCGTAAAATCTCTACATAATTGTAGTTTCCTTCTTGTGGAGTGCCCTGTCTGCACTAATTTAAAAGTCCTAATTAGTCCATCTACTTTTTTTGAGTTCATAACATCCGGATTCTTGGTCTAAGAGTAGTGGATCGAGGGAATGCGTCAAGCTGGAGCCACTCAATATACCTTTCACCTCGAGGCCACTGATGACGTTAAGCAGTGCATTCGAAAGATTCGGGAGGCTGACATGAAGGTGGGTTCGTATTTCCGACTCATCGAATTGTTGAAATGCAAAAATGTGATAAGATTGCTTCATTCTCCTATCGTAACGTTCGTATTCTTAATATCGCCTTTCATTCTGAGCCTGTTCTAGGTGGGTCTGGGAATCAAGCCAAAAACAGTTGTAGAGGAAGTCTTCCCGTATGTTGATCTTGTGGATATGATACTTGTGATGACTGTTGAACCTGGTTTTGGTGGTCAGGCTTTTATGGCGGATATGATGTCCAAGGTATTGATCCCTACTGTTTAATTGCAGTTAACTTCTAAATCTGTTCAAAAAGGCACTACTTTAAATTTCCATGCTTTTTATACCTGTTATTCGATGTTTTTAAGCCGGTTTGAAAATATTATTGTGTGCCGGCTCTTAATAAGCCCTCTTGTAGGTGAAGGCGCTTCGAGAGAAGTACCAAGACCTAAATATTGAAGTTGACGGTGGAGTTGGCCCAAAGACGATTCGCGAATGCATTAAGGTATGTGAAGTTATTTTGTGTATGGATTTCACAAACCACTGCCATACTATTAATGCACATATTTGGTCGTATTTTTATCGGACCGCTATTATCTCCTGACTGTTTGTATGTTTGTGTGCCTGGAGGATACTGGCAGGAATCGTGTCATCTACATTCCATCTATCGTCTTTAAGTGTAGCCTATTTAGTTTTGTAATTACTTTTAAATCCAGACACAACGCTTGCAACTTTTTATATGTGTTAACCTCATTAATGTTCGTTAGATATGCGCAACTTCTTTGGACCAGAATTTCGTTGCGTTTTCCTTGTTTTCGTATTAACGCTATCGTTCTCCAGCATTGAACTGCTTTTGAAGGTATTTATTACTTCCGATTAATAAGTAGGTCGTTTGTGGACTTTTTTAGAATGGTGCTAACATGATCGTCTCAGGCAGCGCAGTAACGAGTGCTGATGATCCGGCTGCTGTCATACGAAGCATGCGATCCACCGTCGTAGAATTGTGAATTTACAAACATGATTATGCTTTTAAACTTGGCGAAGTTATCGGTTGCCAGATTACAAATGGTTTCCTAACATGTAGATATAAGGCATTATAAATTTAACCTTCTTGGTTCATTTGATATGACTGCCCTATGAGGCTGTGATTTCGATACTTCCGTAGACGTTTGTCTTTTGTAAGAAATAAACGCTCATTGTTTTGATCATGACTGGACTAATAATAGGCTGTTGGGTATCTGCCTTAAAATCTGAATATTTTCGAAACATCCTAAGGCTAACCGCTTCCACCATAGATAATTAGGTGATTTATTTCACGAAGAATCGAAATGGCAATCTTCCATAGGCCAATGAACCTCAGTAAGTGAAGCTCCTTTTGGTTTTTACCAGTTGATTGCTTCAATCTTGTCTCTTCAGTATTATGTGATTATCTTCTTGGGGCGAAGCAGCTTCTAGGCTCTTGATTGACTTTATTTAAGTTGTTGCCGGCTACATGAGCGCGTCTTCTGCACATTGTCCGGGCGTGTTTTTTTTTCAAGGCAGGTAAAATGGATTTCGTTTTCAAAAATGCAGCATGGCATAAATCTTAAAAAAACCGGAGTGATATGTGTGGGCGTACGCTTCTTGCTTACAGGTTTGACATGACCATTACATTGGTGTGAATGTGGTTTCCTGAATTAAGGTGTAATTTTGGAAATATGCGTAGTCGAAAGTGCTGTAGTGGCAGGGACCGAAGTGATCGTAAAAATCGCAAACTCTACTTGTGACTCGGGTCAATGTGTTAATCATGTGTTGGGAGACATTTGTTTGCTATCAAACGAACATTTTTCATGACCTAGTCTCTCAGGGATGTATTCATCGCCACAGTTTTGCTGCTCCTTTCTTCACCGTCATTAATCCCATTTTTTTCATCGGTTCTGCTTTCTCAAGGGTCCTAGCAGATGGATACTTCTTGTTTACAGAACTGTAGTATCTTTTTTTGACAACAAGTTTGGAAAGAATTTCAACCTCAGCTTCAAAATTCCAAATTTTCGTTAACAATTTCGGAGCAAGGTCATGTGGCTGAAATAGGCATCACACAGCTGAAAATGTTTGCATATGGGCTGTGGCTTGTAACTTTGTATATTCACAAATGAACGCTTGTATGTGCCTAACACGCGAAAACAGGTACCCGACCATCAGTGTATTGCAGTACGAGTGTTGTGAGGGTGTCCAGACAATTCCATTCTAAGCGTTCAAGGCGTCCAAATGTGCTAAATTTCCCCTGCGTCTGTAAAAGGACCACTCAACTTTATGCATTTTACTTACAGTATGGGTTAGGTTAATATTCTTAGGCTAGCAAATGCAGTGACCAACGATCTTCTTCCAAGTCATTAAGGTAATGGGCATTGCGCAACTATGTCAAATTGGCATTGGCCACCAATACTCAGGCGATTGAAATAAGTTTACTAATAATATAAGGTGAAGACAATTCAAACATTCTGAGAGTAAGTTAACGGAAATGAGTGTCGAGGTAAATGAAATACTGAAGCAGGCAATGGTTTTTCTACCGATAGTTTGGTTTGAAGCCGTCATGGATGTGCGCAGAACACTGAGGAATGCTCGTTTAAATGGTAACTCATTTCCGAAGTCGGGCATCTTTCCACCTCAAGGTTCATTTTACAAATTGTATGAATTAGGAAGGAAAAGCACTGTTGGTACGCATTTTTTAATAAAAGTTACTTCATTTTATGGCTTCGAAGAGCTAATACGCATTTGTGTTGAGGGTCACATTTTTAAGATTCGATAGGGAGAAGCTATTGCAATCATAACGCCCATGCCCGGATCTGCTTGTACGTTAAAGTACACCCCATTACAGCCTTAAATGTCATACCTGCAGTCGGATAGGACTTTTCTCCGCGTTAAGCTCGCGTCCACGAATCACAGCTTTGAGAAACCTCCAAAGCCAATCCATGCTTTGGGATTTTCTCTTCATTTCTTGTTTTTCCCCAAATAAAACTCAAAAGCACTTCAACACTGAATGAAGGGAAAAGTGGTTAATATAAAGAGTGGAGTATATTTTGAATTTCGAATAGTAATTTCTCTTTTATTACTGGCATTTTGGTTAGCTCCTTCCAATACTCAATGAACACTTGGTCAAATCTCTCAAGCCCATAGTTTTGCATTATGGAAGCGTCATAAAAAGCAACATATTTTATAAAGTTGATAGAATCGCATGCTCCCTTAAATATCGCTGACCTGTGATGAGGTATCTGCTGCCAGACAAGAACCCAGTAACTTTTGACGTTCTTGACTTCCAGTGAATGAATTCAAACTTCACCTAGTATTAAGCATCGGCCTCTAAGTTGATGTCGCTCCTAAACTCTCTTATAAGTAAACCAAAACTTGGTATGAACTCGACTGATGTTGCGATACAGACACGTATCACTTTACTACTAGGGGGTAGCTGGTCATATCCTTTTTTATGCGCAAAAACAAGGCCTCAGTTCAACGCGAATACTGTGGAATGAATACGGAAAGTACTTGAAACCGATGCAGAAATTTTTCATTTGTAAGATTACATCACCTTGCCTAAAGTGTTGAAGGGTTTTTGGAAATAAATGGGTGCATGTTTACAAAAAATGGGCCTCGTCTGTCGAAAAAATAACTTGTACGTTTATTTTTTTTCTCCTGACAGTGCAGCAAAATGGAGGTGGTAAATTGAACGCCGTGCCGCACTTTGCAGATAACCGGGTGTATCCCGACCATTAGTAGACAAGACTTGGAAATGTTTAAAGTATGGAATCTCGGTTGAGGCAGCTAATGAGTTCCTCGCATCATAAAAAGCAGGAAATGTTTTCTTCCTCTTGGCTTAAAGTGGGATCTAAAAAACCCATTTTCTTTCACACAAAATGCAAGTCCCTTTTAGAATTTGAACATTTGGTTTATTGGTAACAGGGTTGAAAAGGTACATTTTAACTTCTTACGGGAATTTATTTTTAGCATTAAAAGGAAATATCACGGTTCTAGGTGCTGTAGTTACTACACGTTAAAACTGAAATTTTTTGCCTAAGCAACAGACGCCTTCTAGATACTAATCTCTAAGGGATTAAACTAAATTATTCGGGAATTTCGTTCCCGTAGGATGTAACCTTTGCACAAACCCAAGCTAAAACATGGCTTTTTTGAGAGGTGTTCAGCCTTATTGCAAATGCTCCTTCGTGATTCTTCAGGTGTCTGCATTTGTTTGGTTTAAAAGTACTCAAACAATTGATATTTCTTCACAAGAAACAAGATGTATCTGCTACGTGAGTTCGTTTTACACGAATTGCTGTCGCAAGGTGTGACTCGAATGCTTCAAGTAGCAGTGTGGATTGCTAGCCCCCGTTCCAGCAGAAGACAGGAGAGTTGAGACGCTTTGATATGATTATAACAAGTCCGAAGTATCAGCCAATTTTACTGCAGGAATGGACTTTCAGCGGGAAAATAAAGTGAGCTTCCTTATTACCTCTCTTTTTTGGAAGAAAAGTGAGCTGTCAACGATGAGAAGGTTATGCCTGTGCATGGTAGTCTATCAATTATCTACTTATTTTTGCATTCGTGACTTATTCACTGCGGGTAAAATAAGGCAATAGTGGAAATCTAAAGCATTAGCTATTTTTCATCACATTTAACTACTCCTAGATTGATAATATATTGTCTCAAAAAATACACAAGTTAGCATAAGCTGCATATTTTAAGCAGTCGGTAAACAAACGGCAGATGATTCAACGCAGTCGCAGCCCTAGGGGTGCGGTGCTTTTATTCAGACGCGGAAAACACGCCGTTTCGCGATTTTTTAATGAAGTTGTAAACGTTATATGGCAGCTTTTAAAAAGGAAAAGGAAGAGAGCAATCAAATCGACTTTATCATAGCCATAGAATTTTCCAAACACAGAGTTTTTGACACAAGGTCGTGCCCTGAAAATGAATAAAAACTACGCTAATACTAAAGCGTAGTGCATTTACGGACCAATTGCAGTAGGTATTTAGTATTTTGTAGCACAGACACGACCCCTCGTACGAATACGTGGTTCAGTCGGCGAAATTCAAGTATGTTCTGAAAATTGTATAGCGCGGTGCTTCAAATGATTATAATGTCCGCGAAAAAAAGAGGAATGCAGACGCTTGGAGTGTGGGTTAGCAGATAATCTGAGGCATGACCTCTTGGCCAGGACATCAAAGAATGTGATTAAGCTATCGCAATTATCCATTTGCAAATGCCCGTCTGATGGAAGTGAGCGCAGCTTCGCATGCCCCGCTGCCCCCTCCCGCGTCCGTGCTCTCTTCCCCAGCTTTTAAGCAGTCCCAGCTCAGGATCGCTACCGGAGTCTCAGTTGCAGTCAAACCGGAAGTCACTTTTTAATCAGCGTACCAATCAACAGTGGCTCCGTTTCCTCCAATTCTAACTTCCCTTTTTTCCATTCTTTTGTCCAAAACTGACAAGCTTACTTGGATTGGGGCTAGTTATGCTTCCTCGTTCTGCACAAATTTTCACAAAACAATTTTATTTGAAGCTCATAGCCTCCTTTTTTGGGGACGATGTCTGTAAAATTGGCTCTACTTTCCCTTACTACTCTTACTATTTTCTTATTCAATAAGCACCACTGTAATTACGATCTTTCCATTTGTTTATTTATTTGCAATGATCTGAAAATTGACGAATTGACAAGTTAGAAAAGTAATAAGGAATAGAATTGAGATAAAAGCGTTCTCCCAACGAAATGAAAATATATAACTCGCATGATTGGCTAAAATTGTTTAAATCATACCTCATTAATCTCTTGATTAAATACCTTCTTTTTCTGCCACATGCATATATGTCAATCTACCTATGAAGTCAAGGGGAAATTTGTACAACCCCAGAGCGTTTAATTGGCAAGAGCACTACAACATGTCATATTGTTCAGCGTTTTGGGTGGAGAGTGGCTACACATCCATGAGGCGTTGGTGTGATCTAGTGATACAGACTAGTGTTATGTTGGTGTTGGTGCCAGAATAATTAGCCATTAAATGGGCAGACATAGCAGCGACCTTTCCAAAGTGTGCAAGTAAATTGCTGCCCTGCCATTTGTATTTCGCTTTATCATTTCTAAAAACTCTCTATGTAGCAAGGGAAGTCAACCTCACATCCTCATTGATAGCAACAATCTTCAAAAAGTTACGGCTACGTGCAAACTAATCTACTTGCTACATATTTCGCATTTAAGAAACCCACTTCGTGGACTTTAGTTTCCTCTGCGTGATTGCCAGGCGAATATTTCCATCTTTTGCTCAAATTATGCTTGCTTGCCGGTACTCATTACTGCAACATAACTCGGTCAAATGGGATGTTCATACTTAGAACAACGCGGGGCTGAGATCCCATCAAGCACCAACTGATACCATTCAGTGACTAGTGGTTCAGGGCACGTAAATGCAGCCTATTCACTTAAAATGCTTCAATGAGGATTAATCGAACTGTAAAACGTGCAAGAGCTATTGAAGGACTTTAGTGGCTCCTTTAATGTAATCTTCCACAGAGATAGTTCTAAATAGAGAACTTTCTGTTTTAAGTTAAATTTAGTGGTTAATAAATCTTAGTTCGCACCTCCTGCTGCAATCCAGCATAGAACTTGAAGCTGTAAACTTGAACTGACATGATCGCACCAAATTAACATGTCAGTACTACTACTGCTAAAGTTTTCAGCCGTACTACGTAACTGTAAAACAATCACAGAATTGCAGATATATATGGCAAAGAAGAACATTTAAGTAAGTACTCACCAGTACTCTTGTTTCGTGTGCTTTAAACCGCATTTGGAAATAGTAATGATCACAACTACGATGAACGACAGTGAAGTTACTTTACAGACTCAACGTTTAGCTGGTTTTAAGGCTACCGCCAAAAAAATGGAGGAAATACCCTCCCTCCCGCGTTGAAAGTACTGCCACTTTGTCCGTGCAAGGCATATCTAGTCGTTCTGGAGGAGTGGTGCTCACCGAGCCGCGCAATCGATTAGGTGAGCGGCACTCCCACCACCGGCAACACTATTCGTCGGGGCGGGGCTGGCGAGGAGAGCTCGCGGGGACGGGCAATCGGTGCTCACTTTTGCGTCTGATGCAGGGTTTTCGTACACCCTTTGGTAGGCACTGTACCTTCTGCTATATTTCAATGCACTTCAATTATGCTTTTACTCGGTTATAAACGTCCTAAGTCCTGATCTGCCATATATATAAATGACCACTCGTTTACTCGCACCTGCATCTTTAAGATAAGAGTTTATTTGAAGTTTTACAGATGTTTTGCTGCCTTTACGCACCTATTGGGGTAGTCGCTTAGGTGTTTTATGCATGACCATCAATTCCTCTCCATTGTCTTACTCTTGATACTGGCTTTCCCACATATGCAACTGTTCGAACAGTGGCGAATGAAAACACTCTTAACTGATCTCTCGATTTGACAGAAAGTTTATTCCTGGTGTACTCCTATCAATCTCTTGGTTGACAATTTCTCACAGAGCGAATGGCTGAAAGTGTAAATCAGTTGAAGCTTTTCCTAGAAACATTTGTATTGCACTAAATGTTAAGTGAGTATTTTCCATGGTTGTGCTGTCTTACATTGCAGATCCCGAAAGAGATGGAAAACTAGATGCGCTAGCTATTGTCCTGAAATGTACTTTAAAATGGTGTGGTTTGTTTGTCGCATTATATCAGCTCATTTGTCTTGTTGGTTTTCCGTCACTTTCCGATCTTTTGTACAGTGACTTATTCATAAGTTTGGTTTAGGGGGAATTTGCAATTAAGGCATTCATTGAATAGCGTAGGGATACGAAACGCGCGTCCTAATGTTTTTACTAAAATCCATTTAGATTGCGACATGATTTCTCCCGCAGAATTTGGATGTAGGTTCCCTCAAAATCAATCCTCATGCATGGAGGTGACGAAATCTCTACTGCTCCGGGACGAGCTTGTCGGGTGTATAATTGGACGAGGAGGCTCGAAAATTAATATGATTCGTCAAGTAGGCTTCATAAACTTTTTCGGTAAAACCTTTTAAATCTACTCTGGCACCTTTCTTCACTTTCATAGAAATAGAAACTGGGTGACCAAAATTACTACTTTAAGGGTTATCTAGTTTTCAAGACAAATAATTCATTGCCTACATTTACAGCATGAAGCGACACTGTCTTTGTGTTTGTATACCTTGCCAACATTTGACTGCCATTGGTATTAGATATGTTGTCAACATTATTTTTACTAGGCATCTAAGGCATTCATCAAAATCGCTGATGCTGAGGAGGGCAATACGTTTCGCCGCATAACGATTAAGGGAACTCCAAATTCGGTCCAAATGGCCATATTTTACATAAACTACACGTGAGTTTGTCATGGTAATATCATTTACCTTCACAGCATGTCTCCTCAGTGTCGCCAGTGTGCGGTATTTGCAGTTGTTTTCACTTGCCAGAGTGGTGTGTGTTATTAATAAGTTCATCTTATTTTATGGTTCTGAATCTATGCAGCATTGGGAAGTATTAACTAGCAAAATATAGATTAGATTACTTCCGGTGGCATTGTTGATTCTCTGGTAGGAGGGGATTACTCATTAAGGAATGGCAACTCTCCTTCTGTAGTGTGAACCTCCACCAGCAGATTGTGCAGATGAATCTTGCCATTGACATGGCGACAAAAACTCGTTCCCGAAGTGGTGAATATCCGCAGTGAGTGAAGTGAATCGACCGTCCATTCAAATTCCACTACGTTGATATTTCCAACCTTATTTGTAAACATATAATGTGCTCTGCTGTTATACTTTCCTGACAGTACTCCGCATTTGAGTCTTTCCTCACTTCATACGTATTGAATAATGCGTTACTTCCGTTATCCTCTTTAAAGACAATGTATTACTGATGTTGATGCGATATATATACTCAAATGAAAAGTATCAAGTATCTCAGTTTGGTTTGATTCGGCTTAAGTGAAAGATTTGAAGTCGAACCATTTGGTTGGTAAGAATTTTAATTGCCTTGTAGAGAAGTTTACACCTTATTTTTTTCTTTGATCCCGCCATGAAACGCAGCGGAGTCAATGTGAGATTTCACAAATTAGATAAGTGATAAAACCAGATCCACGATGAGAGTTCTCATCCCTCGTGGTGAAGCTAGTCTAACTTACAAAGCAATATACCTTGGTGGAATCGCGTTGCGACATATTCATTTGCAAAAGATAAAAATTGGAATTCTAGGGTCAGGTTGTTAGAGCAAAGATGGGCGAGGAGGGGGCGAACATTCGTTTGTGTGTCATGTGAACGACGCCAATTGTTGCATTTCTGTTGGAGGTAGGGCCGACAAAATATTTAATAAAGTATCCTTTCACAATTAAGCATCATTTTATTAACCCACTGTGCAGTGAATTTATAAAGCATGAATGTTTAACGTTTGATACGGGCGTTCAACGCATACATCCTTTGAATAGTCTCTTGGGCTATCCCTGCACCGTCATTCGACATGGATCTCGAAATTTTGTTACAACACGTTTGAATTATGGCCCGGATAGTAACAAATTCAGTTGCTACCTCAAAGGCCTGATTACACTCTGCTGAACGGGACAGTGCAGGCTTAATCACCCATTATGGCCAGTTTGTAACGCGAAGAGAGGAATGATTTTCCACTGATTTGTTTGAATACACGACCGCCTGGAGGTGGAGCAAACGAGCACGTTAAAAAGCTAAATTAAGAGCATGTAACTTGTCTACGCGCTTCAGTTCGCTTGACCAATTCCCATTTCATTAAGCCTTTTGGCAACGGCTTTTGGAAGTGTCTCGGGTGTCTCATTCTAACAGTGGAATGCTAAACATAAATCATAATATTGGAGTCGCAGTCTAAATTTGATTATTCTGTTATTAACTATTTGTTAAGCATTGGTTGTGGTTTGCTTTTTCACTCACACCCTAGCCAAAGGCTCAGGCAGATGATAACACGATACCGCTGGTTTACTGGAAGATAATGTATTTCTTTACCAAAAGCTCTCAAAATACAGTGTGTTTTATTAGAGGACGCTGCAGTTCTTTTTACCACTGGCCGTACTGCATACCATTCTTTTTGCCATCACCCCAAAGCGAAAATGTTGGCGTAGGTGGCAATCATCATGGGGATATGATAGATAGGCAAAGCACTAGTGGCCAAGCAAGTGCTTTAACAATGGCAAATTGCTTTTGCGTATTTTTTGGTCCTAAATACCAGTACAGATGCACAAGAGCAATTGCCATTTACGAAGAAATGCAGATTTAATTGGATTTTCTAGAAATTTGTGGAAAGTTCTTTGTTTAATTAAGTGACGCTATTTTAGCGACACTGTAGAGAATCTAAATTAACCATCATTGTTGCTTTTAGATTTATTTGTTCGGGCAAATTAATAATACGTTTTATTATCCAAGAGCGAGGTGGTCTCAGGTGCCTAAGAACGGACAGATGGAGTAAGCCTTCGTCACGAAATGTTGAAAACGACTACACGGTCTGTTTAACTCCTTTTCCATCATTTGTCACACTTTTTGGGGCTGGTGTGAAAGCTTGAATGGGGATAGGCAGTTGGAAGGTAGCTAGCATACGTTTTTTTCAAATTTGCAAATAGTTGACACTACGACAGAGAGGCAACATCAAAAGTATTATATCCTCATTAAGCTCATTCATTTGATTTTCTGACAATATGCGAGACGACATCCAAATTCACACAAAATTTTTCCATAAAATCACCATTCCGAATCTTTTTAGCTCTAAGCGCTGTCTCTAAAGTGTTCTTTTTTAACCACGACACTGAGAGCAGACCGTGCGCACGTACATCATAGGAAACATTAGTCATCAGGCCGGTCTTTTGATGATGATATTCGATAGGTGATAAATTTAAGATTTTCGGAAGAGTGACTATTATATCCTAGAATCGAGGTCTTATTCTTTAAGTCTCTGCGAAGCCGCAATGTTGTTATAATTCGCGAATATTATATTGGATAGTGAAATGAAAGATTTTAGTTATAGGACCAGCCAACCATGAAAATACGCATCTATGGTTTACATCGGCGATGTGGGAAGTCTACTTTGATCTGCTTTGGTGATTCCTATGTTGGAGTACTTCGTCTCACGTTCCATCATACCAGCGGACAGTCTTTTCTTTTTTTAATCATTGAGATATCATGAGCGCTTCGTCAAGGTGGCCAAGGCACGCGTTCAGTCGTGGTGATAAGACCCGCTTACTTGAATTGCCGTGCGCATCGGCTGCTACCAATCTCCTTGGGAGGAATTATTTAATAAGTCCAATTTTTCCTTGAATGGAATAAGACAATTAGCTTATGGTGAATTCAAGAGGGGAATTAGTTGAAAGTACACTTATTTATAGGGTTATTTTAGCTGTCTACCTGACACCTTGCGTAAATAATGTGAAATACTGAATCCAAGGTGTCAAACCCTTTAGTATGTATCGCTTTCAAGTTTTAAATTTGAAAGCCATTACTACAAATGATAGCTTGAATTTTGTCAAATATTCTCCTTCAATGCGCACTTCTGATAGTTCAAATTGAAACCTTATTTATTTAACAATTAGCAGAGATTGCCAAAGTGATAATTAACAGTATATTTTCTTTGCTTTATTTGTACGATAGTAGTAGCAACAATTTAAGTTTTTGGTAGCATTTTAATCTTTTTTTATAAAAAATGGATCTAGGCGCAAGATACAACTCTGAGTTTCAGCTGACCAGACAATTATGTCTTATGGCACCGACAAGAGGATAGGAAACATGTTATCCGCCAACTCCAGGTCTTGAACGTCTGCAGACGTGTTGCAGCACACCATCACTAGATGTATCACTTTGGGATCATTTGATATGCATACTTCTGTTAGCAATGAAGTTAATTTAGGCCAGTCACGCACACTGTTAAGAAGCCATAAAATTCAACTGACTGTGGGCTACTTGTCAAATAATGTGCACCACTACGTGGGAGTTGGGTCATAATTCCAAACATGACCTTCTCTTTTGAGGAAGGTTAACATTTGACATCACGAGGTTACGGACATAAGGTCCAGATGACATTTTATCGGTTGAGTTTTTCACTTCCCTTTACTCCCTTCAGACTTGGCTTTTGAAATTTCGAGAGCAAAATTAGCGATACACCACAATTGTACCTCTGGTCTCTTTTGCTGCAAAGTGAAATCGCACAGAAAAAAATTTACCACCACACTAATAAATCAGTATAATTGGTGGAAAATATGGGAGCGACAGCGAGTGTTAACTGTTTAATTAAATTTCAGGGGTAAGTTAGATTCACCCCTCTGTCAAAATGGAGTCTAATTTATCAGATTTACTGGATTTAGATTGTGTGCCTCGTAAATAGACACTCAAGAACTGACAAGGTTAGTATCTTCTGGCAATCTTTACCTCATTTACTACAGTGGTTGAACCTTAAGTGCTGTAATTACTTAGATGCTATGATGAGATTCCTTGGGGCTATAAATTCGTCTTTCGAGATAACCAAAATAACACCCCAAAATGACTTCGTACCCACTTATTCGTTAGGGTTACCACTTAACTCGAACTTTACTTTAACACATTAATTCAGAAGAGGGCACTCATCTAAACGAGGGATTCTGGAGCATTCTATTTACAAGACAATATTCAGCTTCCTGCGTTTGTCGCTGGTGCGAAGTCTTGCAATCACGTTGTCATTATGAAATAGGTTGGACGATCTCTGAAGGCAATACGGTGGCCTAGAGTGGAAAAGCTGACATCAGTTGGGCACAATTTTACCAAATACACCCATAAGTCAATGAAGGACTTACCTCGCGGCATTGTAAACTAGACAAGAAGAACCGAATAACTAATGAGAATAGAAGCAAATAGATGTGGCTGTCAATTGGCTCAGAGCATGGGATATCACATTTACCTAGACATGTTGGTTTTGTGCCATTTATTTGCCTTGCTTAATCACTTATTTATTTATTTGCAGCCCAGTGCTTGTGTAGCAACATTTTGGAGTTGCAGGACTTAGTATCCGTGTAATAGGTTGGATTGAAAAGTACACCGAATCACCATCTTGTGTTAGCTCGTAAAATCTAATTTCCTACCATAGACTACGTGTGCAGGTTAACTTCAAGTAGGCCACCGGTTTGCCTCTCCACTACATATTGTTCAGAGTGGAATGAATGAAGATTGTATTCATAGACTTTTCAAAATTTAGGGTTTGTTCAAACGATTCTCCCCACCAATGAATTTAAAAGGTGTGTACTTGCTACTTTCCCTTCTGTCATTCCCGCAAGCTCTAAAGCACTTCACTAAAACTACAGAAAGTATTGCAGGAGAACAATTAAAAGCCATGATGTTCACCATTATCGTCATTTTAAGTCAATGTAGGATCTGTCACATAAGCATTTTCGATGAAACTTGGCTATACCCCACTCGTAGGGACGCTCTTCTTACCTGGCATTGATCATGCTGATTGCTGAATCAACGGCCATCGGCGATCCGATTATAGTGATTAAGCGAGAACAATACTGAAACTTTTCATCGTTAGAAATCCATATTGTGGCTTGAGATGCCTAAATAACGTTTGGAAACAAGTTTATTCCAAAGAAAAATCTAGGCGATATTTGTGTGTAACTGGTACGGATCTCGCTGATTGTTGCGTATGTTCATTGCGTCAGATCTCTTTTTTGAGCACTACGATCATCCGAGCTGTCACTTTAAATAGCAAGTAAAGTGAATTTCAGCTGGTCAGCTGAGTGCTAGCGATAAATCAAATATGCTTTAGTGGGAATTTCTGCCTGAGGCTAGTTCTAGCTTCCACTGCATCACACAAAGTGTCAGCAGCTTTTCCTCAACGTCAACTTTTTCTAGTCTCCCGCATCTACCTGGTTCATTGACTTCATTTAAGACAGAATAATCTGTAATTAAGATCACAATTGAAATGTTTTCCGCCAAATGAAAAGAAATTAAACTCACCTTCCTAATTTCATTAATCTTCATTCCACCCCTTCCAATGACACAGCCAATGAGGTCGTTGGCAACGAGCATATCTCTCCTCACCTCCCAATTAGATGCAGCTAATAAAACACTACTGAACAAGGTGGCATTTGCTGGGTAGGTTGTTTGAGGCGCTGGCGGTTGCAGCTGCAGTGGCGGCGGTGGCAACAGCGCGGCTGCTGCTGCTGTGGGCAGTGATACTGTTGATGGCAGAAAAGAGGCATTCCAAATGTTCGGCTCCTTCATTTCCCACCAAAATAATTTTGCTCACGTGCTACTACAAGCGGAGCGAGAACACGCACTCGAGTATTTACGGAGTGTGTCAGCTCCCGCTTTTTTAAAATACTCAGAAGTGAGGCAAGATTTTTAGTTTTTTTAATCTAACCGTTAAAATGGGGAGCATGGCCTTAAGACACCTACTTTTATTTAAGATGGTGGCTGTGACATTTGTTATTCGCACTAGAATAGTCGAAATTCGTGCTTTTCTGTAAAGGCAATTTTTCGACCAAGCAATAAATTTAATTAGAACCTACCTAGAATTTGTTACATAAGTAAAAGTGAATTCATGTGACCGTACTGAGAGAAAAAATGGTGGCTTTTTATAGCCCAGTCGTTAATATCTAGCACTGACGATTTTTGTTGCGCTTTCTATATTTAAGGTCTAAAGTAATGAATAGTATGATGTAAGTCACGTAAGCCTGTCTGTCTGGAGAGTCTCGATGGGATTGCGCCTTTTCCCATGGGTATTTAACCCTGTATTTGCGATCGTGCAAAGGAAAAGCCTCATAACAATGGCTCACCACAGCGAGCGAGGAGTTCGTTCAAAGCATCCGCTTCCTACAAGATAAAATACGATACGATTATTCACATATTCAGAGTAAATAGGAAGCGCAAAGTGGCCTAAAGTCGAGTCGAAGAAGGTTATTTCTGCCTTATTTAGCAAGTGAGGCAAAGCAAAATTGTTTAATCTTGCATTCTCAGTTACTGCAAGTAGGACAGGCGTTTCCTTTTTATCTCGATTACTTGTTATGTAGAAGTGAATTGTTGACACCAAAGACATAAAGGGAAAACTGTTATCGCAGAGGTTTTTCCATGTATAGTAGATGATACTAAGTGTTCTCCATACGTTTCGAGCTTATCAGATGACATGTAATGTTTCTTGGGAAGGCGACATCTGGTTTTGTAATTAAGTTGGTCAAGAACATTCGATTTATGTCAATGTGATATCGAATTATTTGAATAGGACGACGGCTGATGTTGACCTCATGAATGCGACAACTAAGGTGAGATTTAAGCCCATCACCCCAATGGTGCTGCATGGTCAAATCTTTTTTGGCCAAAAATCGTCTAGTCAAAAAGTTTGTTGGGTTCTCAGTTCAGCCCTCTACAGTGACACTTGATAAATTGTGTCCTATCCACTGCATTCAACTGTATGTGTGCATGGATTGTAGGGCATCTGTATGGGTCAGTCTAACAGTACTCCTTGCTGTGTTCTCCAAGGAATCGGGTGTAATCCAAGCTTATCTACTTTGAGAATTTAAGTTCAGTTCTAAAGTTTCATAAGATTCTCGTAAAATCTATTGCATAGCATTCAAGGAATGTGCAGTGGTAGACTGCGTCTCCCAGAAATGACTTAAATGCATAGTTTTATTCTGGTGATGGTACAACACGTTCCAGAAAACCCTCTACTCTTCACAGTAATGAGGAACTGTGTGTCAGCATCTATTAAAATATGTTATACATAGTGTGTTAAGAAGTTTCACTAATGCTGAACGTGAATTATTAAAGCGAAACAGGTTTTTTTTCACCCACGTCAAATAAAAAGGGGAAAATTTTGGTGGAAGTCAAGAGGATAAGTGCCGCATGCCGTGCAGTAACGTGTGACAACAAGCTTCACAGTAGGTCAGTTTTTCCCCACTTCTTCTATGTCATATGAAAGAAGTGAGATGTGGTTAAAATTGACTTTTGTAATGTAATGCAGAACGGACAAACGCCTTTAAGGCATCTGCCGCAGTGCTTGTTTTGTGTGAGAGCGTGATGCACTGCAGATGGTGCTGCCATCTACGAAGTTCTACTGAAGGCCGAGCAATTGCGGCTGAGATCCATCCGCCCGACACATTTTTAACGAGTGCAAGAAAAACTTCCCCCATAAACACCCAGAACAAATAAATCAGTAGGAAGAATGTCCTAATCCTAAAGTACAAAGCAAGACCCCATTTTGGACGAGGCAAAACTTCACTCGTCAGAAAAATTGCCACTCTTGGTAGGATCTGAATGCGATACTAAACTGACTCCTCCTCTGACATCTCTCCATCTTATTATCATCGCTTCTAGACGGTAAACCACCACATGCGAAATGGACGATTGGGAAATGAAGGTGAAGTAAAACATGTTGTAAGGGTGGAATTTGCAAGCAGGTTGGTGTTACAGCGGAGAAGGATAATAAACTAAAATAGTATTTATTTTACTAAGAAAAATTAAAGTTATTTGGTTTGCACTTTAAAGAACCTCACCTGCTTAACCTTTTGTCTGTTTGGACGCAGCATGTTGCCTTTTGCCGATCTGCATGTGGTCGGGCTTAGAAGGTAATTTGGATTTAATTGGGGTTTACACAAAAACGCAGTTAGCTTTTACTGTTAGCATTATATTGTGTCCGTTTGCCAAATTAAACGAAAGCAGATTTAGGTTTTAGACTATTCACACATTTGCAAAACAAAAAATTCTGGTGGAAGTCAAAAAATATTTCCTCAACGAAATAAAATCATTTACATTGGCACCGTTGATGTCTTCAATTTTCATCTTTTAGTCACCAATGCCGCAATAGAGCCAAAAGATCTTGGCTTAAGTTGAAATCGAAATCACTTATACAAGGACCACTAATGGACCGCACAAAGTGATTACCTTGCTAATGCATTTTCCTGAGGGAAACGTGTCCTTTAGTGATTCGTATCGCCTTTCAGTGGCTTGTAGGCCAGACGTGCCTTTCATTAAATTACTGAATGTCTTACCTTTAAGTCGGTGACTCTTTGTCCACTGTTTCGAAAAGTGCACGGTCTGGAAATCATTGGAGCTGCAAATTTCAGCCTCTGAGGAGAAGAAGGCACCCCTGAGTAGGCACTGGCAGTTTTAGACGGTGGAATGTATGGTATTTCGTTTGATCTCCCCTTGATCTATTATGAAAAATCGGTTTCCTTAAATTTTGAATAATGTTGCCAGTACTTTGCACGAATGCTATCTAAATGTGCCTCCATTTTACGCACAATGGTTACTTTGCGCATCGCGCCGTGTTGGGGTTAGTCAGAATCCTCCCTAGCCTCATTCCAGGAGCCCTCTCTCACGTGAACGTGTGACTGCGCACTTTCATCTGCTGCATGTAAAATAGGCCTAAATAGGTAGAAATTACTAATTACAAGAAACTACTTGCTTAAGGTTTTCCTTGAGATCAGAAAGCTGTTAACAGATTGTCAACATTCTTGGGCATCCCAAAAATTTATTTGCACACCTCACGGTGATATTCCTCTCCATGCCTAAAATGACCTTTTTGAATCAGCATAGATGCAGGGACGTTAATTTGCATTCCTACCTCCACTCCTGTTTAACTCCGCTTGGCTCATACATCTTCTGTTTGTGCGTAACTCGTAAAAACCCCGGCAAAATTCCTTTCCCATTTCGCACAGTTACTGTAACACGTGAACACTTCCCCTATTTGTACTTTGAGGTGATATACTTCTTTGTTCTGATAATAAAAGGTTACCTTTTCGGAAAGCTAATGCCTAAAATGATGCACTAACTTCTTTGATTAGTCGGTAGGGTCATGTTGTCAACTTCTGGATTAATAGGATTTGCCTGCGTTTGTCTATTTCTAAGGGTGCATCACTGCGTGGCGACACTTGTCACTCACCGCCAACGTACCTCTCCCACCAGAGCGCATATCATCTCAAGGCACATCGTAATCGCCGCGACTGTACCGTAGATGAAGAGAATGCGATCGGTTGAGTTGGGCAATTTATGCCGTGTAATCTTGAGCAGGGAACCCGTAAGCTGAGAAGAAACGGGCGACAGAGTTAGTGCAAAATAACGAATCGGTTGAGTTGCGCATCAGTTAAATTTCGTCAGCTGGCACTGAAATGAATCATAACCTAACTGCACCACTAGTTTTTACTGCGCTATCCTTTTTACTCTTGTGGTTGTGTCAATGTGTCTACGTTCCTTGAGATGAATCCGTGCAAACAATGTGGATGTTAAAAGCATTTTTGGAAGAGAATGGATGAAAAAGCATGCGTAGACTGATGTATACAGGAGTAGATTTCATGGAATTCTGAAATCTCTCCCTACCACATATTTTTTTCATCACTTTGTCTGCTAATCATTATTTTATAGATCAAACTTTAGCAAAGTTATCTTGCTAAGTAGATATCATTACCTGTCTTAGCTTGTGAATACTTTCTCCATGCTGGCCAATTAGAGGTCCACAAAGCGAGGTGGGCAAAAGTATCCGAAAAATGAACTTGGGAATGTTTGAAATGTTCTCCATTGTCAAACGATCAGCGTACATCTGTTTGTATTATAAAACAATTCATCAAGGACATATTGTGGCATAAATAAAACCCTCTGTAATGAATTTATACTTTGCTTCTCCTTATATCTGCCTACTTAAATCATGAGCAGCACATGCCTAGTTCATAAATCCCATTTGTTATAAAAACGTTGTTGTTTGCTGCTTTAGCTGGAAGTCTTTGGTAGTCAAATGCTTCCTTTTTGACCATGGTGAGTAATTGTCAATCCAAATTACACTGCAAAGGATAAAAGCTTGTTCACTTTAAGCCTAACTCATGATGATAAAGCAGTCAAAACGTAGTAATATCAAATTGATTGGCCATTATTCAGTTGCAAAGTTTGCATTCACTCAAGTTTTTCAAGCGTCACCAATGGTGTTAAAATATGGAACATACCCAAGCAAATTCTCGACAGAATAGTTTAATAACACGAATTACAGCCGACATATTTCCGGAAACAGAGACGATTCTCTCCTTTACACCCCTGTCAGACACCTTAATTTTTGCTCCGCTCTAAAAGTGAAAGCCGTCACCAAAGTAAACTGTGCAAGCCAAACTTCGTTCGTCTCTGGCATTTACTTCAGTCCCATCAGGTAATCAACTTCAAAGGACGCAGAAATTACAGACTAATTTGTACTTTCAAGTGCCAAATCTAGTTCAATGTCATTAAAGTGGGTGTGCTGTTACATGAAAACATCACGTAAAGCGTTAGGCGAGGACGCGTGCATAAACGATTAGATGTGAGTGTTTTGTATACCCTCTCGCCAGAGTAAGGACTGTCTAGCAATAGAATCTTCTCTCGAGGAGTTCTGTCATGACCGATGCAACTACGTCCACAAGTAGGGGCAATGGGGCGTGGCTAAAAACAAATCGCCCACGTGACAACGCACTTAGCTGAGCCTTAGCTGGGTTCGAAGAGTAGTCCTTCAAAATGCTTTTATTCGTTTTGTGAAGTGGAAAGTAAGCATTGGCATTCATGCTGGAAAACATTTTCTAGCCCATCCAAAGTTCTAACTTTTCATGCTTAGAAATTAGGAATATTTTGAGCGCTCATGACAAGCATTTCTCTTCAGGTTTCACAAAGTTATTATCGCCTTTATTAGCAAATATTTGAAATTAAAAAAATATACATAATTCCTCATTTTGCAGCATGAAAAACTTTTACTCACTCTTTTCCGGAGAAAGCTGATGGTTTCCCCATTCTAAAAATTTATTTACGTAAAATTTGGCGCTACAATACTACCTTCCCAATGATACATCCGGCCTCCTGCAATGAAAGCAGACTTTGGTTAAGTGCATAATTAATAAACTGGCTAAAGAATTAAACATGCTTGCTCAATTTACATGGATTTTAAACTTACTATCAGATATTTTTGAGGCAAAAGGGAGGAAATACGGAACCTACACGTCTTGACATCAGGCATCTTATTGAAACCGGTTTGTCCCAGGTGTATTTCCAACGGCTGTTTAGTGTGTCTACAGCCTCCTCTTTCTTTGTACTTTCACCCATATTCACTATCGGTATGACTGCCTCAAAGTCGACTCCGGCGGGACACATGCCCCTCCTAATGTATCCAATGCCTCTTTAAGAATGTTTTGGTACGTTAAATAAATGCCCCATTCTTTATGGCCGTTTTGGTTGGCTGACTACGCGGAGTGCCGGCCATATAGCATAGCCGAAGTAACGCCCCCATTGGTCGCAGCATAAGTCTGCAATTTGTCGGTCCTAAGCCAATCCCACGGCGTCTGGGAAAAACTATTCTTTCATTTTGGATCCAAGATACACTACTGAATCCGATATAACGTTTGTTGCCACTGTAGACCCTAAGCATTCGCTCTGTGTTACGTTTGATCTGTGGGTTAGTTAAAAGATACCATGTGGGTCAAATTAAGGCACCATGTTTAAAGGTGTAGATACTTTCTTTTTCTAAATAATGCCTACGATGTACAGTGGGGATGCTGCTCTCGGTAACAGCTCAAATATCGTTAAAAGTGTGAAAATCAAAACATTTTCAAAGGGGATCATTCGTGTTTGTGCACAATGACTTGCCTCCATGTTAGGCTCTTGGTGATTAAGCATACATAATCTGCTTTAAAGATGAGATATACGTAGCTTAAGGTCCAGGCTGGTTGGCGAACGGACTAGCTTATACGGCTATCATAATTGATAGAATATTCTAGCTCCCTTGCCACAAAAACATTCAGATGTGCATGATTCGGCCCAAACTTTCTCCCTCGAACATTTGGGATTTTTTTTGCCCATTAGGCACATTCTTAAGTTTCTATTTACCGACATTTCATCATGAGTATACTCTTGGGTTTTGGTAAAGTTGGGTAGGTGAGCAGTCAGATGTATTTTCTGCATTCCTCAAAAACCGTAAGCTGACATTTCCTAAGACTTTCATAAGGTGAGGCGCTCTTATTGAGGCCTCATTTGACATATACAGTGTTAAATTATATGACACCCATGACTGCTTAACTAAATTTGGGAATCCCTTTCTATTGGCATCAGGAGTTTTAAGTAACCGGGCTTTGGCATTATTTCTCGTGGCCACGGATTAAACTCTTTTTTAATAAATAGCATTACGTGCCAAAACCAACAGTGATAGGAGGACTTACTAATGTTTTACGCAATTTGGCGACCCACCCTTTGCATTGTGCGCTTGGACACCCAAAACTAGGTTGTCCTTTCACGCTATAATTAGGGAACAGAAAATGCATCAACGATCTGATCCAACGATTATCCCCCCGTCAAACGGCCTCATGCACATTGAGAGGTAGGTGGGGATCTGCGCCAGAGAATCACTTGGGCAAGCTAGATTAGTCCACTAAAATTTGTGCGCCTGTTCACTGTGGAAGGATTGGTGGCGACTCCGCATCGACTTTCCCACGTGGTCCTGAGACAGTTAAGGGCGTGAATGTCACACGGACTAAGTTAAGTACCGTCTGGTCTCCTTCGCAGCTATCACGCATTACCGGATCTACAACCTAGTGATTGAATGCCTCAAATTCATATAAATCGGCCAGGTGATGCACACCTAACCGATTCCCCTTAGCGCCTAAAAGCATCCATAGACCTCAGGAAAGACAACCGGACTCCTTGTTTATAAAATTATGAGATCAATTCATGGTAGTTAACGCCAGAAGTTAAATCGAAAGGTAACAGTTAATAGTTAAATTAATTTGACAATTTTTTGCGTACATAAAGTGGTGGCATTGCGCACCCCACTTTCAGTGCTGACAACTTTGGTTTAAAAATTTACAACCACGTAATCAAACGAGGACCGAAGCGCTTAATCTTTTCAACCCAAAATCGGGTATTTACAGTTTTACAACCGTAGTCTGGTTCAATAAAGCAGCATCTTTTTCTTGTTATTTGAAGCAATCTAACACAAACCCACTTAGTAGGCATTCAGCACTTGTTAAAGTGGTTCAGGCGGCAAAGTAAATGCCTAGTCTACAAGAGCCGGGTCATAGGAACGGTATTCATTGTGAAATACCAAAAATCATTTATTTCCTCAAAAAATGCCTACCTCTCCCTTAAGCACGGAGACCAGTTATTTCCAAATGGTAAAGGTTTTCATTCCCCCTGCTAGTTAGCAATATTTCCTGCAGTAGTAACTGCCCCGGAATCATCCAAGTTGCCTGTTTAAAAAGTGCGTTTTGTGACAAGGCTACCAGGGGAATCTTTGGTACACGCAATCCGGTAAATGGGTCTTGTCTTGGAAATAGATAACATAGCACTACAATGTGGCATTAATAATTCAGCTATGTTTTCTATACTAAATGAAAATATGCAAAGACGTTGGATTCGTGTAAATTTAGTCTCCCTCTATGCGTTTCATGCCCGGAACTTGAATCCACATTTCGACAAGTAGCCCAGAAACCTGCTTTCAAAATTCTAATGATGCATTTTATTAGAATCTTTTGAATTTCCAATCCCAGGTTCTATGAGTTGATAGATCTTTGGCATCCCAAGCGTCATGTGCCTACATACACCAAAAAAAGTTTATTTTAAAAAATGATGCGAAAAATTACGCTGAGCTACTTCAAGACCATTTAAGAAATGTCGCCTATTCAACATTGCTATCGCAAGCCCGACATTTACGCCCATGATCATTCAGAGTATGACAGCTATTAATTGACTGAATGGCATTTTATTAGTTATAGCTTACTAATTTTGTTAAGGTTCACCATATATAAACCACATTTTCGTTTCACAACTAGTTTTAAAATTCCATTTTGGTGCTAGACAGGCAGAGCCTTTATTCACCTGAATGGATCACTGAGTGTTTCGCTTGTTGAGATGCTCCCGACTTGATGCTGGTTGAGGAGGATAAATTACATGTCAACGCTTTCGTATCTTACGTAGGATCACAAATACGAGGCTATTTTGATCTGATTTCATCTACCAAAAAGAGGAGACAAATTGCTTGACCCCATCTTAGGAATTATAATTTTTGGTAACATTATTTAAACTAGGGTTAAGAATGTCCCAATTCAACCATTGCGTCAGAACTTTTTGGTTTCGAGGCAGGAGAAGAGGGTCATTTGAAGCTCCAAAGTCGCAGTCAGGCAGCCGAGGATGCACCCTTTTTAGTTATCGCGACATCCAACAGGGAAGTATAGTTGTTACACGGAACTGTGAAAAATCACTAACATTAAAATTAACATGCCTAGAGTACCGTTTTTTACTCATTTTCTTTCAGGATACAATGCTAATATAGAGCGTTATAGACTATAGTAATCGCTGAAATGCTTGGATACAGAGTAGTGCTAACAACTGCAGCGAGTACAAAAGGTGCTCCAGAGCACGCAGTGTTACCAGAAAAGAAGCGTTTTATTCAAAATAATCGAAAGTTCCAGGCTATTTACTGATATACATTTGCATATTGTGGATTTATTCCTCTGAATTGCTTACACCTGCGGCTCAGATTCGATGTAAACCAAATACGACAGACTGACAGTAGACATGCTTGCTATCTGGGCGGTGTCGCAATTATACACCCCAACCAGACTTTATCTATAACGAGGGACAAATGACTATCTCGCAAAATCACCACCTCGGTACGAAACGATACAAACGGCGTTGGATTACACAAGTCCAACTCTTTTAGTGGTTAAAACTGGAGCTACTTCATTCCCATATACCCTTGACCAAAGGTTTACTACTTCAAGAGTTCACCAACTTAACCTAAGTATTTGACAACAAAATTCCCGGAGCCGAATTGGATAAGCTCATATTTTCAAGAAAATGAAAACACCGACCCAAAAGTCAGAGGAACAACTCCTTTTTACTATCCCAAAACTGGCCAAGCTTAATATTTTACAGTCACTCTCACCAAGAGTTAGAAGTTACCTCCATAAAGCAAATTCACTAATTGAGTTGAATATGACGCCACGCCTTTGAAGAGGCTTCGCACAACCTGATATCGGGGCGAATGAGAAATTAAACCAGTGAAATGGTTACTTGACCCATGGTTTAGGATAATTTGCAAAGGACACAATGAATTGTTGTAAAAACCTACCTTTTCCCAAATGGTCAAGTAAAACGTAGCCTGTAAAGTATAAGGCCCCTTGTCGTGGTTTCAATTATAGGATCTCAGCCATATTAGCGGATGAAAATTCACGGTATTCACATTGTGGACAAACCTAAGCTTTTCACTGAGAGCCACTTACTCATTCAAATCAACAGCAAAAATGCTTAAAACATGACAAAACACAAAGTGGGAGAGTAACATTAACATTTACCTAACTGATAACCTGCATTAGTCTCATCTAGCAATGTTAAGTTGACGCCTGATGTCTCCTCGTCACGCATATTCGTGCCAACGCCCTAAGCCACGAACGAGGCGACGCCTTCGTCGATTGCAACGGCGTCCCTCAGTTTATGCCTCCACTCCGGTATGTCTCATAGCTCAAATACATGAAATTCGACACATCCCACTCTGTTTATGATGGACGAGCAACACCCGAATCTCTCCTCCCAAAAAACCTGTTTGGAAAGTAACAAGTGCACTTGCAAAACGCCTATATTAGCAAGAAGCACCAGCAGGTAATCAACTTAACGGAACGCAAAAAAACTAATCCTGTTTTGAGGTTCGATTGCCACTGTTGTAACTAGTACTGCCAACAACGGAGGAGAAGGAAACGAGGCGAGTGGAGGGGGTAGTGGCGGTGGTGTCGACGGTGCAACGGAGGGGAGCAGGTCGAGCGGCAACGTGGACGGGTGCCGAAGTGAGGGCAGCATCGACGACGCCGATTTTCACAGAGCCCACAAAGGAGGCCTCCATCCTACCCGCCAGACTCACGTAGTGTTGTTTTGAGCCGCCACCCGGAAAACGTACCCGACCTCCAATGGCAAGCGCCTCTACATACCTGTGAGGTGGTGGATCCAGTTCTACACATTCCACTCCATAGAACTCCGCTAGCTCAATTATGAAGCGCCGCTTCGCATGGTTCATCGGACTGAACCGATGGCTCACGCACTTGTTCAAATTTGGATTTGATCCCGACGACTTCATCAAACCCAATGTCTACAGTGCATAAGAGAGACTTGTCGCCATCCAATTCTCTGCTCTTCACAACAGCGCATATTTACGTACTCAAAATAGCACACAGGAGGACAAAAATGGGATTCGCTGCAGTCTTAAGAGCATTGCTTACCGGCAAATATTGCTATAAATCTGGGGGGTAAATCACGCAGTAAAACGCGGGTTGGAACAGATGGTAATATCATGATAAGCGCTATTACCTTCATTAGCCAAAAATAACAATGCAAATATATTATTGGAACACTGACAAACACTGCACTACTCGATTGCGTGACTGAAATTGGACCGTTTGGAGTCCGAAAAAAGTTTACTGTCCAAAGAAGAAGAGGAACGAAAGTCCACTCATCCACCACAGAGGAATTCACCGGAAAAGAAGGAAGATGTGTTGGGTAAAAAAGCGTCGTCATTTGCAGCGCAAAGCCTTCCCGTAGGCAAAAGCGACCAAACTGTAGTGTGTGAAATCAAAATCCATTGTGGAGCTAATGACTCAAGTAAATTGGGGTGCGGCTAAGTTACTCGCTTATAAATACGTTAAGTCTGGAATAAAACATTTTACCTGAAATTGATTGGAGGCAAACACATGAGCCGAAGTTGTGTGGTACAGCAATGCACAGGTAAATTTAGCCAACCATTATTTTGCAGTATTGCAGAATAAAAGGCTGCAAAAAAGCTTTAAAACTATCAGCACAAGCAATCTTGCCCTACCGTTAACCCAGGACGCAGGACATGAAAAACGGAAGGCTGACTTATGTTTGGTGGTAAGCAGACGCGGTACGCAAAAGATTTGCAGGTCTAACCTCGTCAACCAAATTGTAAAGAACCTTTTCCACCTCCACAGCGAAGGAGAGGTTATTTGATGCAAACTGCTTAAGCCAATCGGAATACTCGGGTGGGGCAAAGGCAGGCGGCAAGGACTCATCGATCACATGGGTGCCACCACGCACCCACATCTTGGGCTCGTTGTGGGTCGCCGCCTCGGCTTCCTCCTCTGCCGCTTTCGCTTCCCGCATCGCCTGAGTGCAGGAAGAGTCGCAGGGCAGCACCTCTTTTGAGGGCAGACCGAAGGGCAGGGCCGTCGATGCTGAACAGCGAAGGAGGAAGTTAGGGTCCTTCTTTGCAAGTCCTGCTACCAGAGTCTTCACCTAAGGGGGTTGAACGATTAGAAAATATCGTTAACTTCACTGTGTTATAGCAATATAGTCATCTCTGCAGGGCATAAGGTGCCTACTGTAGCGATACAGAAAGAAAGAGAGTAAGAAGTGGAATGTAATGGTTGCCCCACATGAGGGCTTAGAATGCAGTAATCGATCAACGGTAACACCGTGTAATTCAATGCAGGGGCGGTAAAAAGGCGGATTCGCTCGTGCGATTATCCTTCTTCCACCCCAAAGGACGGGAGAAAAGCGCACAAACACAATTAATAGGCAGAGGAGGTTACAATCCGTGTCAACATAGCCAGAGGCAAAAAAAGACTTTTTTTCTAGTTCAACTGTGGCGAATAGGTAACTTCCTTAGCTGATATCTGTTCAGTAAGGATGGGTAGATTTCAATAGTCATTGTACAAGTTTAAATATAAACAAACGAATATGCATTAACGGCACGATTAAAAAGCCTCCTATGCGCACTACAGCTTTGACAAAGGAAATATGAATAAAAACCATTCACGTTCAATCCAACTGAGGAGGAGGTTCTAAAACATGACACAAATTCGGTTAAATGCAAAAAAATTGCCATATGCATGTAAATTGTAGTACAAATTACAGCGGGTTAAACTTAATGATAATGGCTATTAGTTTCACTTGGATTCTGACGACACATGATGATCCCGAACACGGAATGATTTCAAGATGGTTTAACAAGCAGAAGTACAAACCAAACAGGCGTACCTCTTGTGTAAACGCAAATAGTAAATTAGGAAGTAGGCGTATCCGAAAGAAAAAAATTCATGAAGAACCGAGATGCATGAAAGCTACTGCCAATTGAGAGTAGTAAAGCGCAATGTGTAAACGAACCCGGTAGCAAGGCTGTTCCTCACACCGATGTCCGCAGGTGCAAGAGAGAGTGACAGGCACGTGGCACTTGAGTGAGCCGAGAGCCTCGACGCAGGGAATTCCGGCGGCCTCGTGGCAGGGTTGACCGCAGGGATGGCCACAGTCAGGGCGCGGCGTGGCACAGGGCTGTGTGCACACCGCGCTACCGTCCTCGCTCGGGAGCAGACAGTCACCCGCATGGCATTGGCGACGGCAGCGGTGCGAACAGCCCGATAGAGGCTTGTCGCACGGACGTCCGCAGGTCACCACGGCCTGGAAACAGGGCACGTTGAACATCCACGTGTGGTCTGCAGCACAAGTCAAACAATCTTTTTGCCGGTAGTGGATTCCATCATGCATTTCGTCGATTTCTTACAAGTTACACTATTTAGCGGTCACTTTCATCTTTATTACGAAGTCTCACATCGGACTATGGCCAGATATTTCAAGTCAAATGGGATGCACTCCTGTAATTTGAAGGAGTAAGTCAAAAGATGCGGTGCAGAAACAAACGTTTAACTTTCTGATATAAATCTAAGATAACTGGGGCTATTTTAGAATTTATCTATCAGTCTTTTAATGATATCAGCATCGCTCGGAAAAGTGGCAAGAAAATGAAATAACATAATGGTTTCACCAGCACAAGTGGAGGAGGAGATATGACTTATGCTGCAATGAAATTCAAGGAACCGTTGGCGGTCAGGTCGGATGAGCGAGAAGCGAAAGCATGATACCCACTTCTAGCAATTGACCTTTCAGCAGATTCATAAGTAACGCGCCAAAGAGAGATAAAACACGCAACCTTGGGAAAACAAAGCTGCTGGAAAAGTGGAGCACTGATAAAGCTTCAGCGTGCCATAAAAGCTGAGCGCCGTTCTGCTGTGTGTAAACAAAATGTAGCGAGGCAAAGGCTTAAATAACTCGTTATCGGGCGGCAAAACGTGCGGTAGACGGAGTCAATAACAACTGAAAGAGGCGTAAAAAGAATGAACGCATGGAAACATGTTCTATAAGAAATACCACTTCACTGAGGCTATTACGGTAAATGAAAGTCATGGGACAGTTTTAAATTTGGTGGTTGCGTTATTGACTAAAAAAGAAGTTTATGGCAAAATGCTGAATTTAAGATAACGAAACATCAAGCAATGCAACGGTATAGCATCGCCGTAGTAGAGAAATTCCTGCTCAAAGAAAAAGTAACATTCCCCTTATTTTCCACTGTCTTAATTTTACTTTTAACGGCTTATCGTGAATGTACGACGTCTAAATTGACAAAGTACTTAGAAAGAACAGATTGACCTAACTGATATTGATTCAGTATAACTCCTTCAAAGGAATAGGGAGGACGCACGAACGAGCACGATTGTTGATTGCACTGCGTAATGGGACCAAAAGAGACTTACTTCGACAGAAGCTTTTGCTACTGCCACTTCATATTGGCATGGCAATCTTATAAACTGCTCAATATCTGAGACAAAACTGCCACTCACCGCCGGGACAGCGTTTGGTCATAAGAACAGTGCACTTGGGACACTCGGGCTCGGAGTGACAGGTGTGCTGCACAGGGTGATCGCAGGGGTGCGGCCGCGAGCAGGGCTGATTGCACTCAGGCGGCGCAGTGCCGCAAGGCTGCGGTGGTGGTAGAACGGTGGCACCACAGTGACAGTACACCTCCTCGTTGATCACACCTCGCCAACACGGACCGCAGGGACCGCAGTGACATAGGTCCTCGCAGGTGTGCTTTCCGCACGCCAGCGTGCGACCACATATCTCCTGGCACGCATGGATCACCATCTGAACAATGGAACAAGAGACATTACAATATCGTTGCGGCCCCTCCTCACCCCCTTCCTTGGATTTACTCATCAGCAAGGCGGTTTAAAAATGAAAAGTGGGCTCTTCAATCAGCAATTAAACAATCGTAGGTGCCGGGAAAATAGTGCAATGCAGTATTGGTGACAATAAAAAAGGACGTTATGAGCGATTATTTCAAGTATCATCTTAGGCATTCACTACTGGAGAGCCAAACATCAGAGGTAGATTACGTGAGCCTGTTTTACCGTAAAAGACTACTTAATATTCTATTCATCTTAGCCACAGTGCAGAATTAGGCGCTTGTGACGGTCCAAAGGGCTTAGTGCAGCAGTTGATTGAAGTTACTGTAAAAAAAGTGCTGCAAAACTTTGATTTCCGAGTTTGGTCTGATATGCATAGTGGAAGAATGATACGTTCACAACATACCGGCATCGCATATAACTAGTTAAACAAGCTACACCCAAAGAGGCAAACAGCCCCAATCATAAAAACCTATACGATCCAACCGAAGTTCTCTTAGGATTGATTCGTTTTTCACCGTAACCAAGCTAGGTAGCTTACATTTGTTTGACTCTACTCTCCGGGCAAGTCATTATTACATGCATGCATATTCTTGCAAAAGCTAATGCCACCCAAGGCATCAATGACCCCCAAGTATTTTCTCGGGCAAGCACAAGCAACCAGGCAGGTGCATAATTAATTACAGTTTCATTTCAGCAACAAAGACGTTACCATGACAATTGGACAAATAGTCAAGATTAAAAAGCGTTGTATCCAAGTTGATTATTGACTTTCATTTATTTTAACTAGAAGGCAGGGTTGCGTTATTCACGAATTTGACCCGACAGCCATAAATCCCGCCTTCCATGAACATGATACAAAAAGCAAAATTTTGATCAAAGAAGAAATAGTGCAATGCCTAGTCTGTCTCCTTTCCGATGAACCAAAATGTATTTCGAAATACTATACAAATAAAAGCTGGGTTAGCATGAAATGGGATCAACCTTCTCATCGTCAAAGATAGCGGAGGTTTAGATCAAATGACAACCCACCACAACGAACTGATTTTCCATAAAGACAACACAGATTTTGCCTATCTAGAGCGCTAAAAGGCATTAAAATGCAATATCTAACAGCACTAAAGAAAAAGGAAATCGGGCGCATCTGCAATTATTCACGCCCTTGGAAAATGAGATTTCAATCTACCAGAAATGGTGCAGCATTAGAACAAAAGCACGATAGGGTAAGCTCCAGTAATTGAGGGTAAGCATGAAAGGACTGTCGGTGGAAAAACTCCATTGCACAAAGGATGCAATCACTGATTTGATTTTTTATCAGCATACAGTGGGTTATGAAGAGAAATCTATGCTACCTTTGATGTTGGATTGGGCCGTTCTATCTTTTACTGAAAGAGAAGCCTGCACTTTCGTCCAACAATCATTTTGATGATTGCTTGACTATGCATCAACACCGAAAGGGATGAATGCGGCTTGGTGGCTGGTGGATTTCTATCCTCATTCGAAATAACGAAATAACCCAAACCAACAACTTCATTCGATACAAAGATTTACTCGTTGGATTGTGTAAGTGTTTCACGTTTTATCTCTATTACCCTTCCATTCTGGTTAGATTTATTTCGTCCCGAGTTTCTGTCATAGTGAATGAACCGTTGCCCCACTGTAGAGAACAATGAGCAGGAGCTCGAGATAAAGCAATGTTTACACACCGGGGGCTACAAGCTTAACCATCGCGCGGTCGGACAAAATGAAACAGGGAAACGCAAACAACCTCCGACAAGCAATAGCCCCTCCGTATAAGCTGACTTCCTCCTATGGTGAGCGTATATTAATACGGTCGCAGTAATAAAAGTCCACCTCAAATGACAGTAATTTCAAAAGCCACTAAGAAAGTACTTTATATAGCAAGCCTTTTTAATGCTCTTGAACGTAATCATATGAATATGTAGCAAATAACGAAAGGTACGCAGCAGTAAAACTAGTTTAAAGGGCATTTCTTTTCAGATAACTTTACCAAGCGGACATGGAGTGAAAATAAAGAACAAGTTTCCACAAACTTTCTGTACAGCATTTAAAAAGATTCTCCAAAGATTTAGGCTAACCAGCAACCTTTTTGGCAATGATTTGGAACAATACTATCAGTCATCATGTCAAATGAGTCTAGCAAAAATACGCCAACTAGACAATTAATGATTTAGATGACTTGAGTTGACGCAACAAAACTCTGCCTTCAAAAGTCCCCTGCAGCAAGCATATGAATAATCGCAGATGTTCACATCTAGGATCACGCACATAAACAAGACGCAGGAACTTCACCGGGGGTTATAAAGTAAAATCGCCAACCGATTCCGGCTATGCTGACAGGGATTACCCTTTAAAAGTGTTTCGTCGCAAATTCTTCAGCCTAGATGCGTTGCACGCTTCCGACGCGACGCCTTAGAGGCAGAGATAGCAAAACTGTGAGCCATAAGAGAAAAAGGATTTATTTCTAATTATAGACTTAGGCATACGCATTGCAGGTTTATCATTGGAGACGAAACACGGGCGACACAGAATAAGCTCACTCATAAAGGAAGTGCGAAAGTAGCAGTGCGTGGTTTTCCAGAGCAATAAAGCCATTCTGGTCTTTAGTGAAGTTTTGTTCATAAAAGTCAACTGTTAGATAAGCCCACAAGCAGAAGCGCATCTGCAGTTGGAGCAGAAACTGTCGAAATGAAGACATTTGATTCAAGTTACTGTCAAAAAGGTTTAATCATCAATGTATGGGTGAGGCGGACGCACTTTTACAAAAGTTTAAAAGGAGTCTAAAAACCCCGAGGGGCTTTCCAGTGAACAGGGATTACCGTTGTAACAACAGGGCAAGGTACGAAATTCATCAAACCACACAAATGGAATAGAAGATTGATTGGTGATGCGAAATCTTTGTGTGCATTTTGCGTATTATGAAGGGCACGAGGAACCATGGACGCATATATACAGTAGAAGAAATACATCTTACATCACAGCATTTCCGATTGCACTTGTGTCGCCCGCAGGATTTCTTTTTCCGACATATTCTTCCACATAAAAATTTGAAGGAATCTGAAGCACAAAAAAGTTGCGCCATGGAGCATAAGGAAAAGAATAATGCTTCGAAAGGGCATCGCTGGTTCAAGATGTAGTATACTAGCTTGCCACATGTTTCACGCAAATATAGGGTAGCGAAACCAAGAGGGAAACGCAACATTATTTAATTAGAGGAATACATGACCCAAACTAACACCCACAGGCATCCGTGACGGGTCTACAAAAGGTCAAAATTAACATGCACAGATGTCAACAAGAGGGAGTAACATGATTGCGAGAAAGGGTGAAAATCAACTTACCCGGATCCTTTTTCACAGCCAGGGCATATTCGAGACAGGAAATCTCCTTGGAAGTCTTTCCGCAACGACAAGTTATCTTAGTGGTGAGCTTGCACGGAGGGCAGCTAGGGCCAGGGTGACATTTCTCTGGACAAGGGTGTCCGCATATTGGGTTCGGACGACCGCAGACATTAGGGCAGACAGGGATGGGATCAGTGCACTTCTTTCGATTTCCATGTTCATCTCCGTTCATTACCTGCGGAATACCAGGAGATGGAGGATTTCTTATACCTTTTTGGCGATTTTACAGGGTAATGCCTAAACTGAAAGCATTAAATCCTATATGTTGGTACGGAAATTTTTGATTGAAAAAAGCCTGTCCTTTTAAACTAGTCGGCAATACTGTGACTAAAAATTCTGCAGGTATCTCCATGCTATCTGAAAATACAACCATGAATCAAATAACTTACACTATGGCCTTCACAGTTTTTTAAGTAGAAATTGTAAAGTGGGACTTGAGTTTAGAAGTCGCATTTTTATTAGCATAGGTACTGTTACAACTACTTGAGAGTAAACGACCTTTAAATGTAAAGCGTAATGGGGCATGGAGCAAAACTTTTCTCCGAACGAATGTATACTTGTTTACGTAACTTAAAGTTCCCAATTCACAGAGCACTCCCCTCCCTCGAATGGATGGACATCACCCCCATTCCAACATCCAAAAGAAACGGCCAAACAGACCCCACTTGACACACCAAAATACTCACCAAAGATTTTCGACGGTAATGACAGAAAAATTCAAAACGCCAGGACATCACGCCCATGTTTTATGTAAACGAGATGTTCAAATTCTTTTGTTTGAACATGAGATGAGCCACGAAAAACCTGGTTTTAAGCGGATAATGAAGCTCGAAAAAGTAGAGAGGAAATTGACTAAAGTGGCGGCGACTGCATCAATTAAGAGGGGCCATTAAGGGACATTCGATATCACGATCTCATTGGTTAACTGTAATGACTACTTTGCAGGGAGGACAAACGCAACACATCCAAAGCGAATCCACTTTGTCGTTACTGGTATTTTTATAGGGCAGGGTTACGGCTTCAATTTTAATCCTTTCAAGCCCCATTTCTGACAGCTTAAGCTCAGCGGAATTTTTAAAAAGAGAGTAGGCATTTGCCCCAAAGTCAGGCCATATTCTTTACACTCTTTAATGTCAACTTTGGGGATTTCTTAGTTTGAATTCAAATTAAATAAGTGCAGTAGGCATGTAATGCTTCGATAGTTTGTTTACTCCGCCGTACGATTACGCAAGCACTTAAGCACTCGCTGATCGCACTTCCGCTCGGCAGCATGACCGTCCAGCCATGTCAGTAGCCTTTCAGCCCCTCTGTATGTTAGTGGCCTATATTCTGCCGTACTACTGTGACGCCTTCCGGATTCAGGGAAGACTCGGAGCGCTACAGGTATTTAAATTGCATTATCAAAGTATAAACAGCTTACAACGATTTCCCAAGCAGCAATGGTGGTTCACAAGCGTCAGTAGTGAACCAAATTTAGTGAGTTTGAACAAGGCTAATAATATGTGGATTCACAAAGCCATTAATCAAAAAAATAGTCTAACACCATTTTGTCTAGGTAGAAAGAATCAAAACACTTGAGGTAAAGATAACACAGTGCTCCAGGTGTCATGAATACAATGACCAGCAGTCTGCCATTATTTGTTGCAATCACACGCATAATGTAACATACGAGTTGTTTGAACTCTGTCATATACGTCCCCACCTACAATCCGATTTGTGGGACGATTGTAAGAGCAGAGAGTGCACCATTTAATCGCGTATTAGAAGCCCAATACCTTACCAGTTGGGCGATACGTACACGACCACAGGGGCAGGTGAGGCACTGGGAGGGCAGAAGCGGGCAAGGTCGGCAGTCGCCAGGGTGGCATAAAGCGGTGCAGTTGTGGTGGCCGCAAGCCAGTGGCCGGTCACAGGTCTGTTCGCACGAGAACACCGTACCCACAAAGAGCGCCTCCACTGCCCCCTCGGTGGCCAGTATCGCCGCTTTTTCCGCCTCAGCACCGTCAAAAAACATTTCAACCTCGTAGAGCTCTAAATCGCCCACCACTGCTCCTGATCTAGCCTCACACAGATCGTAGCGCTTGGCCTTTTCACTGCCACAAAGCGTGACCTCATCTACTCGACCACAGTAGCAAACTGGAGAGATACAAAGGCAACACTTCATATCAATAACGCTGCAGAATAAACACACAAAACAATCTGTCAAGGGGTTAGACACATCGGCACCGAAAAAAATTTGGTTGCATGAATCCGTTGAATTTACTCACCACAACTAGGTCTTTAGTGAGGCAATAAGATTTTCCAAGATGCATAACCTTCCTAAAGAAAGTTTTTTCGGCACTTAATGAGACAAACACCTAAATATCCTCAGCACTGACTACAAAGACATTAGGCCAAAGCAAAGAATGAGGTATTACAGAGGAGTTAATCTCTATAAGTTCCTTATTTTAATTATTAATAACTGAACATGATAAAAAAGTTTTAATACATTTGCGTGCCAAACGAAAAAATAGATAAAAGCCTGCAAGCCAGCAAAGTTTGGTTCGGTTCTTTTAACAGAATCCTTCAGACGTAATCTTAAAGGTCTTCATACCGATACAAACACTACATTTTTAAATCCATTTGCGTTAACTGCTTGTAGCTCATTTTGTTCCCTCATTCTCTGATTTAAACTTACTGTTCATTATGAATAATAGAGATGTTTTAGATTCAAAAAATTCATTCTCATCTGCGCTTCAATGAACAAATAATCCAATAAAGTTATTAAATTGTCTAAAAAATTAGCTAAGTTTCTTGCATTTTATTCACTAGTTTAGGAATAAATATGCATCTAACAGTAAAGGTGACATGAAAAAATTGCCTATTAGCTCTCAGTATTCAGCAATTAAGGAGACAATAAGCAATGCCTCATGTATTTCTTTCAAAAATCTGAAGGCGATGGGCTCAAAGATATAAGTATGCCAGGAGGAGATAACAAGACCTTAGCAGGCTATATCGTAACGACAAGAAAGTTCGACTTCAAGGGTTTGGCTGTCACGAAATTCGTAAGGCATTTTAATGGAGTGATCAAAGAATACTGACAAAGCCGACCAGCACAGCAATAAAATTCGGGCACATTACGACCGCACCGAATGGGGAGCAAACACAATGTCTAAGCCAAGAATGAGAAAAACATAAATATTGCTGAGCCTAAACAGTCTTTTAGGGCAAGGCGAGGCGAGGCTCTGTTGCCCTTTGTTGACAAGCATGAACTTGACTAGGAATCGCGACAATGATCCACGAAAGCATTTACCTAACCATGGTTCAGTGACATAAGAACCGTCTTAAGGCCACAAAGAATAAGATGACGATTTTGAAGTGAGGCTCCTGCAGAAAATAAGAAGCTGCCACACCTGTAAGCTTCTGCAAGACATGGTTTCATTAAAAAAATCTTGACAGTGGAAATAGCCACCATATCTATGCACTCCTTTTCCTACCATTTTGCTCTTTACAGATCCTATCTGCCAACCTGCGGACGAGTGAGACTAGCAGGTCTGGTAAAGTAAAAGACAAAAATCTAGGATGGATACTGTAATCCTCACTAAATACAGGAGCGCTATTAAATGCTTATTCATTCACAAGGGAGTTAAAGGCGGGAAAAAATCACAAGTATGCGATGAGTTGAACAAATTTGAGCACAAATCAGAAAGCAATGATACTGAAAAATCCAAATATTCAGTAAAATAGTCTACTTTAAAGCATTACCTCTTTGGTTTGCACACTGAGGGTAGAAACAGAATCATATGCTACTTTCCTTTAAAATTATTAATTAAATAGCCGAAGGTAACTTTGACGCTTCAAGTTACCGTTAAAGCACCTTCTTGGTACAAGTATGCATCATCCTCAATTTGAAGAAGGAAACCATTCGTGGAAAACAAATGGGCAATTATTGCCAATTAAATTATTCCTCCAGATTCCCATCTTAAGGCTGCAATGATTTGTTGACAAGCTTTCACTTTCAAGTAAAGTAAGGCTTCTGACGTCATAAATCACTTACAAAAGATTCCAACGTAATTCTTGTAAAGAACGTGATTCCTCTCTAAATGTACACATTATTACTAATAGTTTAGCAGGATGAGCAATAATCCTGGCGTTCAAGAGGAAGACACAACGAGCAGAGAGCGGAAAAAATAAGACAAGTTTGACGTTGCTTAGAGAGGATGCAACATACATGGGAAATAGTAAGGCTTAGTGTGTAGCGCAAACATAAACTGAAGTAAAGACAGTGAGTTTCGTGAGGATGAGTGCAGAAGAGACGCATCCATCCAGCTCGTGTGCAGAGGGAATGCACAGCTGAAAGAGCTTATCTATACACATGGTCTCGAAAATGTCGAAGAAATTCTCTTAAAACAAAACCCAACTTATCCTGCATCATCAATTTGTTTGAATATACACATATGGATTTTAACAACCCCAGTCTGTAAATTTGAGAACACAAGATCATGGCAAAGACGTTGCTTTTGAATAATAATTATGAAATTCAAGAGAAAAGAAGTTTACATCAATTCCTACGACGATGATGGTGAAAAATGCTCATAAAATCTTTTCATTGGAAAAGGGCGTCTTTAAGGTATTCAAACTCAAGCCTAGTCTAGTTTTGCCTTAAATTCATTTATACCAATTTCAAATCAGATTAACGTTGCAGGGCTCAAGTTCATAACCAACCCAAGAAGTGTTAATAAAAATTGGGCGTGAAAGGTGAGCAATCCCAATTCAATTTGAATTGTTTTGTATGTAGTGAAGTGAGAGCAAAACCGCAAGAGAAAGATGTGATTGGATCTAAAAAAATTACAAAAGTACTCAAGCGAAGAGATGAACACGGGTTCAAAACGGAAGTGATAGATGAAAATGGAGGCAATAATATGAAACACGCAACATACTTAAAATGAAGACAAATTAATTATTACTTTACATCAGGAACTTAGGTGACTGTCATTTGCATTGGGAGAAATAGAACACCAAAGTACTCAAGACTATTTGATTGGGCATGAAAACTTAGAGGGACATTTTCATATCATTCGTGTCGACGATTTGTGTATTTTATGCACACATACAGCACATTTACAAAGACTATGCGCATATTATGTTGGTGTTATTGAACGAAGTCAAATGCAAAAATAACCAGCTGTCTAGATTGCGCCACCATCAGCTCAAGTTCTCGAGATTGTTCACCTTAGCAGATAAGCGGAAAGCAGTTGCATAGCAACTCCTTCATAAAACAGTTGTAAGCTATCAGTGAATAAAGACTTGGACAATAGCTTTGTTGGTGTTACCTAAAATATCGAATTCGAGAAGGATATTCGTGGCAATGATACCTGACCAGTACTACTCACTCTGTGGCCAGTGACAATTTGATGTGAAATTCAGGACACCATCGGGTAGTGCGCGAACGGCGATTTATTTCAACCCAGCGCGTCTACTGAGATCGATAAAGGTGACGCATCAAGGGGTGCAAGATTGGGGAAACGATGCAATGTTTTTAAACATGTCATTTTTAAAATAATTAACAATATTTGACGGATTTTCTGTCAGCGCCAAGGGTAAATGTATCACGTCATTTCACTTCCTTTCATTAGCGTACACAAGTGCCATAAATAAAGCAAGGCACGAATTTTTAACGCTAGCAAAATGTTTCCATTTTAGTATTGGAGCAAGTACAAACCGTTAAGGATAATGACTAAGTTGTAAATTAAAAATTGTACAGAGCAGGCCTAGGTGAAGTAACAAATTATGCCACAGAGCATCGTAGAATTATATAACTCTTCCGAATCTAAGCTCATTTCTTACAAAAACTGTCTATATCAAACTCAGAGCAATGCCGCAGTTCAATTTATTACACTGCTGTAACCACATAAACAAATTCATACAATTGTGACGTTCATCTTTAGCATATTGTAAAATGAAAAGTTGGGTCATGGCGCCATATGTAGAAGGGGGTCATTCGTATTTGGAAAACACACTTACTTGACAAACAATGAATGGGCAAGTCAGCTCATTTCACGCAACAAAAAACAGCAAAGGGACCGTTAAAGTCATAGAATAGCGCTCTAAATGACACGCATCAGTATACAAAAGCACAATCTTGAGGTATTTTTCCCCATATATGCAAACTAACTTCACGTAAAGGATAGATTAATAATTGCAACACTCAATCGTTTGTCAGTTTAGGCACTCAATTAAAAGCCTTCCTCCAGATATTGTTACTATTTACAGATATGTCGTGGTGAACGATGTTGAAAACAAAAGTTGTGACTTACACAATGTTAGCTCATTTCGTAGGCATCAAGCCAGGACTACAGCAATCGGAAAACAATCCAAATCAACGTAACTTTACAGATTTCCTAAATTATACACTGATTTGAAAAAAACATTACAAGAGGCAACAAATATTTTATATCTCATGATGGCAAAAAGTACATCGTATCATTTCAATATGACCCAATGTTACTATTCGATGGAGCAAAAGGAAAAGAGAAATTAAAAAAGAAGTACAATGTACAATAGTAGGAGTTTAAGCTATTTACGAAGACAACAAGAACACGGGCGTGGCCTATTTACTTTTCACCTCTTCCTCGGAGTTAGTAATAACGTGTAAACTCCAATCATTTTATCTAAATTACTTTTGACTTGTGCACATGCACACGCACACATAAATAAAGGCAAAATATGACACTGAGGGAAAGGAAACAAACTTTAGCTGCTTGGGATGGATTGAAAAAGGTAGCATTTCGTGTACATTAATACGGCCTGTCGCAAGGCAGCTGAAAGAAACAAACCATTCGTCGCGACCATCGAAAACCAATCATCCTGTCACTTGTTCTACACACATCCCTCCCACCAAAACGAAGCAGATGAAAAAAAAACATTGAATTGGTGTCTTTTACAAATCACCACACAAAAAAACCTCTTTCCTCCGCCAGGAAACGATAAAAATTTCAAAATCCAAAACCAGCTAAGAGGAAAAACGAGAGAGGGAAACCGCATCTCACCCGATTTGATGAGTTTCGTGCAGGGAGGACAGTCGCCATCGTGGCAGGGCAGGGGGCAGTGGTGAGTACCGTAGGCGCAGCGCCCGGCGGGTAGGAGTCGGTCGCAAGGGGCTCCGCAGGGCTCCGGGGGCTCTTCACCGCATCGCAAGGTTTGCACCACGCGCCCGCAGGGGCAGTGAAGCTGCACTAGAGCGGTGCAGGGTGGGCAGGGACCGGGGTGGCAGAGTCTAGTGGAGTCCACGAGTTTTAAATGTTACTTAAATTATGATAAGTAGGCAATGCGTATGACTAGTTTGTATATAACGCAACAAATGGCGTAGAAGCAGTAGGGATCTCACGTGCACACATTTTACATAAAAAACACGATAAGAGTTTAGACAAGAAAATGTGTCTCACTAGTCCAATTAAGAAGGGCGGTGCAGCACATAATTGTACACAAATAACTTATAGTAACCAAGTAATTGGTTCAGATACATAAGGTAGAAGCACGGAGATGGCGTACAGGGATGATAAAAGTCCGTAAAGCCCTATTCAAAAGAAAGTGAATATCTTTTTCGAAATAAACGGAAAAAGGAACAAGATTTTGTAGGTAGAACCAGTAGATCCATCAGGTTTAACTCACTCAGTACAGGTATGCGGACATGGCGAAACTCTTTTGTTCGGCTGATCGGCTTTTCTGCTAGTATTTGCCTTTGACCTACCACAGACCTCATCACAGCCATGAGGGATGGTTGAGAATCCGGGGCGATATTCGGGACGGATAATTTTACCACAAAAACACCGACAAATAAGGGAAGTTGTTCCGGATGTATAGGACTTTTGGCAAGCCGGGCAACGCCACGACGACTGCACCTTCTGAGTGGCCTGAGGTCCAGTTCCAGACTTCTGCGTATTCGAAAGGGCCCAATTGGAAATGCAGCTGAGGTGGTAAACATGGTAACACCCACTGCACGACCAAATTTGATCCCTTGGCTCAACATTGGATAAACAAATCAGGCAAGTATACGAACCGGATCGAAGCTGTTCAATCAGACTTTCTATAAGAGCACATTAATAGTAGGTTAGCAAAAATAGGTGTAAATTTAAGTCTACCATCCTCAAAAACAAACCTCTTAGATTCAGATCACCCATTGAATTTTCCAGCGCCCTAATTTCGTTTATTTGAGGGTTGCATTGAGTTGTAGCAGATGCCAAAGGCACGACTTCGATGGTGTTTTCTCCACTTCGAAGGGATTCTATGCGCCTCCCACTATTTTGAGAGCAACGTTCAAAGGTGCCACTTTGACCTGGTCTATGGAAACTGTCCACTTGTCTTTCCGATGGGATCGTGGTGACAACTTCATCGCGTAGTCGATTCCTATCCCAACGCTGACCAAAACCTGCTTTTTTACTACGTACGTGGGCTCCACTGCGTAAGGAGTCCTGCTTTCTGTTAATCTGATTAGCCTGACCGACTTGGCCACCGACATTAGCTCCAGCCTCCATTACAAGACCTCAAAAATCAATTGCGGCGAATCAAGGACTGCGCCTTGTCCTGCATCATTTTAAGTCCCTATAGGTAAAATGAGCTTATTTTTTATAAACAAAAATCTTGCCACAAAACATCCCAGGCATTAAAAGACATAGTAATCTTTTATAAACTGTAGTCTTGCAATAACGCTTAGCATTAGCCAGGTATTATTGTTTAACTTGCTTATTTAATTCAAAGACAGAAAAACGAGGCAAATAATGGTCCTAAAACTGCAGTGAAACTAAAAATCTGCCTTTATATGGCAGTTTTTAGCTATACGAACACCCCTCTTTGGAAAAGGGACAGGTTGCATTAAAGTCTCTGCTTGTGTAGCCCACCAAGACTTCCCAAATGATGAAAGAAGACATAATCTTTGAAAGAAATATGTTTTTTGGACATGTAGTAAAGCTTGAGGCTACTAGCATGGCTCAAAGGTCATCGCATCCGGCAAAGGCATAATGGTGGAGCAACTCAGTGTTCTCTGTACCAAAACCGGGAGAAACAATCAATTAACGCATTCCTTCCCCCTCCTCTTTTGAGCGCCGTACCTGTTGCTCCTCTTAGTCAACCTTCCACGTTAGCTATTACAATATAATCAGTGCTGTAGGGGAAACATCCACTAACCAACCGTGCCAGTCTTCGAATTGCTATGCATATGAGGAGATACCTGACCACGGTGTCTCTGACCCCTTTTAACATTCCCACTGGACCCGAACTTCTGGATGGTATGAAGATCAGATTCGAGGATAGAAAATTGTGCTAACATAAAGGTGGGTTAATGCAACGGAGGGCAGGTTTTAATACTAGCGTGTTCACTTATTTGAAATCCCCATGTAGGAATGGCAGGGTGTTCATAAACAAATGATTTTAGACGTTTCATTGCTAGTGCTGCCTCCATTGTTAATAGCTTTCATGCAAAACACAGACGTAAGGAAGTTGCTGATGGTAGACGTCATTTTCCGCCCTTCTCTTTGGGATGCCCCCAATTCCCCCATGTGTCGCACATGTGCTTCTTTAGCTTCGATAAGGTTTATCACTTAGCAGTAGAAATCAGGACAGATGTCCTTTAAAACTGGATTTGCCTTCTGTTTTCCCTGCCAAGACTTCCTTAAGGAGGAAAGGTGATATAGTACTCGGGCAAGCTCAGAGGCGAGCCACCACGCAGTTACAATGGTGTGGAAATAAAGAGGCCCTTTATTGAAGCCGAGCCTTACGCAAACTATGTATTGCATTAAAATTAATGCGCAAAATTGTATCATTTTAGTAAAAATGTAAGAAACTCTATATTACACAAAATACTTTGATTGTTTAACTTCCGATTTTGGAAAAAAAGTCATTTTAGCCATGGTCATTCAATGCCAGTAGCTCCAGACCGTTCTGTGCACTATGTATATATGTGTAATACGATAGTGGTTTATCCCTCGGTTCTCGTGAGGCGCCACTTTTGTACTTTGGATTAGCTCCCTTGTACCTCGCTGGGTGGGCTGTCCTTTTGAACCATGCCAATAGCCCAGACACCATCTCCGTGCTGAATATATATATATATTCCGCCCTAGTATTGTGTCTTCTTTCGTCTTCAGGGAGTCTCGGGACGCTACATATATATGCATATTTACATGTATTTCATCTGAGCATTGTGTCTACTTTCGTCTTCATGAAGGCATCGAGAAGCGTTGCATCTCGAAATTCTCGAAAAAGCACTTCCCTAAAACTCAAACCATCACAGCATTTGTAGGGCTGGCTCAACATTGGCATATAATGCTACAGTATTAGGCAGCATTTCAAAAAATGGGCTTGTTGGAGTTTGTAGGAAAGCAACCTGCATATGAATATGATACATTTCCACAAAACTTGATTCCAAAACATTATATTTTAGGGCTAAGCCTAATACAATCTAATCTACGGACACTTTACTAACTTTCCTCAAAATATCTTTTGCTAGACATCTACTAAAATAGCTAGCGTGACTTACGATGTGTTGTTAACTTTTAATAGATTATTTTAAATCCTTAAACTCATAAGCACACGAATTTAGCGCATGAGTTAGCTTTTCATTTTTAAATCTTTTATGTGATTGATAGTGCAACAATCAAGACGTAGTCAGCATAATACTTTGACTTCTCAAGGTAACTGTTGTGTGTTTTACTTAGTACTATAGTCAGCCGCTCCTTCTGAGCGGGACCGCTGGTTCTAAAGGTCTTCTGTTCGTGCTTGCTGTCTTTTCTCCATCTCGACTCCAAATCTGCGACACCACGACTCTTGGCGGTTGGACTGTTTTCCTTCTGCCATTTGAATGTGCTAGAAATCCCGCAGATGCCTCGTAAGTTCAAAAGTATTTTTGTTGTGAGATCTGCCAAGTTTTGTTGTGTGCCATAAGCTGTGATAAATTGCACCTTTACAGAACCTGGACAGGTTAGTCCGGCTGTACCTGGTTTTACTTTTTGATTGTTATCCTGATTTTCTGCCTGAATACTTCATCGGATTTATTCATATAACGATCCACTGGCATCTAAATGTTCCAGACAAATACACTATCGTCTAGAATTTATCCTTTTTTTGGACTTGGGTTTTAAGTACATTAAAGTTTTCAGTGCATTATCCTGATTCAGTGTAGCATGCGTCAGTACGCTTTTCTTCGTCCCGGTTGTATGTTCACGTGTTATTCTATTATAACTAGGTCATTTTTTCAAATTTGATTGTGAAATTTCCTTTACGTTACGAGAATAACGTTACTCAACACGTTTGGAAATACCCAACAAATTTCCTTTCTACGCGCGCATGTCTCACTTCTACTAACTGCTTTGTTATATTACCTCCGCTTTCGTGTTTGGATTCAATTTTTATTTTTTTGTTGAACATCAACTCTGTTTTCACGCATCTGCTCAGGTCCTCCTCCTCCCCAACCTTAGGTGCCATGGTAATTTTCCCACTCGTAACGGTTACTTTAATTGATGAAGCGATCTAAGTTTCAATGCTCTGGTAGATTCTTCGTTCTTCCTCTCCGAACTACGATCCCATCTTATCACTCTTATCGGTCTTTCACTCGGAATCTCCGTTATTTGCCATGTATGTCGTTATCTTTCTGTTAATCTGTCGTCATCTTTTTCCGGAACCGTTGCAATTTGTGCTGATCCCTCAAATCAACTTCCGCGAATTCCCTTTGGGTTTAAACTGCCATTGATGATGCAACGCGTATCTGGCCATTTGTGTGTTCACAATGTGCACCAATCAGATGTCTAGGAGTGGATGCATGTGCGCACACACATTTGCGCCCCAACCGCGCTTGGGCGTCCCTCCGTGCTCTTGCTTATCTCTGCTACTGCTCCCGCGAGCCTCTGTATGCGCCTGCGTGTTTGTGTTTGCTTGTGGGTCGGTGCGTGGGTGCGCATATGTGCTTAATTGTGGGATGTTTATTTCTCTTGCTCCATCCACTCTTCTGAGCCATGCTTTCCTTCTTAACTAGTAAACGCCGCAACCGAAAAGGCGTCTCTGTTGATCGTACTACTCGTAAGTCCTTCGCTCTTCCCTTTCACGCTCTCACTTCGTCGATTGAAGCTCGTTTTTATCTGTCAGTCACGTATTTTATCGTTTCTGTATTCACTTTTATCATAGGCCCTTCGAATCTCTTCTTGGCAGCTATATATTATGGTCATTTTTGACATTAAAACAGCTGTTTTTAAACGTTCATCTGTTCCGTGCTTTCGGGTTGTCTTGGTTAGTTATTTTCTACATTTAAAATCGTATTTCAGCTATCTACTAGTTAATCCGCCCCATAACATTTAATAGTGCATATTTCGAATCTCTTATTGCTCATATTTGAACTGAACCTATTTCTTATATTTATAACAGCATATATAATTATGTAAAGATGTAAATCAATTGAATTTCTCCTAAATCACCGCATGTTTTAGTGCTAAAACGGAATTGTCTCTACATGACATCGTTTCCTAGTTTCGATGGACGTATGCTTGGCCCTGTAGAAGCCTAATCTTGAAATAGTTTACTTTAGTTTACGTTTAACTCTTTAACTTGGTTTGCGGAATACTTCATTATCCCTATCTTACTATAACTATTTGGATGCCAATCTTAGGTTATCGTAATGGCGCTTTCCTTCTCTTCAGGCTGTTACACTCGAGTCGTGAAATGAATGCTTTTGTCACCTTGATAATGCCTTTTGTGTCAATAATTCTGTAATGCAGCATTGAGGGAATGGACATTAATTAGCCGACTAACCGTTTGGCAAGTAGTACGTTAAAGAAGTCACGCCTATCAGTAACCTACTATAAGTCCTCTGGCCCATCGCACGGGCACGCAGAGTTTGTCCAAACGGATCGTACATGGGGAATCAGTGGCTTTATACACCCCTTTAATGCAGGTCATATTATAACCGATTTTTGGGAAGAAATTTTTTTCTGTCGCGCAAAATCACTAGTAAGTAGCTCCTTCAAGGCTGTTTATGAAGGAGTTTGTCTATCAAACAAACTTCTCCACTGTTTAGAATAAATGATTTTCTATTTAGACTAATCTCATATTGCATTTATCGCCCTGTATGCAATTTTGTGTTATTGCTTAGTAATCAACCGTAGTCTTCTTCCTGATTATTTTTAGACCGTTCCTATGTTTTGTTTGTTTTACTTTCTTGTAGGATTCTTCTCGTTGTACACTCTTTTTTAAACTTGCATAATTTGCATCCTTTTGACAACGGCTTCTGCACACGACGACCCTTGATGTGTGGCAATTATTTCATGAATTAACACAACCTAAAAAGATGTCTTGATGTTGTCTCACTGTCCCATGAATGATTCAGTGGCCTTGCATCCCTACGTTCCATATTGGCATTATTTCTCTTTTGTTTTTTCTGAAAGTGTCGTATGTTTTTGTGATCCGTTTTGTGAAGGACAGGATGACCGGACTATGTGAGTGGAGTTTGAATGCATTTCTCCAGCCTCAGACAAAAGTACCTCCCTGAATAATCAACATTCAGATCCCAAAACACATTGCATTCTCGACTTTGTCCTAAAATTTGGTCTCTGGAGTTGTGTAGATTGGCTCCTTTCAATTTATGACTTTTTTCCACGATTACCATTGACTCATCCATCGCTTTGATGATCAAATCGTACTTTCTCTACATCACAAAAAGGTGTTTGAAGGCATATTTCATTGGAAGAAATGTTACTGATTTCACTGCAGTCTTGATTGCATCAGCTGCTAGTGATCTCCTCTTCCTTTAACATTTAGACCAACTTGGTACCAATTACAAGTATGCAACGTAGGTTGAGTCACTATACCTAACGTGTTCTCATTTGGTTGTTCATCTGTTCCTGCAGTAATAGAATCTAAATAGCAGAAAAGCACTAGATCTATCGGCATTGAACTAGCCTTCTAACCGAATTGGGATTCTATCAAAAGTGGTATAATCTCCGTGGCGACATACAATGCTATGTTTCTTCCTCTGGTCACAATTGCGATATAGATTGTAAACGCTTACGGTCACTTTTGTCCTTTGGTCGACTTCCCTACTTCCATGATTCCGACAATGTTCCAGTTTTGTCAAAAAATGAAATCACAAATATTTAGTCTCTAAATACCGTCTAACTGGTGAGTCTTCTCGAAAAACTATTAACAGTCAATGTCAACTGGATTTAGAGTGGAACTGTTTTATACCTTTTTTCGTTCTATTACTCGAATTTGGTAAATTATTGGCTAGGGCCATGATAATACATTTCTTCTCTTTACCTAAGCTGTTTCTCATCACTGACCCTAGGTTTTTTGCAAATTTATCTATGATGACTAACGGGGCAATTCGTCACATGCGAAATTACTCAGTAAGCCATGTTTACACCCGCTGTCTGTGTAAGCGCCCCGTGTGAAGGCTCATTTATCTTACCAATCTTCAATCAGCCTTTTTATTAGGTCCCCATTACTCATCCCATTGTACTTCTATTGACCGTTATAAATTCGACCTGTCTAGGAAAGAGCGTGCGTTGAATATGACCTTTGAGAACCATGTCCGTGATTAGAATCAGTCCTTGTGTCTCCGATAGATTCTTTGAGTATTTATCGCAATTGGGAGCTTATGTTCAACTAATTCTCGGAAGTGATGCATAGGAAAAGTACTGCGAACATGTGATTTGTCCTGCTGCGTCTGAAGTGAGTGGTTTGGCAGCGTTTATTCAGTTCCAACAATTCGCTAAAAATACCCTACTTAAGCCTAATTGTAGTTGGCATCTGCCTCATTTAAATACCTCTTAAATTGCGCATCGTCAACTAAGCCTAAGACAGTAATCGCGTGTGCGTGCACAACTTCCACTCTTGTCTTTTGCGATCTGAACACCGTGCAAAGGCACTTAGAATTCTCTCCACTTGTGTATTGTATACTTCTAAGAAGTGCGAATTCGGCAACTGAACGAAAGTTTGAGGCATTTTCGCATATCCTCGTGCAACCCGCTTGGAAGCCCATTTGTCTAGGGTCTTTTTTTATCTTGTGTGGAATTTGACCCTGAGGTGTTTTCTCAAGAGCGTATTATTTGACTATTTTTGTTTCACCCTTTGTTTTATTTCAGTATCATCCTTTCTTATTGCAGCACGAAGTGCAGCAGGCGGCATTTACCGCTTTGTTAATTTTATTTAGATTATTCCCATTCACTATATCGATAGATTTTTCTGCTTCGTGACGTTATTTCAAAATATCAGGCTCTGTCAAAAACAAAACTATCTTTGTTTCGTATTTTGTGCCGTTGAGAGCTCTACGAAATCTTGTTTTAAAAAATCACCTTATTCTTCGTGGTTGCCTTTTTCACGCACATTTAGGACAGTAATTGCCTGGCTATTTTTCACACCTCGTAGTAGCAGAGGAAAGCCATTAGTCTTAACATTGCCGTCCCTATTTCACATTCTTTTGCCTTCCCACTGGAGAGGCACAAGAATGTGAATGGCACTGGACGCAAAATGCCATCCTTCCCTTCGTTGCCTACAGGCTCGTCCACTTTTACATCAGTTTTCTGGGTTTTCTGCTCTCAATAGAACGCAAGCAAAATGTAGATAAGAAATACATCACCTCAATTATTTTGGCTGTCTTAACAATTTCGTTGCAAAATACATCACGAAGTATATCGCTTTTTTCGATGTCAGTTGATTGTTCATTGCTCCCATCTACCCTAATAAGTTTTTTTAGGACCATCATCAACGTTTTACAGGTTTTATTCGCGTCTATGTCAAAACGGGAGTATTCTGTCTCCCTACCGTCGTATTTCAAGACCATATTATTGCGTTGAGATAAAAGCTTCAGTTGGCATACACCCGGTGCATAGTCTACTTTAGAGAAACGCACTTGATGGCAGGATTTGGCATTGGATGTGAACCTGATTTGTAGCAAACTTAAAAACTATTCTTCCCATTCGCAGCTTTTTGTAGACATTGGAAGCACTTAGGAAGCTTCTGCGATAATAAAGATCATTCACCAATGTTTCATCGGTTTTTTTTGTCCTACCGTTGACTTGTCATAGATTATCGTTGGTAGCACCTTGTCATGCTCCTGAGAAGCACTTATCATGATTAAGTTCAGTGACGCAAAGTACACATTAGTCACCAGAACTTTCAGATGCCTATGTTTTGTGAACGATTGATCACATACAACCAAGTTCTCCAGTTCAATATCTCATTCATAAGCCCGTAGATTCACATATTTTTAAAGGAAATCCAAGCACCTTAATAATCTCTTAACATAATACTATCCATTTTAATCTTAACCTCACCTTTTGGCGAATCGTGGTTCTTCAGCCATTCTGAATCGCTTGATTTTACCTTTTTTTATATTCCAGATCGTAAGCAAAAGGGGTTTAAGTTTGGGAATCTCTTTAAAAAGTCTTCAACATCTCCCCCACCACCGACACCACAGTTGTCGAAGTGTGTCGCTTTGCCCACCTCAGCCATCTTAGCAACCGACGATGCTCTCGCCGTCTCACATCGGCGAGCGGTCAGCGATCTAGTCATAATCGCCTCCGGCAGTCCACCTATCTCGCCTTTTACGCGACCACCCCCGCAGACCCCTGACAGCGGCATCAATCAACCCTCTGCCGCCTCCCTCTTCGACTCTTCCTCCTCATCTACTTTCGCCAGCTCCAAGATGTACTCGGGAAGCGTGGACTCGGCGGCTGGCACCACCTCTTTCACTTCCAACCGTTTCTCCTGGCCCAAGTCTAGTTCCTCTTCCTCTTCGGAGGCGAGCTCCCTCTCCACCGCTCTCTCTAACAACCTCCGCCTCACCGCGAGTGGCAGCACCGCCGCCTCTGGCAACAGTCTTTTTACTTCTCCGCCGAAAAGCTCCGCCTGTACTAACGCATCTGTGAGTGGAAATGAGCTTCCTACCACCAGCACGCCGCAGCGCTTACCGCGGTTTGTGGCGGGTACAACAATCGCGGAGGAAGATGAAGAGGCGGAGGAGGCGACAGGTGAAGGGATTGAGGTGCCGATTGCAGTGACGGCACAGCCACTGCCTCCCGACTCCACCACCTTCACCCCAATTGGCGAGGTTGATACGGGTTTTGCGGCTACTGTGGCGCAGGTCTCCCGTCGCACCGGAACTTCTGCACAGGAGCTATATGCCCGCATGAAGGAGGTGCGCCGGCGTCCCGAGGATGTGCGCAACAGGCTGAGGGGTCAGGCAGACGCCGTAGTGAGCTCGAGTACTAACAACAATGGCAACAGTGTGAGCTACGGTAGCACTGGTACGTCGAAGCGCCTGTCTTTACCTGCGAGTCTTCACCTGCCACCTCACCTACGGCAAAAGGCAATTCAACTCCTCGAAGAGCCCATGAGTAGAAGGGAACGTCGCTTATCTCTGGTAGGTTAATCCCTTTTGCCCGCCTGCTTGCCGGTCCTGCTTATTCATTCCCAAACCCGAAGTATTTGCTTTGCAGTCAAGCTTTGAAGTTGCCGTCATCTCACTTCTTTCAATGTTATCTATCTTTAGCTGCCTATACAGCCTAAATAAGTTAAGTGAGCATTCACATAACTCCCTGCTGTATTTTGTAATTAGGATAACTTGTCGTCTTAAGCGTGTTTGCGTTTGAGTTTGAACTGTTTTAACCCAAACTGGACAATGAATATTCTGTTGAATTAACAAATCATGATATGGTGCATTGTTTATGTTACAAACTTCATATTTGCCATTTATATTGCGCTTACCCACGGTTGATTAGCTCCTCTTTGTTTGAAGCAGCACCTCCAAATGTCAGTCCAAGACTGTTTACTGGACAATGTAAATACTGCGTTTTCTGGCTCTTATTCCATGTTTTTACGTCTTGAGATCACTAACCCCTTCGATCTGACCTAATTGCTGCATAAAGAGAATTTTCAAATAAGTAGTTTGATCGTGCATTCGGATATGCACTGAAGGATGCAAAATGCCAGGGCACCGGAGCAAGTTGGACGACAGTCGCGTGCCTTGGCTGTGAAGCCGATGATAATGCCACATACCTTATGTATCCCATATGCTGCAGCCGTCTCCTCTCTGGTCTTCTCTGTATTTGCCTTGGGATAAAGCCTATTAATGAGGTCGAACACCCCATTCTTTATCGTGCTCTAGTTCTTCACTGGCGTTGAAGCCGTTCCTCATCTTACCTGAAATGCATTTTCACAATACTTCCAAATTTCATTAGCACGGTTTTTTGGGTCACTTTCAAACCACAGCTACATATATATGTACGTGCCAAGGTTTCATTTTCAGGCCTTACATTATGTTCTTCGAGAGCTTGTAACCTGACCCCTCGAACTATTTTGTCGTAACTGCCCTTTTGCTGCTGTTGCTGCCCCTCTGAATTGGTTTGTTCACTGTGGTGGTTTCACTAGGTCGCTGGCGTCTTTGTCACATGTGCAATAGCAGCTGTTTAGTTTGTCCAAACTAAGTGTTTGCTCTTGTCGTGTTTACTTAACATTTTCCCGCCCTTCCATGGTCTATTGGCAAAGCCTAACTTAGCAAAGAGAGGTTCTTATTACAAGTTAAAAAACAATGCGAACTGGTTATGTTAGGGCACTTAAAAATAGTCACAGAAAACGGATAAATCTTTCAAGAGCTTTTTAGGGATACTTTGTTCGGTACAGTATCACCCAATTACTCTGGATGGAAGACGTTTTGGTGCTTCTGCTCTGTTTGTAGGGTGTAGCATGTTGTTTCTGAGGCGCATTCACATGTAAATGCGTGACTTCTGGCATTTGAATTGTTTGACTTTGAGATGAATGTGAATCCGTTTTTGTTTGACTTCTCACAATGGCTAAAAACCACAAGTTGTGCATTTGAAAACAACTGACAAGCCATAGTTTACGCGCACGCACAAGCTGGGCCACTTGTTCCTATTCCTTTTCCTGTCATTTAATAAATTAAAGTGGGCAAAAACTTTCCATTGCCTATTTACCTTTTTTTTGCAACCTTGGGAAACTTGCTTTGAAGCTTTCGATTTCATGAATTTTAATTCTGATTTCGTTTTTGCTGTATTACCTGCCATTTTGGGGTATCCGGTAGTAATTGTTTGCACTAATCAATTCATTTTCTCTAACAAGGCGCTTATGAATGTTTCTGTCATCTTAATAGGTGTGCTAACCAAGCCCTCCTGAACACCGTCGTCACGCACAACCTGAAACCATTCCTGACCCACCGTTATCACACTTGACTCCTTCCAAGGCTTCAGTTATTTTACATTCCTAAATATCTTTTATCGTGACCCAATTCTTTACCAAGTTGAGAAAGTCAGAAAAACTTTTTTTCTGTTGACAAACAAATGCTATCGGTTGGATTCTGCCTTTCTTTTCAGCGTTTGTGTCATCCATTGCAATAGGCAGACAGCTCAACTTTACTACGGAGGTTGTAATTTTAGATCAGTTGCTCAGAAGGGTTTTTTAATTACTCGAGTAAATCTTTTTTTCTTTAGAGTTTCATTAGTTGGCTTAATCCATTAAATCATTTGGGATTGGACCCAAGTCCAGTCACAGTTTTTGCATGTTTTGGCTTCTAAGTAGTCTTGTGCCATGGGCTTAAGCTTTTTTCGTCTCCTTTGCACAACAACTTAAAATTATCTAGTTCTGCGGTATCTTAGTCTTTTGGGATCATATTAAAATTCAGTTGAAAAAACCTATTCAGTTGTAATTCGGTTCTATGTCAGTTAACTTTTTCCTTGGCTTCTCATTCATTTCAACACTCAACTTTCAATGTCCCAGGTAAATACCATATATCCCACGAAGAACGGTTCAGTCATCACCTTATTGAAATTTCCATTCAAAATCACAACTTTTATGCATCAGTCCCCAAAACCGATTCTCTCTTCACTTTGAGGTGCAATTTCCTCGTTGAACCAATGTGCTGTTGAATTGTGTCCATTCCGGTGACTGTGTACAGTTTGTGAATTGTCATAAATTTGTGTTACATTGATGCAAGTACTTCTTCAACGGTGATGATCCGCAAATTCCTTCAGATTATACACGTATCGTGGAATTAGCTAGATTAAGCATACACCACCGTTCGACTCCTTCTTTTTCCACTATTACTGTGTCCTACTTTTACTAGTTTTTTATTCTTTCTGGTTAGGTCTTCTTCCACTTATCACCAGCAGCCGGTTTTTCCCGACCACTTTGTTCAATACAAATCGCATCATGTCATTCGAGTTGCTTCTTCTCTTCCTTGGAGTTGAGTTTCTCCTTTCCTATCTGATAAGAATTTCTTTGTCCGTGGCACTGTTATGTGTTAACTCACTTCTTCCCGTTCCCGCCGGATCCTAGCCATTCCACTATTCTCAAAAGGGATTTCCTTCCCCATTGTTTTACTGCTTGCGTTCAGCTAAGCACCGCTGTTTATTGCCGGATAAGAATGGGATTGACCTCTCTATTATCTACATTTACTGGAACATCCCAATAAGCCATCCTTTAATGTGAAACATGCTACATCGCAGTCTCGTTTATAGAGGCTCAGACTTGATAATTTTAATTGAGCCTTGAAATTTTTTAAAATTTTACTTAGGCGCTTCGTGCGTGATTATAATGAGGTTATCAAGTTTTGGTAATGGCCTAATCTCGCGATGGCACAATGTGTTGAGTCGTGAGTGTGTTGTGATAGTACTAACTGGGGGTATTCAAGAGAAACCATGTTGGTGGTAGTACCTGACGGAAATTTCCAATGCCTTGGCGACAGAGCAAAATACTTCGCTGACCTGGCACACATTCTCCTTTTCTATTACAGCCGCGAGATGCTAGGAATGTGCTGCTAGGATTTTATTTTATTCGTGTGTTTTATAGAACCTGCCCGAGAATAAGGGCAAAACCGTGTTAGTGGTTTCGTTATAAAGCATTGTGCACGCAGGGAATACTGACTTTTTGTGAACAATCCCCAGGTAAACTGGGTATCTTGTTTTCACTAAGTTAACTACTTATGAAATAATTAGCAAATGTCTTTTGTTTCGCATCCTCCGAAACTCCTTGACTTCACTCACTGAAATGTTAAAAATACAATTGAACTTCTGGTTGGTTCCATCAGACACGGTGCTAAATCTTTCATCTTAAATGTTTATTAGGTGTTACTTTGATAACGACTTCCCACAATTTCCTATCTTTTTTCCATCAAACCGCTTATATTTTTATAAGGTAACCAACTAGTTTTAAAAGGCAGGTCTCGCCTGTGGCGATTTCCTTGGCATTTATGACGATGATATTGAAGGCGAAAGCTCAACAACATCGCTTTAAATAAACATCCTTGGAATATACTGTCAAGCTATATAAAGTTACTACGCGTAGTTAAGCATCAGTAGGTCACTTTGTGGTATTCGTGGAAAACCATCATGAACCGGATATGCTAATCAGTAAATCACTATCCTGATGATATTTGACTTCACTTCCGAATTCAAATGCTATCGTCTTTAGTTCTGTATTTCTCCTAATTCACTTATTTAACGTAATAGTACCCCGCTAGTTTTGGTTTTTTGCGTATGGCCTTACGAGGTTTTCCTCTATATCATAGTATTTTCAAAATTCACTAACACTTTTGATTCCCTATGCAAAATCACTTGCATGCGACCTATTTCTTATTGATTGAGTAATTAGCTGACTGTTTATTTGTTTTTATGAGAATTGTTTGCCTTCATTGCTAACCCTCGGAATATTGGTGAAAACGATGTTCCATCGTTAATGCCATCGTTTATCTTTATTCTCCTATCTGTTGTTTGATTTCATACCTCAGATTGCGCGCCTTTAACCACCGTGCAACCTGTTTATTTTTGGCTTTCAGTCCGCAGTTCGCAAGGCACGCGGGGACGACACATGCACTCCACTAGGTCATAATTACTGCAATGAATGGGCAAGAATGCACGCGTCTTTGACTGTCATGTGTATTGGGTGGAAAAGAATGCAATTGGAGGCTTGCAGTTAGCATCGGCTGGCTTGGTATAGGGTCAATGTTTTCATTACGGTTTTATTCATAATCAAAATGCATTGCCATAGGATGCCCAGGATTAGCTTAGATGTGTGCGTGGAATTTTGATAGCTCGGATCGCATTTTACACATCATTGACTGAGAACAACCAATACATCGACAGTCGGAACGTTTATTCAGTTTGGTGTCATATCACTACTCATATGACGAAACACTTGTCTAATCCGATGTAACATGATATCCTGAAGTTAGTATCTATTCCTTCTCCTGTATCATAGTAACTGTATCAAATGATCAAGTTTTCGGTTTGCTTTATACCATGTGCTCTACCGGTGTGTTGTTTCCCAACTATCAGGAGAGCGGACATTGGGCTCTAAATGCTAGTTTGTAGAATTAGCTCTGGCACTTTTCCGACTGATTTGTCTAATCTATCTGTCTACTTTTAATGTCACTACTTATTTGACTTGGATGAATTCTCGCTTTCGTAACTAAATTTGAGATTTTGAAACACCAGCTGGAGTCTCCGCTGCGGCAAGTGCAGTAAATGTCTTTGCTCATTTTTCTCGTCTTCTTCGGTTTCAACATCTGCCATTAGTTTCCCTGTTTTCATGAATAAGTATTCAGGTTGCACTTTCATCCTTGGTGAAGTGTACACCCCCCTCTTTTTGCCCAGCATCATGGGCTGGCATTCAGAAGGGTCACTTAGATGACTGACCTCTGTATCTGAGATGCTATACTACTTTTTGTAGCCATTTTTCCAGGTCTAATCTATGTTCGGACGATTTATGAATGCCTTACATTTTTCAGAGAGCATAATCCGAAGGATCTGCGTTTTTTTAGTACTTCCTTGAATCTGACAGATAAATCATATCTGAAGGGTTAGAGAGAGGCTGTCTTGATATATGCCGTGCTAGTTATTTTTAACTGCTCTACATTGGGGAAGTGTATCATTGATGCTCTTACCTTTATTCTTTTTCGACTACACTCCCCTAGATCTTCGTTTTTGAAACTAGTCTCAATGGAAGTACACATATGTTGTATTAACTGTCCCATCGAACGTGTGATTATTTAACCAACTGAAAATCTAGTAATCCCATTTATGATTATCTCTAGATGATGTTTCTCTAATTAATCATTTAAATACTGCCAAATTATTACAGTGGTTGTTTTTAGTACTGTTTATTTTTGATTTCGTCATAATCCTCGTCGTATAGTTGCTACCATATTTACTTCCAGCGCCTACTTTTTATCAACTCGTTTTGTTAGCTGTATGTAAAATCACTTTTATCATGCACTAACATTTTGTTATGTCCACATTAAACAGTTTTCATGTGTTACTTCGACTAAAATATTAGGTTTATTCTTGTTTGGTTTTTTTCAGTCAGAAATCGGGTTCGGAAAATTGCAATCCTACGCGAAGTTGGATCTCCTTGGACAGGTGAGTATGCGATTCAAATTGGAAGTTTACCTGCCTTAGGAGTGTCTTGGTGAATTGGGGTTCAGTTAAGTGTCAACAAACTCCATACTATACGCCTCTGAAACAGTGTCACGTTCTGTTTAGTCGGATGCGTACGAAACAAAGTGAAATAATTAAACAACCTCTTTCAAGTTGATTTCCCTTAGGAGATTGTATGAGGTGGCCAATGGCCTCAGAGCTGCAACCGCCTTACTAAGTCGCTTCCGTTCGTCTGTGCGTCTGTATGAATCAGCAGCATTTCCACATGCGCCCCTCCTCCTCTTGCAAACACACACGGCTGTCAGGAGTAATCTTTCCTTCCGTTACCACCACTGCTGACCTCTCCACCACCACTACCTCCTCCCCTCTCGCCTCTCGTCGAAAGAGAACCGCGCGTGTAATGACTGGGGCTGTGTGCTACACAAACACGTACATACACTAGCACCGGGTAGAGACTTATTTTCCTGGCATTTCTTTTTGTGTGCTACAAACTTGGGAATGGAAATACTTCTTGCAACCAGTAATGGTAGGCAACGCTAACGAACCATGTTCCCCTTTCTATCTTGTAATAATTCAGGAGTATGTCCACCCGTCCTGATTGTCTCATTTTCTCATTCCTGGTCTTGACCTTTTATTGGTCTCAGATTATCCATGCACCCAAACTGTTGTGAATTCATATTCGTCTACATCCACCCACTGCAGTGCCGATTCGGCCTACTTTCATCAGTAAATATAAACTCAGTCTTCACATTAGACTCCTGAAACTTAACCACCTTTTGAGTGGTACTTTGCGGTTTTGTATTTGGTAATCTTTAAGTCAAATAAGTAAACGCCATCTTAAATTGCCTTCCATTTCACTTGTCTTTACGTGGTCACGCAAGCTTTCCGGCTGTTGTTTGAACATAATTGTATGTGCGTGCGCTGTTGATTTGTGATAAAGGTAAATATTTATTATCACAATAAACATAAGTCCAAGTACAGTGGATTTGTGTAGCTTGGCTGTGTCGCGGCCTTCATTTCACGTTCATCTTAAATGTGATATCTTCAAGGTTTTGCCCTTACCAGAATCTACTCTAGTTTTTTTTTGTTAAAATTTCCAGCCCTTGTTTCTCATAATTGCGTTCGGTCAATGATTTTCATTCACTCCCGAATATGCCGTAAATGTCACATTTTTGCTATTCACACGCGCGAATGCTTGTATCTTGCTTCAATACAACCTTCAAGCTTGCCTTTTTGTGGCTCTCAAGCAGATTTGACTGATATTTGCCTCTTTTCACGCAAAATTGGAGACTGTTTAGACAAGTCGGCGTTGTGTATGGATTTGTTTGATGTGCTAGCGTTCCACTATCTAGCCATCATCATCACAACACCCTCAACAGGCTCACGCGTATTTTTGATGTGAATACGCTTGACGTAGTTGAATATCATTCATGCTTTTTCTTCCACTCTGCACACCATCCAATGTGCAAGGTGACATAATTACGCAATTTTAGACGCATGAACTCTCCTTCGGACTCCGCAGCTACATGCGGCAGCAGTTGACAAACAGTGATCGACCCTTTTTTATCGTGGGAACTTCAGACATGCATTTATATTACTCTTAAAGTCCCTATTTAAATAATACTTTTCTATCCGTGTGCTCATGTCAGATGCCGGAATATTCGCAAGGTTTATGGGAGCGGTTTCGATAACGTATTTTGCCTGGCTAAAGCGTGTACTGAGGCTTTTGCGAATTTCTCATTCACGATTAATCAAAGATTTTTTGGCAAAGATGAGCGCCGTCCCAATTCCCTTAATCTGAACCAAAAATGATCAGAAGATCATTCGTATCTCCTGCTCTCCCTCGGATTAATAGATAGTAACTGTTCTGAGGATTTTGTTCTCGCTCTCCTCAATGAGGAGGGCAAGGAAATTTAAGTAAATCATGTTTCTTGCATATTTATTTAGCTGATAAAAATGAATACTTGTAACCATTCCCGTTTAAATGTATTGCTTTGCTTCCGTTGTTTCTGAACTTAGTATCCTCTTTGTGAGCACGAATCACGCGTATCGCCTGGCTTTACGTAACTGTTTTGGTGCCGCATTTTTATAATTTGGGGCGAAATTGCCCAAGGCGTTGTGGAGCCTTATGCGCTGTTTAGTGCAAACTACCAATCACAATCCTAGGCCGCTCTTGTGGACGCTTTTTCTACGTGGGTTTCGGCCTGAAAAACCTTGTCAATTGTACTCAAAGCAAGATTTTTTGCTTGAATTTTAGGCCCTTTTACACTTTTGGTTTCTGATGGACACCGCTCTTGGCACGTAACTTTGGGGAATTCATGTAAAGCATCCAGTCGCAAATAGGTGTACTTTGCTCCATATTCTGTCCACTAATTATGAGTGTTTTAAGGTAAACACTCGTTTTTCTCAACTGTTCTAATGCCATCCAGGTGCGAACCTGCCGCATGGTTTGACCTCCTTCCTTACTCCAAAACCCTAACCATTCGAACTGGGTATTGGAATAAGAATACACTAGATAAGAATATGGGTTATTTCATACTTTCTCGATGCCTCAATAACTAAGTGTTTTGGGGAAAAGAACACGCCTTATCATTGCTCCAGTAGAAGAAACACTCACTTTTGTTGTCCGTTGTATCCATCAAGCCAAGATTCTGCATTTTTGTCTTTTCGGCCAAAAATCTGCTTGTCAGGGGCTTTCGTGTTGGTGGCGGAGGAGTCTCCTAATTTGGCCCTGACGGTACGCTCTGTTCCGCTGTTGCCGTAAGAATCACCTCGGCACGCCGCACAGGAGTGGCTCCCGTGCGAAAGTGCTCACGGTCTCAATCCCATACTTCGAATCCAATTTTTCATTCCAACTATGGCTTGTGACACTTTAATAGCCTTCTACGAGCACTACTCCGTTTTTGTGTGCCTCAACATTCCCTTATCAAGTGATTTGTCCAGCAAATGACAATTATCTCTCTCTCTCTCTCCATCTCTAAACTATTAACATCTCAATGTGTCCTTGTGATTTTAAAGCGTTTAATGGTGAATATAAATTTTGCCGAAGAGTGCAATTAGCAAGCTTCGCCCGGACTTTTCGCATTTGTGGAACGAGGAAGGATAGAAATCCAGTAAATCGAGGGGACAAATCTAGGGTGTTTCGCTCGGCCTAATGAGTTGGCTGCAATTGCGGTTAGTGAGCGTACACAACTGTTGTCGGGACGATGTCAATTAGGCCAGACTCTCTCCGTGTTCATCCCGCCTCCACCCCCTCCCCCGCCGCGCCGAGCAATTTGTTGCTGTTGCAGCAGCAACTGAGGCTTGATTTTCAGTCCCTTCGCCCATTTTGCTAGCGAGATATGCGCCCCTTGCTGCCACGATTGTATTTCTTCCTTTTTTCTCTCCCATGGATGTCTTGACTGATCGGCAGTACTTACGCGGCGTTTTTTGGTAAAAAGAATTAAAATTCAGTAGTAATACTAATCCTGCTGGAGCTCTCTTAAGCTACTTTTTTGGACATTTTATCTACACTGCTCACCAGCTGGTAGTTTAGGAAAGTCTTTGCCTTTTTCATAAATGCATCCATTTTACCGTTCCTTCGATTGTATGAATAGCTTGCTTTGCTTCCTATGAAAGCCAAGATGTATTTTTTGCTGTATCCAAGTCATGTTTTGATCGCATTTACCTAAATTATTATGGTGAGTGTGTATGCTAATCTTTGTTTTTTGGGAGTGCTGCATGTGGCTGTGTCTTCATTGAAATGTTTATTGCTAGGGTGGGGCGTCTGGTAAATGGTTGGACTAGCCATGGTGTCAAAGCGAAGCAAATGATAACACCTCTGCATGGTGATTCCTGTTATCGTGTTGTAGGGCACTTACGCGACAGTATACAAGGGCAGGAGCCTACTGACGGAGAATCTGGTGGCGCTCAAGGAAATCCGACTGGAACACGAGGAGGGCGCGCCCTGCACCGCCATTCGAGAGGTCAGTCTGCTGAGGGACCTACGTCACGCCAACATTGTTACTCTCCATGATATTATCCACACTGAGAAGTCCCTCACCCTCGTCTTTGAGTACCTGGTAAGTTCTCCCACATTCACCACCATTATCACAGCATTTGGTTAAGAATGCAGCACTGGTTGTAACGCCAATCTTAAGGTGGGCGACATTAAGAGGTAATTGACGATTCCCCGAGGTTTGTGAATGTGGTACTACCACACGTACCTTCCATTTAATTTGACTTAATGACTGAACGCAGTGTCCCTAATTGACACTTTTAGTGGGAGGCACATACACAAATCCCACCCTTTTGGTGCTTCAACCCGAAAATTGATCAGTGAAGCCTACAAATCTGGCTATCAAAATGGACGCATTATCAGTTTGGCACAATTGACTTTGGATTTGTCTCAATAGCTTCCATTTCTTTCACATGTTCATCCTTTCACCACATTTGAGGAATCTTTTCCTGCTAACGGTTCTGCGCCTTTCGATGTGGCGTGGTGGTTCTTCACCAAACGCACAGCTTCCGCTGTGTGTGGTTCCTCTCAATCACTGTTCATTGTTATCATGTCTCTTTATAAGCAGTGACCGCTACCGGTCTCAGCCATGGGGAACGATGGAATAAACTAGTCAGCCAGTTGTTGACATTTCAATCCTTTTGGTAATAAAGGGGATCCGATTTTTTGGATAAAAATTAATCTTACCTGACCATATTTGGTGCAGGTTTATGAATTCTAGCACATACTTTTTTATTTATTTTTTATTAGTTGTAGTTAAAATTCACACCCTCAATACGTGCTTGTTACGCCAGATTTAACGTTCATTCCGAGGTGAACTTTTCAGCACCTTGTAGTTGGTCAAGATCATCGTTCTCGTACCCTATTCCGGTATTTATGTAACGCGTTTCCCCCTCCTCTTTATTTATTATACATGGTGTTGTGCCATAATACAGGTTGATTTTTATTGCTGCTCTGCTTCAAACCATCGCATACCATTTGGGTGGATTCAAATGCCCTTGCTTAACGGAGGCTTTAGTTCATAATAATTGGAGTTTTTGGTTTAAATACTGGATTCAAACTGATGCTCAAAACACATGGGCATCAGACCACACGCAAACATCCATTTTGCTTTTTCTTCCTCTTGTTCTCTCCCACCGCACCAGAGGGGATGACTAATTTGCTCTAGGAGGTGATTGCGAGGGCAAGAGACGGTGTGTCTTCGGTGTAATTTACACCCGCCGCGTTCCTCTGCCTGACACACGACCACAGATCGATGGTTGCGGTGGTGGCAGCAGCCTTTTGGCCGGTCCTCGTATGCCACGCGCACATATGCACGCGAGCGCGCAGGCTTGGTAAATGGTCCAGACCGTCTTACATCCTCATTCGCTTTACTACTCCGACTCATCAAATGATGCACCTTTATAATCGCATCTAGCTGATGCTGTGGCTTGCCTGTTGTAATCAGCCTTTCACCTCGTGTAGAACTATTCTAATCTGTCACGCGAAATTAGCCTACCAACGTAAACGGCGGCAACTATACTGGTGTCATGCCCTAATTTATGGGCTATGATTTAAGCCTTGTTGTCCTCTTCCCTATTTGTGTAGAAACACATTTAGTCCACTAGCTCCTTTTTGTTATTCGCTCAGTCATAGGAATCTCTTGAATGTTTTTTTTTCTAGGTCACTTTCAGTGTCCTTTTGACTTCATGAGAGATTCCATCAGTCAAAATGCATAACTCAGAGAAATCAGCTTGACCTCAGATTGACCTCTGTAAGATTACCAAATCTGCGAAATCATCAACGAATCTAATGAGATTTTGTTTATTTTGCATCCTTCAGTTCGCTACCGGTGATCTGGGAGATTGTAATAAAACTTTAGTATTGTATCGTGTTTGTCCTATAATTTAGTTCCTGTATATCACAACCCGCGAATGATACACACGAGCTCGACTCATATGGTCTTTTTTATCGTACATGTTTCTTTGCTCTTAAATATTTGAGTGAAACATTTTTTTTCTTATTTTTCTTACAAATTGCCCTCAAAATGTCACATCATTTTGTTGATTTGGTAGCCATCAATCGGTGTCGAATAGTTCAATTTGGGTGTCCACTACTTCACCAAATTTTGATAATTGTTTCTTTTATCCAAGGCCCATTCAGTTTCAGAATTAATAGTTACAGCCTTCCAAATGAATCAGCGTCGATAGTGAGGGAGACGAAACTGCAAACCCCGAGCTCGGAGCGTGATAGTCCATTGACGAAGCGTTGAATATGTATGACTGGTAGCCCCATTCACGTTATACCTTTTTTTGATGTTTGTTTTCGTCTTGCCTAAGAAACCAACAAAATAATGCGGAAGTGCATTCTATGATCTCAGACGAAATGTGTGTGTACCGTGTGTTAGTTCCACAATTATCCACACCTGTAGGACAGGGTAAGGTTGTAGTGGTGGTCTCATTGGCGAAGTTCCTACTCCCATTGTCGCAAATCTCGACTACCTAGTGAATCATTATTCCCTAACCTTTGCCCTTGTGACCTTATATCTCATGGGCCGATTGACTCGTTTCACCGCACGCTATCCACCATGGCCATATGACTCTTGAGTCAACAATGACTGAATCTAGTGTCTGACGGAGTTGCAAGGGCGAAATTCTCCTGTTTTAGTGGCCTTTCTCGTGAATAATTACAATTTCAGTCATGTCAAAACTGGGGATAGGATATTTTTACTGATCTGTCTAATTATTATCCTGCGCGGATGCTAATATCTAAAGCGGCTGTTGAGAGCCACTTTAGATACATTTGGGATGCTGTAATGCTGTGTATGATTGACGTCTTTTGTGTAAACTTCTCAAAACTCCACCCCTTACTTTCTAGAAGTGAACCACTATTTTCTTTTCAGCCTCACTTTTTTACCCATTGAGTTCGTACCTTGCTCGCTCTTTGTATCTACTTACCCAGACACTAGCTTCCTTCACATTGCTGCAAAATTGATGTAGGCTGATCTTCGGAGTATTTCAAGGCTTAGCTTTCACTGTGGGATGTTCTGTTGCTTTTCTTCTTTTTTACATTGAAAGGTACAAACTTTTTGAACTTTTTCCGCAATGACTCACTTTTACTGACTCTCTCCCTTCTCTTGGGTTACCACTTTTGTTCCGACACCGGTAACGGTATGTCTACCTGGGTTAAGTGGCGCAGTGTTTGCCTAGCTATATCGGTAGGTAGCATCTTGGCAGTGTCCCGAAATTCAACTTCAGTTAAGTTCAAAACCCGTGTCCACCATGGTGCAGTAAAGTTAAAATCACCGGGTCACACGGTCATATGTTATTGATCCTAGTTATTAAAGTATGTTGCAGCTTAACTGAAAATCTTCAACCTCTTCCACACATCCGACTAACCAAAGTGTAGTAATCTAAATTGCCTACTATCTGTTGAATGAACATTCTAGTGACACAAAGCCAACTTAGACTGTGCTTTTACGATTCAAAACATGTGTTTGTGCGTACTCGCTTAATGCCACACTCATAAAACTAAATCATAAAGGTGTGTTAACATAAGTAGGATACCGCTAATACCATATTTCGTGCAATCCCTCACCCATAAAAAGTGTAGCGCTACGCCGTAGGAAAGCAGGCTTGGAAGCAGAGGTGTGGGCTGGGTAGGGTAGACAAAGGAATGCAGTTGTAAGGTGTAGAGCTCCTTCCTAGCTTCGTTTTCTGTGTTTTTCCCAATCCCTATCACTCGCTCTTCTGTGGAGAAGGAAAAGTAGCTTCCCTTTTTGCGCTCGCCTGCACCTGCCACAATCCAACCGGGTATCACGTTTGCTCTTCTCTTTCATGGCTTCCTCCGGCTCACTCTTTTGCTCAGAGGAGCTACATAATTGTCTTTACTAGTAGTTTTTCAAGGTGTCACAAAAAATAACAGGCAATTGTTGCCCTTTCTTCTCGAAACTTGGTAAGGTTCCTACAAAGATCGTGAGATTTGCATGTCCGTCATGGGATCCCGTTTGGTTTGTGCTTTATTGATTCGGTTCCTTTCCCCCCTATTATTCCTACTGATAATGGAAGGAAAGTGCAGTTTCTGTTGTACATTTGTTTTCAGCTTACTTCTACTATACGATGTCGCTTTTACCAGCTAGAATGGCTTTTGTTGTTCACTTAGGGAGGCAATTTTGCATAACTGAATGCAAAAACTTAGGGGATATTTAATTGTCACTACTTGAAATTCAAGAACTGTTAATATGCTCAAGTGGTGTGGGAGCGGATCCTAAATAAAAGCAGTTATTGCAGTCATAAAATTGGGAAGGGGTACGCCAAAGCAACTTATTTCAAGCTTGCTTTAATGCACTTGAATAACTTTTCCTATCGCGTGTAGATGTCACGGATGTGTCCGATTCCTTATTATTCGTCTTATTATGGGATTGTGCGCATGTGGCAACGCGGTGTGAGGCATTAGCTCCCACCATTTCGGATTGCGTTTTCTTGACTAGATGCTCCTCTTCTTTGTCAGTCTTTTTATCCCTCCTCCACTGGCGCATCCATTTGCGTCTCTTTTCAAATGATTCTTTAACCTCTTCCATCCATGCTGCTTCCTCCACGAATTTTACAGTGGGGTATTGTATATGCCATCCACATCTACTTGTGTCCTCCTTCCACGTTCTCCTCAATGTACACCTTTACGGATAAAGGGAAGGTGTGTGACTCATCGGAGTTATTTGGATAGCGCATTAGGGAGTACAGGTTATGGTTGCTGAGTCATTATCACTGGGATAATTTACGCCTTTGGATAGCTTTTTCTCAGGCTCCTTGAAGCAGCCTCTTTTGGCGAAGCCTACAACGTTCCTGGAGTTTGTTAGTGTTCATGTATGCTACCTTGAGGAGGAAACCCCTTCACAACTTTAATTTCCCTTTCCCTTGGCTTATCGTGGCTTACCTGTTCTTGAATTCTCTCCTCGTGTTTTGTCTTTATAGGTAATAATTTCGATATTTTCCCCAAAATCGATTGGACTGATTTGCTTTAATCAAAGGCAATTACCAAGCAATGTTTTAATAGTTCATTTACTTATACTTTTGGACTGCTCTTATTCAAAATGTTTTATTTTATCCCAAATCTTGACTTGCCTAGTGAACATTCGTGTAAATGGGTGTTATAGCGGGTACCCACTTGATGGCCTTTGGCACGCAACCACATATTAACCCACCCACTTTATGCAAAGCTACTGCTACTTTTAGTATTGTACGTGGTTCATCAAAAGATTCGTTTTTTTTTCGTTCTTTTCCTCGTACATCTGAAATTCAAATTTGTCTCACTGCAACAACCCCTCTTCGCCCTTTATTGATTCGTTTGCCGTTAAGTTGGAGATTCGGTGATTTCTAAATCCTTGCTCGACCCCATGTGAATGCAAAAGGCGCTCTTTTTTGTGATGCTAAACTACCTCCGAATTCGAAAGTCAGTTTTGCCCCAAAAATGAGGCTAGAAGTGCAACTTGTTTTGGTTTCTCTAATTTTTGAGGATTCATCCTTTATTATCAATCCTTTTATGCATGTTCAAATGTCCTTCCCAAAAGACTAAACAGCATACCTGCATAACCTCTACTTACTTAAAATTTGGTACTAATGGCTTAGTAACTTCAGTGTTGTATGTGTGAGCACGCGAAAAAGAATTTGATGGGTGATAGGGTCTTATATCGTTCATTTCTTGTTGTTTACCTTGTTACTCACTGATCTGTATAGTAGTAAAACGTTTTGTTTGATACCTCGCCATCTTATAAACGCCAAGTAATCCCAATAAACTCTTATTTCATCTACTTTTGCTATACAGATGTGGTCTCACCTACCATTTTGGCATTTTCAAGCAGGCTATGCGTATTACCCTTTCGCGCTTGAGATTCTATCAGAATTGAGAATAGGAACGCAGTCACTACCTGTCACAATTCTTTTGGCTTTACTGTGTCTATACCGAACACCTTGTTTGCTGCAACATCGAAAGGAAATAATTTAATTGGGGGTGCACTTAGTTGTTTAACGTAAACGCGTTTTCCTGAAATTTTTGTGATGATGCTAACTAAGGGACTTCAATTTTTTCGATGAATTAAAAGCTGATCCATGATGGGTCAGGACCTTATCGTTTCTAATGCACGTTGAGAGTAACCCCGGCAGCAAACCTTGTCGTTCCTAAGGCTGACCTTTGGTTGGATTATCTATAGAAAAATGGCTGAATTGAATACAACATCCTATAGCTTAACATTCTACCTCCAAATTTTCACTTTTATACCTTAAATTGTTTGCTCAATGTAAAATTGGTTTAACTTTGAATCAAATGGATGACCAGATCCTCGCGTTTGTCTGAGGCAGATGTCTTACCAGCCCTCCTTATGCTCTCTTCAATCCTGTAGCAACGAGACCTGAAGCAGTACCTACACGAGTGCCACAACTTGATGCACCCAGAGAATGTGCGCATCTTCCTTTACCAACTCCTCCGTGGTCTGGCCTTCTGTCACGCGCGCCGTATCCTGCATCGCGACCTGAAACCGCAAAACCTCCTCATTAATGACCGTGGCGACCTCAAGCTGGCCGACTTCGGACTGGCTCGAGCCAAATCCATCCCTATCAAGACCTACTCCAATGAGGTCGTTACCCTCTGGTGAGTTTTGCAGTCCTCAACTTTTATCAAAAGGTCTGTTTGGTTGTAATACTATATCCATGCACCAAAGGATTCAATCACTGTAAAAGCATCGCTTTCATACCAGAGGTGTGTGAATTTTTTGTGATGTGGGGTATGGTAAAGTGGACATTTACACCATCTCAACAAGGAGTTGTTGATGAAGCAATATTTAAAATAGTGACATTATCTCTTTTCTTGAGTAATGCAAAAGATTCAGTACAAATAATTGCGTTTAAGTGTAATCTTGTGCGTTAATGCCTACGAAAGCTACCAAAGACGTCATTCAGTTTAAAGTGTAAGTTGCGCAGCAGTCTACACTCAAATCTTAATGAAATTTGCATGGGTCGGGACACTTTCTCGAAATATTTGCCTCGCTTTCGTCGCTTTCATGTTTTAGTATATGGCGAACACTGAATGAAGTAAAATTCCCCAATCAATTTTTATCAGTGTTTCGGGTACTTTTAAAATGTCAAATACTTCAGGTGTAAGACACCCTTGGTCATTTGAAGGATCAGAATTGGTCATACCTTTCGGGTATTGTCATACCTCATTCCCATCTGTAGCTACAGCAAATGGTGCCACAGTTGTACGCTTCTGTTTTACGTGTAAACTAGAGGAAATCTAACTGAGAATGGGCATGGTACGATGCAATTTGATGATTTATCGGTGACTTTAGTAGGCAATAATATGTTGAGGAATAATGCTGCTTTGCATTGATGTGTCAACATTCAGTGGCAATGGGCATTTCCCGCAGCGCTTCTTAGCTCTGATATTCATAGGGGATGGTAATATTTCTTCAATTTTTTTTAATGCGGAAAGCTCCACTCGATTCTAGCTGCAGATAAACCCTTCCATTTAAAAATCATGGACTTGTATCTGAATTAAATCGCACTCTAGAAGCAACTGCTTCGTGGTCACTACTTTTATATTCTAATATGCTACGAATCACAAAATAACCGCTAGATACGTAGGATTTGCAATTCATTGCACAGTTGAGAACGGATCACATCTTCCCTTCCTGTGCTCATCTGCGTTAATGCAGGTTTTCACTCGTCTCATTAAAAACCGCCTGATTACTGCAAGCATTTCGCTTGTATGCCTTCGTTGGAGGTTTTTTAACTCACATGCAGCGGTAAATCCGCTCTCACAGGTGAACCTTGGCTCCTTTTCCGGATCAGCGGTGTGGATCGCGATCACTTGCATTATGCATGCGCACGCATTTGGGTGCGTGCGTGGCTGCGAGCACCGCAGCACCCAAATCGATCGAATCGGCGGTGCGCGTGTTCGTCGCAGCGAGTGTGCGAAAGCATGTGGTCGTAGTTGGCGGTGCTACTGCTGCTTGCTGCGACGTGGGTAATTGCGGACATGCTGGTCAACACCCACGCAGCCAAATGTCTTCACGCTTACGGTGCGCGTAAGTATGTACGGGTTGGGGAGCGAGGAGGATAAAGGGGAAAGTGGGGAGTGGGCGTTTGGGTGTGTTAAAGTCTTTTTTGCAACCTGGGAAATTTTTACACAAGACTATTTGTGCGGGCGCACACCTTTGTTTGTGGTGGTAGATGATCCGATTTTAAAGATGAATATTCTCATCACTTGCTACTTCTCTTCAGTAGAAATTCATTAAACTATTCACATTTGACTTCGTAGTTGCTCTGACAATTTCGAGTAGGGGTGCTTTTCGAAATTCTGTCAAAAATGGTTTGTGAAATTTCTCACTTTTGCTGCGTTGTACCGAACCAAGCAAAGATAATGACCTAAGCAGCTCCATTTTGGGAATTTTTAGTGTTCTCCAGGATCCTAATTAATGAATGTTAGTCTCACTTTTCGGTGTGAATTCGTTTGTCTTGCCACCTATGCGCCCGCTTTCTGCTTGGGCGCTCACCGTCATGCACGTGCCTGAAGTGAGAAGACTACTGGGGTGATTACGACACCCCGCCCACTGGTAATCTTTCTTCCCACTCCTTGAATCTCATACCCCAGGCAAAATCTGCAATCGCCTTATTCGTTAAACAGGCATTTTTTCGAAAATTTTTGCTGCCTGCGGGATCGAAACTCGCTTTAGGTAGGTTTCAGATTGTTTTGACCAGGGACCAGAATTACAACTGTCATATCGGTGTTTTAACTTGTGTATGAAGCATCGCCTATTTGAAGGGGCAAGAACAAAGCCTGCTTCCATTTGACCACTCAGGTGAATCTTATTGGTCAAAAGGTTTTCTACGCAATTCATTGTATCGCTGAATTCCAATCAAAACGTTACTTCGTGCTTTGATCTGCTTATTAATTCAGGTGGCTCCAGCAATGTCAACCATAAGTGTCTTACACGCTGCAAAATTGAAAATGGATTAAATATACCTCCTTTTTATTCCATCATCTGCTGTAAAATTGTTGAACGTGTTTTGCACTTCGCTGCGAAACTGCGATTAATGATGCTTAAGAACCTCAGCAAGGCTGTCAGGAAAGCAGCACTTCTGCGTGCCGTACTAGAGAATTCTCAAAAGGACTAATCCGAGGTCCTCATTCCGGTGCAACTAATTTAACGTATTTTCAATGGTCTTCAAAGTTGGTTAGCTCTAAAGACCTAGCTCTTATCTGAATCTTAGTAGCTCACTTAAAAAAAATAAACATGGGGCGACTTTTAAACTCGGCACTGTATAATTGCGCACAAAGTCAAACAATGTTTCTGCAAATGGAAGTACACCGCTTCCACTTCGACACTAAGGGGTCATTTTCCTCAAAATAAAAATGTAAGGATATGTAATATTAGTAACTTTATTTCCCCTTTGTTATTACTGGCATCTGGCTGAATGAGAACTTTTCTATATCTGAATGGCAAGTGCTCTATGGTACCAGCCGTTATTTGAGAGTATTCCAGCACCTAACAATGAGGGTGATCATTCTTGTTTGGTACATCATAGTGGTTTATTTGAACCGCAGTTTTTGCTAGTAGTAGCTTTGATAATTTTAAAATCTGAGTTATAATGAAACGAAACATCTGTAAATGCTATACGTGGCTGTCCGAATTCAGTTCAGTGATTCAACGTCCTACCTCAGGTACCAATTAGTCTGCTGACGGAACTTTTTAATCATCCCTTTTTCCCTGAAGGTTCTTTACGCCGTCAAGACGGATTAAGGGTGTTAAATCTTGTCAGGTCGCAACACTAACCCAGGGGTATTCCCTTTCCCCCACAGGTACCGACCTCCAGACGTGTTGCTGGGCTCTACGGAGTACTCTACGCATATCGATATGTGGGGTGTGGGGTGCATCTTTTTTGAGATGGCCACCGGGTGGCCCCTCTTCCCCGGCTCCACGGTCGAGGAGGAGCTAACTCTCATCTTCAAGCGCCTTGGTGCGTCCCTCTTTCCTCCCTCTTCTCTCTTACCTACTCTTAGCGCCCTGGCCAATGATCTATTCGGGGGTATTGCTCTTTCTTGCTCAAGAAAGAGTGCGGGAAGTGTGTACTCCTCTGGATCATACTTATTACGCCCGTTGATCACATGGCGGTGTCACGCGCACGTTCACTTCTGCTCTCTAGATCTATGCCCATGGAGTGATCTTTCATTTTTATTTTTTCACTGAATGCCATCTCCTGCCTTCACAACATTAGGAGAGGCTATGCTTTGGTGAATACCAAAGATCACTCCGTTGCGCTGACCTGAGCTTTGTTTTAAGGAGGTAGAAACTGCTAATTTTAATCACTTCAGGCTGTGGAGTAGGCCGGAGAGCGTGAATTTCCTCTCGAACTCTCTGACTGTAGTTTCATTTGTTTATTTGTATTTACGTATGCATGTGCGTATGCGATCTTATCGTTGAGTACATTTACGGCGACTGCATATTATTAGTGCGTGCTTAGGTATGAATTTTCGTTGGGGAAGTCTAAGACCACTGCTATCTGACGCGGTGGCAGTATCCAAAAAGATTTAGCATTCATTGTCGTCGTAAAAGCTGCGAAGCGGGAAAAATGAATATTGCCTGGTTTCCTTTAACTCTAGTTTCTTACACTATTAAATAAGGTATCGCGCACCTGGTTATGGGGCGATTTCAGTACCAGCAGCTCTACCCCGCGTGCATGGCAAGCAGTCCTAGTGAGTTGGTATAAAAACTCCTGGATTTAAGAACAAAATGGTCGGCTAAGCTGTTGTCTCAATTAAAAACGAGTGATGTAACTTTTGAACCAGCAATGCTATGGAATGAACGTATGTACGCATGTAGGTGGAGGCAGATTGATACAGGATAGCTAAAAGTGCGATGACCGCATTGTCATGAACTTGGGAGTAGTTTGTGCAATGCACTCTGTCCTAAGTGACCTTCTTTTCACTTCTTCTGTGTGCTTACAGGGACACCGACAGAGGACTCCTGGCCCGGAGTGACCACCCACCCGCATTTCAGCAAGGCTCTGACCTATGGCCCCTATCCACCGGTCGGTCGCTTTCCCCTCTCACCCCAATTCTCACCATCAGGCCAAGCCCTCCTCAGCAAACTCCTTGTCTACCCTGGTCCCCGACGCATCTCCGCCGCCGAAGCCCTCAAGCACGCTTACTTTTCACGTCCCCTCACCGCCACCACCTCCTCCGTAGGTGACGTTATCAGGGGCCTTCCATTGGAGACGCTCGCTAATCTCCCCGACTGTGCCAGCATCTTCGAGGTGCCCGGCATACGACTCCACAGGGACCCCGGTATCGCTCCGCAGGTTCCTTCTTCCAATCATCATTCACACTATCATCACCGGACTAACGGATCCGCCAGTTACCGCAACTCAATGCCCGTTGTCTACAATGAGTTCAATGTGCGCTCCTCACTCCAATATTTTTTTATCTATCATCAACCACATTCCCTTTTGGTGGTTTCACTTTAAGTACTAAACTAGCTAAACGCATTTTGTTGCGCTATTTAAGTAGACGTTAAGCCTTATTGAGCTCATTCATAAACTTAAGCTGCTGACTATCCTCCTTAAGAATCGCCTGGGCGGATGCTTATAGGTCGTCCTGTTGGATTTTAAAACTGTAGAATCAGCTGAGACAGAGTCAGGTGCATCAACAGCAGCCCTGCCTGCACCGTCAAGCCGGGCCTCCACCTCCTCTACCTCCGCACCAATCAGGAGGAGGCGTGCCGGTTGCATTTGTCACTGGTGGCACATCAGCCTATCAGCGTCCCATATCAGTGGCTTCGACCAATGCAGTGCGGCCACCTGTCATAGCGCCTCGATGTTACTTGCCCAACCAGAATGGCATGGGCGGGAGTACCATAATGGGCTACGCTCCAGGGGTGTTTCTCAACTGTGATTCGAAGCAGTCATCCTCCACGACCTCGAGTGAACACCACGCCCCCTCCTCTAACCTCTTTGGCCAGTATCTTAGCCATCAGCAATTTCACAATGGCACCGGTGGTGGCGGTATTGGAGCGGCCCCTCTCCCCTACAATACACGAGTCATCGGTTGGTGAAATTGGTATTTAGTGTAGGACTGAGCTCCCTCTTTTTCAAACCAACTTTATGTAATCATCTGTTATTATTTGTAGGGGGTTTTTACGGCGATCGTCGCAAGAGCATGCTTTCGTAGGAGGATACATAAGTTAGCTTTTTTTAGTCCCGACTCCCGGCTACGACAAGAAGCAAATGTCATACGTTCGCATTCATTGCCACCGACAGTGCATTTCTCCCAAATCTTTTAATTTATCTTTCTCTGTCTGCCTTCCTGCCTCATCTCGTCTTATTTCGCTGATCCAATATTTTATCTGATATGTTCACAACCAAGCAAACACACCGACACAAAAACCACATTAATCACTGTTGGAGAGCTGTTCAAATTTATTTGATATTTGATCATCGTTACTCTCTGCCTCTCTCTCTCCTTTCAACTCTGTATATTGTAATTTTGTATCTGAACGAGTCTCTGGTTTGATCGACTATCATCATGAGGCTCACCGCAATACTACCATCCTCGGAGCGTCGCCGGTGTTACTCGTTTTGATGTTGTATCAATATCGTCCTTGGTTCCCGCCACCTCACACCACCGCTGCCCTGCTTGCCCCAGACCCATCATGCAAAGCGCAAGAGGCGATCGGTTCCTTTTGGTGATTAAATTTTCCGCCTATTTAGCCCTTTGTGCTTTTTCCCTCCGTTTCGAGAGGGAGAAATGTACATTCTGCACGGCACAGGAGTAGTCTCGCAGTAGTGACTCTCATTAGGGATAATTGTAAGTTGCTAGCGTACTACTTCACTGGGTCATGCACATTCGAATTAATTTTGTAATTCACGTTATCTCGGGTTAATTGAGAAGTTAAGACCTGGTCAGGATGTTCTTCTCAATTATGATTTTGAAAAATTACTTGTTTTTACACTTCAAAACATGGAATAAACTCCTGAAATGAGATTTGCATTTACTACCGGCGGGTAGTGTGCGCACACAAACAAAGGTTACGAAACTTCAAATTTACAAGGAAATATTTGGCTGGCTAAAAAATGTTCCAGCAAAACTAAATTGGTCAATTAGGGAGGGAATTTTCTAGAGGTTGGTATGTGATGAGAAATTAGAACTGCCAAAAAAACTTCTGAATTGTAGTTGGCAACCAACTTTAGGCGTGTGCTTTGCGCTCTTGATTCGGAAGGGACGAGTGTTACTGACACATAGATAGGGCTCTAGGGGTGCGAGTCATCAGTAAAAATCTCATCCTCTACTATTACGAGTTGACTAAAGTAACGTTGGCATTGCCTTCATTCATACCAAAAGAATGGGAGCGCCAAATGCTATTTTCACATTTACTGGGTGTTCCGGTTCTACAGAAAGCAGTACTACAGTCAAGAGATGTAACTGATGCCAACCTCACATTAACAACAAAGCCACTTTAAAGCTGTTTTCAAATTGAATTAGTCAAATATGAGAGGGAATCGAGTTTGAGGCGTATGTCGATGAATTCGAAATATGCAGATGGCCGAATGGTGCATACCAAGAGGTGGGCAGACTGCGGCTCTTACGATAATAGGTTAATATTCTAATCAGATTTTGCTAACATCTCGCCACGATTCTATGTTTCTTATGACATCTCAGGGAGGACCTGGGTACTACAGCTTTCCTGGTACAACGTAGGCTGCTTAGACAGATGGATATGATGACGCTTAATGTAAAAATCCAGGAGGCGATATCTGAAATTCATAACAAAAGATGTAGACGACCAGTTATATCAAATGATCAAGTGAATTTAATCCACATAACAGCCGTTTCTGTTTAACTTTCATCCTGAAACGGAAGACAGAGATGAATGCTCATTCTCAAGTGTCATTGGTGATTTAAATTTCAATCAATCAGTTCACTTTTTGTGACACTTGTTTGGATATTCACGTAATTCACGGGCCCTCACTACAGAATGCGAGGTTGAATGAATCAATTCCCTAGGTTAAATAATTTTTACAATGAAGTGCGTCAGCATTAAAAACCAGAATGTCCCTACAGCTAACGTTAAAAAATAAATGCTAAGTTCCGACAACCACACAAGAAAGTGTTTTATCCAGGTCATGTACGATTCGCCAGTGAACGATGCATAATGCAGCGCATCAAGTGTTCTCCAAAGTTGTAATTAGCCACAATAGTATACAGGCACATATGTTACCACCGTACAGAAGAGCAGAAGGGCGTTAGCATGACCCAACCGGAAAATGAAGACGCAGACGCGGCCAGCGGGGACTAAAGAGTGCGCGTAATTAGATGCACGATCAAACAGTAGCGAATTACTTCAATACGAAACGTTATTCAATTATATTTAGTGGGACGAGTGTATTTGGTTTCACAGTAGCTATATATGGCAAATATAACCTGCATTTATATTATATTAATCAAAATGTGTACTATATATATTTGATATTTGTGAAATAGTGTTACAACAAGATTAAGTGTGTTGAATTAAGTATAAAACTCAGGTCCTATCTTAAGCTTAAAAAGAAAAGAGGGTTATTTATTTGACACTGAAAAATTGAATATCTGTCAATTTATGGAAGATTGGCCTTTTAGCACAATTTCACCCTATTCTTTTGGTTTAGGTGCATGAAATGCTATTCAATTCTCAAATCGCGACGATAAATTTGCCAAAGTGGTATTAAGCACAGCATTTCAGCTAAGATTAGAACCAACCTGTCATTAATAGATAGCGGATGCACATCAAATATTGATAACCATATATTTAGCGAACATATTTGTTTATTTTTAATCTAAAACTTGTAGCATTATCTGCTGCAGACCTTTGTTTGGCTGGACTATTTTGGGTAATGCGGGCACTTTTAGGGCTTGGCTTGGAGCGTGTTTGTCATTAAATCCGATCGGGATGCTTGTGCCGTTAAACATAAGAAATTCGATTTATGAGTATCTCCTTAATGAGGGTGTCATGACAGCTGTGGAGGATGTTAGGCCTAAGTGCATACATCCTGCTGTAAAAGTGCGGAACCTTTATGTGATGAATGTCATGAAATCTCTTGTGTCTCGTGGTTATGTGAAGAAGCGCTTTGCTTGGAGGACTTTCTACTGGTTTTTGACCAACGAGGGCATTGATTACCTTCGGGAGGTACGTAAGTATTTTGATTCATAGGTAAATGCATTAGGTTCTTCACCTCCCAACTGAAATCGTCCCTGCTACACTTAATAAACCATCCATTGACTCCCGATTTCCCGGTCCTCGTGGCCCTGTGGGTGGTCCTCGCATGCAACCGGACGGTCGTAGTGCTTATCGTATTGGTGCTGTCGGCCAAGTCGATGCCGCCAAGGAGGCTGCTGTTGTGCCTGAGGGCGAAGTACACTTTCGTGGTGGACCCGGTGGGAGGCCTATGTAAAGCATTCTAAAATAAACCTTATTGGGTATTTCGCGACTCTTGCCACTGTGATGCTTCTTCTTTTTTGAGATAGTTTAATGATAGATTGAAAGGAATTATACGGATTTGTGTCCTAATTCACCTGAGCCCTGGTTACTTGTCTTTGATTTATTCGTTGCCGTCTTTATCACCGTACATTGAATTTTCAGTAAGCTTTTTACGTGGAACTGATCCACTTTCTTGTTTTTCTTCAAGCCCCTTCCTACTGTTAACACCGTCTGCCTGTCCTTGAAGGTTTGGTCCTTTAGAATCTGTCATTTGTGCTATCCTTAGGGTGTCTGGAGGCAGGTCCTGCAAGGAGCTCATTCGATAGTTTTTACGTTCCAGGCTGCGATCGCTAATTGTTTTGAACTAAGTAGCAATTTTATTAAAGATTTTGGCACTAGAGTTTAGTCAATAGGGACTTTTTATTCACAGTGTCTGAACTTTGTGTCAAGTGTCTATCACAAAATCACAGCAGTTGTTCGTCATAGCAGTTGAAGGCGGAAGTACGCGAGTTGTTTTTTGCCGTAATTCGGCCGCTTTTGTGAATGTGTACAAAGTTTTCGCTCGTTAGGCTGATCTATTGCTGTTTAGCCGTTCATGTCGCCGTAGGCCGAGATAGGCGGTGAGTGGAGTGAGGCCTGTCGCGGTGGTGGTGGGTTGGAGATATTAAGTCGCCGTGCCTCCGGTACGCCCGACTTTGAATCTTTGGGTGTTGGTTTCGTCCGTTGGAATCGTTGCTTGAACTTCTTCCTTTCGAAGAATTTTGCCTATGATGTGAAGTGTAAGTTTACCTTAAAAATGTTTTAATGTAGAGAGCTCAGTTCTATGGTATGTATTTGTCATTGCAAGTCTGGCGAAATTAACTGTTTGACTTACTTTCCAGAGAATTATGATGAGTATAGCAAGAAGCAGGAGGCCTGCGAAGACGGCGAGACCAATGTAAAGTGGCATGTTCTTTGGGTAGACGGGTTCGGGTTCCATGTCATTGAATATTTTGAGCTCAAGCTGAATAAATTTGACGGTGAAGGTGGATTAAAACGGCTCCTGAGTATAGCATTTCCTATTCAGCATACTGGCGAAGTAGCAGTGGGAGAGGGAAGAGTGAAGTGGGGATGTTTGGAGGATGGCCACTAGCTAGCGACTCATATGCTAGCTCTAAGGGCATTCAGAGTAGACGAGCGGCATACCTCGGCGGGTTTCACTACGCCCTGCAGATCTGCATGGAAACGCATCGACCCGCCAAGGAACTGCACAAAGCCAGTCAAGTGGGTGACAAGCAAGGCAATATCAAATTTTCCGTTAATGAATAAGTGGAAGGACGAGGTGTGCAATAAACCAGGTTGAACTGTTGATTTATTCAGTTAAAACGGAGATCAGGTGCCTAAATGACTGGTGAATCGCATGCATTTACAGTTCTAGCTGCATTGACTACTCTCACTGAAGGCGTGTCGACGACAGTGGTTATTCGAAGTAAGAGTGAGACTTAGGGTTTTCTTCGAATCTGATTGAATAGGGCGAGTCAACTCACATTGTCGGAGGTATGGTCTTTGTCTCCTGCATCTATTGTGAAAGTAACACTGGCCCTCCAGGTTGCTGTTAATTGGACTGAGGTCATGAAGATATCTTTGAAATCCTACCAAAGCAACGATAAGAGGTGGTGTCTACAACTGTCGTGTCACATCACTCACTTGGCGCATTGTGTTGTCCCATAGACGTGCAGGCATCTCAAAAGTTAGTATACCTGTCCTGTACGACAGGGGACCGAGGTCGCACACAATCGGCACACAGCGCAGTTGTCCGTTATAGCAGCTCTGAAAAAAGCATTAACGTGAGCGTCCTCGGTGTCCTGCGGAGTCATCTTACCAAGGTTGTGCTAACTCGTTTCACGTTGCCTTGGTCAGGCATTTTTTCAAATTCCAGATTGGATTTAAGTGGGGGATATTCTGTCGGATGGCTCGATGGCAGGTCAATTGGTGCAGTGGCTACCGGATCACCTCGGGGTTGAGGTGCTAAGGACCTAAACACCTGCGTAGGAGGGAGAACATAGCACTTTTTTGGCAAAATCGTTAACACTAAATGTATCGGTATAGGACAATACCCGGTAGTTATAAGGATTCACAAGCCTATCCAGAGCTCTCGAGTCGCACACTATGGTTGTGTTAGAGGCTGTCGGTAGATCAGTTTTAGTTATGTAAGGCTTTTCAAGAAGGTAGAATAAAAGTTTCCCGTTCTCTTCAGTTATAATGTCTGCAGTTTCGTAGGGCCAGTCAATAATAAGTCGGGAATTTGGCACCAGACTGTGTTTCCGCAAATTTTGAACCTACCAATGCAAAACAGTGTTTTAAGGGTCCTGTTAATAAGGACGGTAGGAATCTGCTGGAATGATACCTACTCGAACTCGAATAAGGAGGCGTGTAGAGCCGATTTTGTTTTCCCCATTGTTAATGAGAATCCCATCAGTCACATTTCCCGAGTAGTAAGCAGCGTCCGGTAGTATTTCACTGGAACAGTGATACAAGACGGGGAGGTGAAGTTGTTGTGATGACCACCTTTACTCTGCTCAACCGTTACAATCAAACCCTGTTAACTTTGAACTGAGGGCAAAAACATAATCCAATACCTCTGTATTAAATCCGATTCATGCAACTACCGACACTGCCTTGTAAATTCAAATTCTTGACTGAATAAGAAAAAGATCTGCTAAACAGACGCGCCGTAGCTTTGATGAATGAAGGAAAATACTTGAAGCTGGTGAATCGTTGCTTGAAGTTTCAAGCATTTTAAAAAGCGGAACGTACCCCGTAACTGACACGTTGACGCTCATTTTCACTTTTACTGTTATGGAATCAGTAGCAGGAGCCAGCATCTTTGGAGGAAACTTTGGGCTTCTAAAATATTCAATGAGACGTATTTTGATGAATGATCTACGATAAGGTCGTCTAGATAGCAGCACGCAATTTCCAGAGACACATGCGTTGCATGTAAGCGACTCGGTTGACATTCCCACTGCTAATGGGAAATATGAAATCAAGCACATTTGAAAGATGCTACCGCTTACAACCGGCCATGATCAGTCTTTAGATTATAATTCTGGTTATGTTTGCTTTATTTAGTGCTCCCTCTTGACGATGTTACTTCTCGAGGTCACTTGTAGAAACGCGTATGTTCATAACCTCGAGAGCTCAAGTAGAGAGTTTCATGTGTGAAAACGAACGAGTATGCCGACCGTTTGGGGTGAGCGACATCCACAACATTGGCTAAGTCAGTTAATTTTCTTAATCAAACATTACCCAGCCAAAGGTTCCATCTACCAATTGCGGGTACTTGCAAGTTTTTATTCAAAGTGCATCGTTATACGAGGAGTAGGTCGACCGTGCCGATTAATACCTCCCACTACCCAGAATAATAATGCCCATGCACTGTAAATGATACTCTTTTTGAAAAGAACATGTTCGGCTTTTTACTTCAAAAAGCACCGTATTGGCATTAGCTACGTGCATTTGACGAAGCCACGGCTAACCCATTCGCCAACTGGCACATGAGGTGCACACGACACTTGCTGTGCTGAAGTCATAGAAACTGGACTTTGAATTTGAATTAGCTGTCTTGTTGCAAAAGTTCGTGCGTAAATCATATCAAGTGAATAAATGAACGCCTTATTACGATTGCCTGTTGCCCAAATGATAAAGGGATAAAAAACTATTGGCTTGCCATCGACGACCGCAGGTTATCAGGGATCGGGCAATCGATAATTATTTGGACCGGTGGAGTATAATAAGGTTGCATACTGATAATGAGCCCTAGAATAGCGGTGAGACGGGAGTGAGAGGAGATTGGATAAAAATAATTCGCTTACGAGGTGATGGTACTGTTGATAGTGAAGTTCTTTGGAGCCTTCATCAGCTGCTGACCGAGGACTTTGAAGCGAAGGGCACAGGTGGCCCCTTCGCCAACGGATAGAGGGTTGCCGAAGTGACACAGGGCCAAACCCGGTCTCACGAGGCTCGCACGATGATTCTTAACATCGATCGGGTTTTGCATGAAATGCAAAATAGTATGCAAATACCCCTTCCATCATTCTCCAGAGTAAATTACTTCACAGAATCCCTTTTCTTATGAACTGCAAGAAATGTATTTCATAAGGAAAGCCACTTTTACTGTTACTGCATTTCATAATGATAGTATGAAGGGTTTCATTGTCAGTTCCGATATAAACTCAGAACTGCAACACGACATCATACATGAGTTCAATTGGGACCTTACTCACAGTCCAAAAGCTCACAAACCCTATAACTTCTCCAAATGATACGAAATCTCGTTTAATTATGAATCGATGTGCCCGCCAACGAAAAGGGAGGTGCCGTATGGTACGAAAGGCGTAAAGGGCAGGAGCAGACTCACTAGTTCGTGCGGGTTAGTACTGAGGTCGAGCAGTTCCTCAGGGTAAGAGGCGTACACGCTGGTTGCATAGCTCGGGTCCCTGCCTCTGTTGGTCACGGTGGCCTTCACCTCGACCGACTGAAATTCGTCGTCACCGACAAGCACAACTGGTCCGTCCCTGTCTCTGACGCACAAACACAACAAAAAGCCAAATATCCGCATTAGGTAGACACTTGTAGAATTCTCCTCATTTTTAAACTATGATATGTGAATTTGAACTACAAGGACCTCGTAAGCAGAATCTGTAAAAATATCCGATACTTGATTCCCTTCTTTCATATCCCCTCGAAGCATTGCATGAGACACATTCAGGTAAAACTGAGACTATGAATTTCACGGGATTACGCATCAAATACAAGTAAGTGGTGAGTGTTCTATTTACATTAGTTGGCACACATGTTGTGGACCAGTTTAGACATTGTGAAGCAAGACGGCGGGCAAAAGTGATACTACGCGGATGATTCAGCACGTGGTGAAGTTTCCTTTGAACAAAGGCGTAAAATCAGTGGATATCTGGAGCAGACTTCGAGCACAGTGAAATAATGGGACATTCCACCGAGATTAGGCCTATAATTGATGGTGGAAATGTTTCAAGGGCTTTCACATGTGCGTCAGTGACAATCCCGGCTGTGGTGGTTGCCAGCCCACCATCACAGCAGTCAGTCTAGAAAACTTTCAGCCAGCACGTGGAACTCCTGGCTGGCACATAACCATCGGTGCGAGTGCACAGGAGATAAAATCTTTCTGTAGGAACGGTGCATATTATCAACCACAAGTATTTGCGGTTTCCAAAATATGCTGCATACTGGGTATTAAGACAGGCAAACAGGCTGTCCAAAATGGGTTCGCCTGCACCTGGAAACCTTTCGATGCTGGCGTTCTACAGGTGTTAGTTAAACGCTGGAATAAATGTATAAAACTAGTGAGAAAATACGTAAAAAAGTGAAAATGATTTTTATCCCATAAAATTTGCCCATCTCTTGTGTGAACTCACCAGTCATGTTTTGCAATAAATCATCTTGAATGGAAAGCAAAAGTTATGTGGTGATGTCCAGAACTAAACTTGTGAAATATGACGTCCTTCTTAGGATGCTTATAAATAGGCAAATGTGCGCGAGTGTGAAGGGCGACTCGTTGCTCCTGATTCTAACACAATCTGCTATCACAGCTAAAATCACTCATTCGATTTATTATTACTGTTTTTATAAAATGCGTCAAAATCATTACCTCGTAACTGAGTACTCAAACTGTGGAAGTAGGATTGGATTGCACTTTCGGGATTCGCACTCGTTACCAAATGTGATCTGTAAAAAGGGAATACGTTTGACACTCCCATGCTTTTGGCGTACGTCAAATAATGCCAGCTTTTCAGTCTTTACGATTCGACTATCATATTATTGCTGCGATGTGCTGGCAATGCCACCAATGCTTCCAGCCCCTTCCTTGCATCGGTAATAAGCCTGCTTCTTAATTGGTGCATCCTATAACAGCCCTCGAGATGGCTCGGACACAAAATCCATTCATCAAACAGGTCCAAAATAACATTGATACATTCAGTTTGATGTAACGGGAACGTTTCCAGAGAGTCTTACCAAGGATTGGCCAGTGTTCTCCCTTGGATTGTTAATGGGATAGTTTATGAGATCAGCGAAGGGGGAGGATGGCGAGGGAGCATCCAGCAGCCACTTTACGCCAAACCGAATGGGCGAGGAGAGGTCCACCAAATCGACGTCCTATGGGGCAAAAATTCAACTTACTTAGAGCGAGAAAATGGACACTTTTTACTCCCATCATCAATCTGACCGGCAGAAAAGTCACTAATTTAATTATTAGAAACAGTACTGAGGTCATTTCAAGGCAGCTTTTAGCGCTGTAGTAAAGTCATTAGTAAATGATGAGTTAGGGCGTCTTACTAGATTCATTGTGCGGGGAAGCTGGATCTGATTCATCGCAGGTGAACCAGAAATACATAATTCTAACAAATTGGTCGAAGAACGAAAGAAAAGCACCAAAACTGAAGTATCGTGGGTGAATGCCTTGGCAAAACTAGAGTATCACCCAACTGGAAGGTGAACTCATTATTGCCAACCTGAAGATGGGAGTTGTCACGGTCATAAATAGCACTTCAAGAAGCCAAACTGTAACAGCTCTCAGTTAGACCTTCCAGAATTGATGTTTCATAGGCGTCGGTGAGAATGCTGAGTCACTCGCATGCAGGCAGCTCACAGCCGCGAATGGCATGAGAGAGGCACATCTGCTTGAAGAGCAATCTTGCAATAGGATGCTTCCAAATTTCGTTGACAGTTATAGCGACTAAAAACGTATGATTGAAATCCTGAAGGGATACACGCATCTGGAAAAATGGCAGTGGCACCTCCCTCTGTTTCTTGTCTATTAAAACAACACGTCTATAGTACTTGTCAAATTTGAGAAATCAGGAACCTAGGAAGGCCTATCAGTGCATGGGTTAGTAAGTGGCAAAAGCCGGAGGTAAATAGTGAAAAAAAAGGAAATGCCAATATTATACGGTCCCAGTGTTCCTCAAAAAGTAGTATCCTAGTGTAATGTCCTTAGAGGTTGAAATGAGGCCCAAATTTTCCTCAGACAGCTAAAAGTGCTCAAATGAGCCGAACCCAGGTTGCATTAAGGCATGAGGTGTTCAAATGGATTCATTTGGTGCAGATGCTAATCCATCCATCGCCTGCCAAATTTCAGCTCTTTGAGCTGTGCACCCTAAGAATTAAGAGCTTATGTCTACATGTTTACACCCACCAGAAGTCATCTCAGAGTTTTTAATAAAAATTAATGAAATCTATCAAAAAGACACCTTTTAAATTATTTCAATCCATTTTTTGAAATAGATTGGCAACTTTTCTTTTCTTCTCGCCATGGCGTTCACATGGAAGCGAAGTAGAAATTTTGCTAATGTAGACAACTTTGTGGCACCAGTGACAGAAACGTGTCGGTTCGTGTAATTAGGAACAGATGTGGTTAAAGGGTGTTGTGCAAAAGCAGATTCATCCAACCTACTGCTGTTGCTGTCGATGGAATAACGGCAGACGCCTTTTGTGATTATGAAGGTTAACCTGCTAAAGACAAAAGCGGAAGGTCATCAACCAAGCAGTGCGCACAGGAACGACAAGAGGTAACGCCGAATGAAATGTATCATCCAGCAATTAACATCCATGATTTTTTAAAGTAAAGCGGCGTCTGGAGTCAACTACACTACTAATGGCTGACGATGACAGCTCCTAGTCTGCATTTGCAGGTGCACGCCACTTTGTCCGCGTCGTGATCCCTAACGCATACGGGAAAACTGATACAGGGGTGTTATATTAAATTAGTGAAGGTAGCCTATTAATGACAATACATTTGATCGAGAAATAAGGTAGAAGTTAGTGAAAGCGGATCCTCCGATTTAATTGATACATGTCAGTTTTAAATCCTCATTTCTCCACAGTCCAGCGCCTAGAAAAGTGGACACTCGCTTGTCCCCAGTATCAGTGATCCTGGCTACCTACCAATCAACGTATTCCCAAAAATAATAGTTATCAGTACGTCTCAGTAACCACAGCTTTCTGCTCGCCAAAATCGCATACTGTACAAATAGGTTATTTAAATCTTGATTGCATTTTAAAATACAAGAGCCATTCAATTCTGTCGAGATTCGGCTACTGCGTTGGTGGTATGGAGCAATGGTCGTACTGACCTCCCAATCCTTCTGTACGTTGATAATGAATCTACTTCTAGGCAGACGGATTTAATATCGAAGAAAAAGAGTTCGAGGGCAGCTTTTGGAGACTTACGCGGAAGGCTAGCCGGACGGGGGTGGCTTGATCCAGTTCGGCGGGGCTAGGAGGCTTGTTGGTAGCACCGGGCTCGCGACAGACGGCCATCAGGGAATTGAGGAGGAGAAAGGGGAGCACCTCGTCCGAATTAGCAGGCGGCGTTGCGGCGTCGTAGCTGCGCCGGTAGAACTCGCCCACCTCGGGATCACCCACCTTCAGCACTTGCTCTCCGAAGAAACTCGCTACTGGGATCTCCATCTTCGATGAGTTTTTGTTCGTGAATTCTTCGTTCAGCCAGTGATCCGGTGGGTTGATGGTCAACAACAGACGCACGGGAATCGTCCTCCTTGCACAAGGCACCCTTAAACCAAATGTGGGCAGGGGTTTATCAAAATGACTGGCAAGAAAGCTAGCTTTTATGTTTTTTTGGCGTACTCTATTAACTTGAATTATCTTGAATCTAATTCAAACTTAGAATTGTTTCATGAACGTATGTGTATCATCTTATGTCGTATTTCAGCAACATGCTTCAGTCTTAAATCTATGAGGAGAAAGTTTGTTGTTTGAAAGATAATGATTTTTTCGGCAATGCAGGCAGATTATACAGGTTTTCACCCATAAATTATGGAAAAAAAATTTAATTTGCACCGCAGGAAGTCGGCACGAGGGCGGTTTGATAATTAAAATCTGGTAGTGACTCCCACTCCGCGTTCCACTTATTTAATGGTCAGGTTTAAAGTTCTATTTTACTGACTAGACTGACTGTGCTGTAAGAGAAAGGTTTTAAACAAACTTCATTGAATAAGCCAAGGAGAGGAGGGGAGAAGGAAGGTGGGAGTGACTGCGTCGGAAATACGTCTGCTGTGGTTGCGGTGGAAATTCAGTGTTGAGGTGAGTCGTGCCCCGCACGCGATAGCCTTACTAGTACCACCAGTAGGTTGACTTTAATATTTAAAAGACAATGTGTGCTCTGCATTGTGGTTAAATGACACTAAAGGTCTTCCAGGGCGCTCCATTTAAAGTGCACGATGACAATGAAGTAAACATGGCAGCCCACTTGTTTATGCGCCTAGGGAGCGACTTAAATGAGGAGATTTGAAACCTCTACAGCAAGACACAAAAAATAACTGATGAATGTATATTAGTCATTCTACAGATAAAATTGGGAAAACAGACTGCCCGGCGCTGTTCAGATTAAAAAACACCTTTATTAGCATTCCCATCAGTGAAGAAGCAATGAGGAAGCAGTTTGCCGACTGTCCAATATAAAAAAGGTGTGAGACGCTCACTGCAAATTTGAAGTTTCTTTCTTTCTTAGGACATGCGAAATGCCGGCTACCACAAAGTGACCAGCACAAGCAAGGTGACTGTAACTTTGACCTGATTTTCTCCGAAAAGAGCAGCAGCATTGCCTTACTCTTCCGCACTGCAAAGTTAGCCTATGTGTCGTTACAGGTCCACTACCTGCCCAATAAGGCGATAATATCCATAACTTAAACTGGAGGCATTGCAAGAGAACAGAATACAAACTTTAATGTGAAGCAATTTTGACAACGCAGAGCACCAAGTCATAATGATTTCTGCAATTTCTCACACATAAATGACGTTTGTAGCGTAAATTGAGTCCCATACCCCGCCATGTGCGTGAAACAACCCAAAAGTGCTTGCAGAAATAATGCATTTATTAGTCCAGAGAGCCTAGAAATTTCGCGTTTTTTTATCAGTCTGGCACACTACAGGGACTTTTAGTAACTTGAAGGAACTTATGCATTTCAGCTGACTGCATCTATGCATGGATTATAAAGCACAGACATGCGTCAGTTTCGTACTGCCTTCCTGCATCAAAATGCTAAGAATGACCTATTCCTATTCTTACAAGAGAATGCAACAACTCATAAAACAAGACAGACGTGAGAATTGCTCTTTAGGGTGAGGAGGTATCGCCTCATCCTTTGGATTGCCTCAATGACACTTCTCTAGACGATGAGTTTTTACCGTTTCTAGCATTTGACAATCACAAGCGAAACAGACAATTAGGATATAAAGGTGAGATGGAATCGGAGGTGGCTAGGAATAAGTTTTACCAGCTTCTAGAAGCTATTTTATAATAGTAAAATTTTCAGATAGCTTGTGTCACCTTAAGAAAGGACAGTACATTGTAAAGGGAATCACTTAACGAATAGAAAAAAATCCCAAAATGCATTCTTTAGTTTTATTTCCAATGAGACCTGAACAAGGGGATACAAATGTGACCTATGTAAAATGATTTAATGGAGTAGGCAATATGGAAATCTTCGCGTTCACAGAACTTGAGAATTTGTCACTTCTACTCTCCTTCAATCGAAACAAGCAGAGTCCAATTTTCAAAGCAACCGGAGTTCACACTAAGCCTTCCGCCTTCCTTGATAGATCCAATGACAAGAGGTAGCAGCGTGTCAAAATTGAATCCCTAATAAGCGAAATCACTGTCAGGAATCACGCAGAGCACAGGGCGTGGACAATCAGATGATGTTTTGACAATGCATCAGTTCACAATCGCAGTGGATGTATTGGAACCGGATTGGGACACATTACATGATGATCTGTGGGATGGCAGGAGGGATTATGCATTTAGAGACATCCCGATAATTACATGATTTGGAGCAATCTTCCACTTTTAACGCACCACAGTACCGTCAAGCAATGCAATATCTTCAGCGTATTGAAGAGTAAACGAAACAGATTGCAGTTGCAAAAAAACGGGACTGCAGCCTACAGAAAGGTACGATAGAAATAAGGGTTTTCGATAGAAAAGTGTGAATTGAAACAAAAAAGGACAGCAAATTTCGATCTAATCAACAGAAAGTAGTTTTTTTCATAGGACAATCAGAGGATATGACTACAAATGAGATTAATCGGAAAGAGACCATGCTAGAAGAGCATCATTTGAAGAAATCCTTCTCTATGATTGAGAACTTAAAGTGGATTTAAAAGAGTACAACAAACTGAACCGACTTTGCACCACGACCGAAAACTTAGCTTGGACGGCACTGATGAGCTGAAGTAGGTTGTGGAATTGGGGGACCCTATTTCCAGTGCAAGATAGTTCCGTGCACATTCCTTTCTCTCGGTCCTGCAAAGCTAGCGATTGGCGGGAAAAAAGGACTGGCAAGTCAATATGAGGCGCGATTCCGCCTCATGATTCATCACGTCTGAGTCTTCTCAGTGTGGCAGCAGCTATTGTGCAAATCAAAAAAGTGTATTCTTTAAACTGTAACAACAAATTTAGAAAATTCTTATAAGCTAAGTTAAATCCAGAAAATGGGGACAAAGTACTGAGCGGCTTGTTTTAAACCAACTATATTAGGTTTATTATTACAGGAAGAAATGTCAACGCGGATGAGTTGTAGGCAAGTAGTTGCATCTAAGGTAGAGCACCATGGTCGCCACTGCAGTAGCGGGCTCTCTGAGACCACGAGTTTGACCCGAAGGTATTAAACAAGACCATTGTGGGCAATGTCTCTTGGAAATAGGCGCTCTATACTAATGTCAGCAACCGGTCTAGATTACCGACATTTGTAACAACTGCTTTGGACGACATCAACAATGCGTTCAAATGCAATGGCACAACAAAACTCCCTTCTTGTTGGTCCTTCCAATCATAGCAAAGCTGGAAACTCGAGCGATTATTAAGTGGTGCAATAGGGGCAAGACTCAAACAGCCCTAGATGAGAAGGGAGGAGAGGAAGGAGTTGACTTACGGGTCGAGGTGAGTGAAGGTGGCGAGGACCTTCATATTCATGCAGTGCACTCGGGGGGCCCAGTACCCGGGCAGGATCTGCGTGTCTCTTGTGCACACCTCTAGTGAGTCCAGCCTTTCTCCAATGTGACTCGATCCATCCTCGCGCAGCACGAAGATCTCCAACCTGCTCAAAGGCAAGGGATAACAGAAAACACTTTAGAGATTTGTCTTTGTGGTCTCTGCTAGGAACTAGAGTTGCTATTTGTTATGTGCAACTTATGGTGTCAGTCGACTATCCATTCACTAACTGTAGGTTTGCGATTGCCTTTTTTCTGTCTATACTTCCTTCAGCACATTCTTTATCTCTAAAGCATCAGCATTGGCTAACTCCGTTTTCTGTATCACTTACATTATTTACTGCAAACCACGATTGCTATCTATAAGGTTGCAACTGAAAGGAGAACGTGAGTTGCATGATAGCCGTAGTTCAAATTTTGGCTGCCTGTTGATTCACATTCCCTATTTGACGGGCTTAGTGCAACGTGATGTATACTAAACCGATTGAAAATATGCCGCAATGATTGTAAAAAATCTAATTTCAGATGGGCTACAAAGCCTGCATGGAAGAAGAGCGTTACTGACGCACTTAATGACAGGCCGAGCCCGAAAGACAGCAATTTTATCAGAATTGGGAGCTCCCACAGCCAAATCGGGATAGCCGTTGTTGTCCAAGTCCAGCCCACCCGAGCTGAGGGAAAAGCCGAATCCTTCCATGGAGTCTGTCAGCTCTGTGGCATTGAGAATCTAAAGTGGTAATAATAATATTTCTATGATCTTGCTATTCTGACTGTTAGCTCATTCCCGTCCCACTACTTTTGACGGTCTACTGTCCAGCACCCTCAAAGAATACAAGGTAGAAATATTTGGCAAGTCAAAGCACAGCAGAGAAAGCGGTTTAGGGGCTCAAAAAGCGTCACTACGTTGTGTTATCCAGTGAAATTTTTGTTGTCAGGGTCACTCCTGTGGCTTTAACGATGGCGTGGTGTCTGGCCAAGGTAATTAAAACGGTAACACATGACGCATTTATGAGTTTTGCATCGAAAGCACTCCACAACTTCGCAAGAGGTTCAATTAATACCTGTGACCTCAACTTGACGATTAATGGGGCGCCATCTTAATGGCTAAATACAGTGGTTTCCCCCTCCTTGCTGCAATGCAGCCGAATCGGCAACTTATTAATACCATCAGGAAACTAAGAACAACTTCAACAAAAACCCTGTTTCTTGTCCTCTTTTTAACAGTGAGGTGTAAGATTTCTCTATTCGCTAATTATTAGGATTATTTAATCCATACACTGATCGTGGAGGCACGATCGACGTGGAGGGGACTGCAGAAATCCAACATTGTGGTAAGGCGACTTTGAGGAAAAATCCGTATTTTGACATCTACAACGCCAAATTGACGAAGCACTCATAAAGATAGGGAAGTTTGTTGTTGCATGCATTACCGATGTTATGGAAGAAAACTAGTGGGTGTACAGGCGGTGAAGTCATGCGTAAAACAGAAACTTTAAAGATAGTTAACGTCTTACGTCGGTAATGTATTGCTCGCCGTTCAGCTTGTCAGTTTCAATTTTCCTGTTAAACAGAGCGAAAAGAGAGTGGGATCGCTACTACTGTAGGTAGAGTAGGTACCAATTCAATGGATGCCAAAATGGCTTGTTTGAGAATGCAGAGGCAATTTTTCCCGGTAGTTTGTACACTCCAGTGGATGAATGCGGATAGACCTCGCACATTGAGATCCGCCATTGGTAGTCATAGGGCTGATGTGACAAATAATATTAATTGGCAAGCAGAGAGGCTTTCACGTTATTGCATGATAGATTTGACGATACTCAAATGTAACCACCAAATCTTCTTATGAAGAAGAAGTCGTTTCATGGAGATATTCAACTTTGCTGGTAGTTGTTGATCATTTAAAATTTCAAAGGAAACTTGGAAATTGGGAATAATTCCATCCCACACAGAGGTTAGCATTAATTCTTATGCTTAAGCTACACAGACGCTGTTGCTGTTATTCGATCTTCTGGCATTGGCAGCGGAACCATATAGTCGGAAGCAGTATTTCACAGGAGCTGCGAATGATGTATGACATTATAAAAAGTAAAAAAAATATTAGTGCCTTCAATTAGGGAACGGAGGGGAAGACGTGTACTTTGGACACATATCGAGGTGATTGCATTGGACAGGCGTGTTCAATTATGGCCGGGCAGCAAAAGCACGTCTAATGGATGGGGTCATGCGCTGCGGGTTGCTTCAAGGTTAGGTTAAATTATCCGTAAGATCTTGTTATTTAATGATCAAGTACTTCTACGATGTTACGGTAGTCAAAATAATTGCCCATCAATTGGGAAACCGGTCAAAGTTTCATCGCAATTTGCGCTTGAAGTACTTTTGGAGGAAGCGGAATTGAACCGCAACACTTACCACATCTGTGGCAGCAGCACTTGCCTCCGAATGCAGACTTAATGGGAACAATTCCGTAATAAATTAATTGTGAAAATATTTGAATTGGCTTAAAAAATATCATATGTTGACATTGCCAGCTGAGAAGTATTTCCTCTCTGACCTTTATTTTGTGGATTTTCATCAAGTTAGAATATTCGTGTTAAATATCTCAATCGATGAAATTGCAGTGGTGAGAGTCACCCTACAACCAAATCGCAAAAAACGATCTTTTACATCCATTTTACTCTGGAAATTTGAAGGGCAGACTTCAGTGCACCATATTCACTGTTTAGTCGAGGGTACACGTCATAGACATGGTACTTTATTTGGCAGGAAAAGGACTGCAGATCAGGGCTAACCAAGATGGCATCAGCGTCTGGCGAAGCATAAGGTCCACTCAAGTATGATTTATCGCCCATATAAAATTGGGTGTGATGGTTGAGGTGAGTAACTAGTTGTGTAAAAACGAGCCATTTACTCCATCTTTGACAATCAATATAACAGGTAAAAACCACATCAAACTACATACAGAATTCGCTGTCTTTCACACACAGCTGTTGAAATGATTTCTTCAATAATCTCTGTTTATTTTGAATGTCAAAATCCTAAATTTCCCTACACAAACACTACGACGAAATAAATTCCAGTTAAGATGTAAATTGGCCAAAATTGCCGAAATCCGAAAGTGAATGCAGCAGTCAGTCCACGATTCGGTACATTCGAGTTTCAAGTCACCGTGCGCACCCTCGCATTTGGCAGCGAGTGGCCTGCAATCGGCGCACAGCCCCAGTCAGCCCTCCCTCTCCCGTTGCCGCCGGTGATCCTGGAGGGGGCTGTATTCTGAACAGGCAGTGGAGACCCTTATCCTCATACTTGGTTGACGAGATTGTTTTAATCCTTGAACTTTTTTAGTTGAAAAGGCAGTGAAGCCAGGTTTTACATAGGTACATAGCATACGCGCAGATTAAACTCCTTTAGATTAAGGACTATCTGCTCAACAATTTGGCTTTCATCATCCAAAAGCAGGAGTAATTGGTAGTATATTAAAAGAAATGATTACGTTACTCCCACAGAAGGCAAAACTCGCTAAACCCAGTCGTCAATTACACCTACAGCCCAGTAGAGCGAGATTTAACTAATAGAGTGGGTTAAAAGACGTCCTGAAAATGAGAAAGCAAGTTAAGCAGCAATAAGTCGAGACCCACCTGTGTTGGGGCGCCGATCCGCCTGGATTTGGAGCCGTGGTAAATAAGAACGGCGCCGCCGCCTTCGTCATAAGGAGCTCCAACTGCGAAATCTGTAAGGCAAATTAGGCGAAAACTATTCTAATTGTTTTTTTTGAAAAGATGTTGTACCTTTACAATTTGACGATCAGTTGAACAAATCACAGTTACCTAGTTGGGCCTTTTCAAGAGACAAGAAAAAAAGGATACGTCTACTCAGACAGTAAGTCATGCAAACCTATCCCCTGGCGCTGTGACTCCTACGTAAAAACGCAGGAGTTCGAGGGATGCATGATGGTCCACAGAAGGTCAGGCTACTTTGTCCTGTGGTGAGGACAGCTGTTATTTGTGTTTCGCTCTCCTCACTTTTTTGCACTTGACCACTCTTTTCTACGAAATCGACGTAGCGTGCCACGGAGCTCCAATTTATAGCTTACTTGCCTGCCCCCGTATGCAAGGATACAAGAAATAAAGTGCGCTTGATAAACGAAAGACAAGAATTACTAATGGGAAACCAAAACCTAACTTTTAAACGGTCAACAGGAAGGTGAAAGAGAAGAAGAATGTAGTGCTGCGTCAGGGAAAGACAGACCGTATGGATTATAAATAGCACAGTAGATTGTTCACCGGCTTGTAGACTTTCTCCATTCTCGTTCTCGACACGTTTACCACGCGTCCAACATTATGGTAGAGGCATACTAAACAGGGGGACTGGCTGAGTTGTCTGCCGAATACAGTCACACTTGCTATCAGAAATGCGGAGGCATTTGAGTTGCTACTGCAGCTATTCTGCCCAATACCCACTACTTCTGGTTAAATACTCGGTTTCCAGTTTCCTTTCCTTGGCGGGAAAAGGAACCTTTGGTAAACTGCCAATAAATAGGTAATGGCATCTGGCGGAACCGAACCATCATAGAAGTCACCCAAACGAGCATTGGTAAACAAATCAAAATCAAGGTAAAATATCCTTCTGGTCAAATTTTCACCGAAAAGGCTTATCCATGTCTGATTACCTCCCAGAGTATGTGGGTCTTGCGGTATACTACATGATTATTTAAAAAATGAACTAAAGACTTATATGCTGCATGTCCCTCATACATTAAATAATATTTTCTAGACCCCGGAGGTTGGAATGTGGGATGGTATGGCACAATTTAGGTTAATAACACGAAGCATGACAGCTGTACCCTTTCAGTCAGCACAATACGTGCACGTAGTCATAGATACCTATCTTTTGGTCTCCCATTACAGCAATCCTATGCCGCAGCAGCGTGGGGCACGGGGCTCAGTTTCATCTTCTTCAGCGAGCCTCCTGGCATCGACTACAATGTACACTTATTAAATGTCACCACAGAAAGAGCAAGTGTAAAGGTATGTCATTTACTTCGATTTGGCGCTAGAATTTAACGAACATTGAAATTGTAGCCATTTAATTTGGATTCTATTGGACGAGTATAAAAGTAAACACATGCACAGCAAATTTGATTTATGTCTGACGGGTACAATTGAGGCGAGGCAAGCGTGATGCTTTTTAGTTTTTAAAAACAACAACGAATGTGGATTTTTTGTAAACATAAAGTAATGATTCCACTATTCTAATCTTTGAGGTATATTTAATCTAGTTATAATCTCGGACCTGCCAGCAGTCCCACTTTTTCTGCTTAAGACATTTGTGTTTGACTGGGAGAAGCTGCCGAATGCGGGTGATTTTGGTCGTCTACTGCTGCACACACAATTCTTAAGCCTTTAAAAAGGGATGAGCTTCCGCAAAGAACGTGTTCTCCTTGTGTGCGTATGTGGGCTACCCGAGGTAAAAGTCATTTTTGTACATACCGACACACTGAGCATGACCTGGTACAACTTCTTGAGACCGCAGCGCGCCGCAAGCAGGGTCATCAGTGAAGTAGAATGGACATCACCTAGGCCACTCAACATAGGCGATCAGATCAAAATATTACTGATTATGTGATAGTGAGAGGAAAATGTCATGATAAATTAGTATGCTAGGAGAACGAGACCACGTTTAAATGATGCTCCTCACCCCCCTCAACCTCCAGAGACACACGAAAGGGGATGTGGGAGAGCGACACCTGCGGGGCGGATGTGAGCCGCTGTCTTGGCCAAAGGAGGTGCGCACACACGCACACACATGCGGGGGTAGGCTGATGCCCCGCAGCTCGATGCGTCATCCGTGGTGGCGGAGGCACCGAGAGCGCACGCGTGTTGGTCGTGCGTCTTCTCACCCTTCTACTGATTTCAATGCCGCTGTTGCTGCTGGCACTTCCTCTCTTCTTCATCGGAACCTGCATTTTGGTGGGTGTGTGGATCACACTACAGGCACACCACACAATCTACATGATAAGATTTGTTAGAAATCGTTGTGGTGCCTTATCATCAACGCAAGACCAATTGCCACGGCTGCGGACACACATATCCCTGTTCTTTAATAAGCAAGGTTATCTACTCCCAAAAGAGAGAATTTCGTATGCGTTGTTAACTATTTTGGAATCTGTTCTGAGGAAGTGGAAAAGAAACACGTTTTCCAGCATGATCGTGAGGAAAAGGTCAAGTAAATTGTGTAGCAGCGCAGAGTAACTTAAATTGCAGTTTGCGTAAAACGGTATTTCAACGCCACGAATTAATTGAGACTTCTCATCCAAAACATTCATAACTTATTTTGGTAACCAAAACTCCGCTTTGTGGACAAAGGTCAGTATGCCTTCCTCATCAGTGAGACGTAAATCTCAGGTTGGTATTTAATACGCGTGCTCTTAAAACCAATGGAGACAATTCTATATGACGATATAACCTGTCAAGTAGCAACATTGGATGGGTCATGGTCAACGGCCACCATGGAAGAAAGCTTGGCAATAAGAATTTGAAGTTTGGACGTATGGGTCTGAGAGTGCCAACACTCTATGGACATTCAATAGCAGCATCAAAAGACGCGCGTAAGTGAACAAGTGCCATGGCCACAGTTTAGGTGCCGGTATGTCTAACCGCACAACTGCAGCCCACCTATCTGATCACGGCGTGGCAGAATGAGGTGACGTCCATCACGAAATAATCGCTCGATCATCTGACAAATAAATTTTATAAATTAATGGGATTATGACCATGAACTAGAAAAGTGCTATGCATCACTTAAATTAGCAATATACGTACTAGAAGTAAACAAGTGATGTCACTCTAAGGCATCCACTAGAATGGTGGAAATTATCTTTTCCATTTCACTTACTCTGTTCAGGCAATTTTCTTTCAACGCATCACAGGTGAGTACCACAGTTGCTTCTATTTTTAGCAAATCACCAAAGCATATTAAGACTGATCCCTTTTAATAACAAATAAGCTGGTAAACATCGTTCGAAGGACTCACCCTCCAGTCAAGAGGTCATGCAAAAGTAAAAGTATTTGAATCTCTAATGAGGTTGCCCAACTTCTTTTTGACGCCTTTTTTCTTTTATTCAAACCACCAATTTAAAGCGGGGCTGATGACTTATTACATTAAAATTCTAACGCAGTATTTTCCTGGGAAAAGATAGCTTGTTATTATGGGCATATATGTGAGTTACGGTATAAAAGGCATAAATTGTAACGAAAGCCAATATTACTTTAAGCGCAAAAAAATGTACTAATTGCATTGGATCTTCAACGCCAAACGCTTTTCATATCAATAGCGCTACTGCTTATGCTAATTTTCACTTATATTCCCCAATAAAATCATTAAGCAAAGTCTACTGTATGTTTTTATCAGTCGAAAAATAGGAGTAATTTACATGTCTTGAAAAGAGCACGGAATATGTCCAATTCAAATGGAGTATTATTAAAAACCATTGCAAAGAATCCTAGCCCACTGAAAAACAAATAACGTCCCTAGCAGGAGTAAGAAAGAGAAGCCTACCATCAATTCCGTCGTGGTCAATGTCGCCAAGACTGGTGATAGAGCTACCAAAACCGCTCTTGAAGGAGAGACTCGGAGGTGGCCAAATAACCTGCACACTGGTGGAGTCGAAGGCGGTGGTGCTAGGCAGGTGGCGTCGTTGGTTCCAGAAGACGTAGATGCACCCAAAGACCGGAGCACTATGTACGCTGTGCAAGTCGAGGTCCCGCTGGAGTGCCACACTTGTACCCGGTAACTGTTCAAACGGCGCCCCAACCACAAGGTCATCCCACCTACCCGAAATATAAGAGCCACATGTTACGATGCAGCCAATGTACTACGTACTAGAGTGTCACAATACGAGTCAATATAAGATAATTTTGCATCAACGCACCCGTCGCAATCCAAATCAATCAAAGCCACGGCATGACCAAATCGAGAACCAAATCGGTTGCCATGGAGAACTTTGACTTGTGGAATAACAATCTGGTTCGGACCCTTTTCAATTACATTCAGCACGACAAAGCCGGATCCTTCTCTATCCCAAGTTTGGGGTACTCCTGGTGCACCAAACACAGAAACGATTGGTCTCTCCGAGTCTGACGCTGAACTGTAAACTCGGTCTGAAAGCACTGACGAGGAACCTATAATCGATAAAGGAATGGGTAGTATTTTTCAGCACTTAATTTTGTCGAGTTTACAACCTATAAGTTCAAGTAATCGCAGTGGGAATGTCATAACTAAACTCACCCAAGAGACTGTAGTCACCTACATAGGCTATATCCGTTTTTCTCACTGGATTAAATTTCGTAACGTTGTTCACGAGTCCGATTCCTTAAAAAATTATAAAGTTAGACAATTCGTCTTGTGAGCATTAATAATTTATTAAGGTTACTTGCCTTTAGCGAATTGGTAGTAAGGACTGCCAGACACAATTAAGTCGGTGTAAGTGTTATGGAAGTATGCTGATGATGCACCATCCAAGCAGAAACGGAGGTCGATTGAACGAGACGCTTCTGGGATATTAAGGCAGGATGATGCCCCCAAAAACGAAGGATTAATCAAAACATTATCAAACGCAAAACATCCACCAGTGACAAACAAATTTCCTGTCACTTCATACGACAATCGTGGCGAACAGGCCTATGGTCGCAAATAAAGGAAAAATCGAAAATCAGAAAATGAGAAAGATTACACATTGGATTTGTTCCACTATCTTCTAACAACTTAAGGATAAATTATTCAAAAATGACCATGTATTCTATGGCACAAAATGTGCGCGTTGTTGTTAAAAATTTTAAAAATAAAAGTGTAATGAACCATGATCAATTTTAGCACAGAGACAATGTAAAAGATAAATATCCCGTAAAATCAAAGACCTGAGGGACATATCTCGAAAAGGGAACTTGTAAGAAAAAAGAAGGATTAGTATTTTGCTTACAACAGCCAACCGATTTCTTTCTTTTGGTAAAGTTGACAATGAGAACCCAAAAAGTTCATTGCCAAGTTTGGAATAAGAATAATGGGCTGATTTATGAATGTCGAAGTTTACACGACGACACTGATTTGATTTGTAAGGGCACCAGTATATTGAGCCAGAATTGTTATCAAATGGTGCACCAACGATTATTCTAAAATAGATAAGCAAGTAGTTAATTACCCCTCTCCATTATTTTGCATTTTATGGCCGGCGATAGAAAAACCAAATAGTGAGTTCAGCCTTCCACATTTTACTAATGGAAACTTAACTTCAAGGTTAAACCCCGAAGAAGAAGAAAATATCAGAATTGCGCCGAAAAACACCACGGAAACCGACACCATCAAATGAAACTATGATGGCTAAAAGAAGCGGTATTGTCATTCAGTGATTTAAGCTGGCCAAGTTCGGAAATACAAACAATTCAAGGCCATTGAATAAACCCCGAGTTAACTCAAAAAAATCTCAAATTAAAGCAGTATCGTGAAACATCTCGGGGTACTGTACTGTTTTATTATTTTTCTGGGGGACTACAGCGTAGGAAACAGTACCAAAATCTTCGACAATGGAAAAGGCTAATTAAATTTGCTATTAAGGCCAAACAGGGTACTTATGCTACATAAAACTGCTAAGATTTACTCCAATCCTTAATGAATAAGTTTTTGTTATTTTACTCGTGTTTTACTTCAAAACGTATTTCATTTTAAGCATGCTAGGCCAAATATCGACTGTAGTAATTTGATGCTTTGTTCGACCGTGTGTTGACCATGTAGGCGCTTGAATCTCCACAGGCTGTATTTCTGCCTCACATGACGGCCTATAAGTCATGCAACTAGCCTCCTTACTCCTCCATTGGTTGTCAGTAAGTGCTCTACCATGACATATTGGCTTAGTACGACTTGGGGAAGACTCGAGCGCCACGTAGCATAAACCAAGTAGGCCCTAAAAAAACCTTTTTGCAATGCAATTAATCATATTTATGGTTGTCAGATTTTTGAGAGCATTTGCAAAAAATCAAACGTGAAAATGATAATTCAGGTAGTTGTAATTCGATGGTTGTTTATCACTTTGTTTTGGTGAGGAGCCACTTTTGACCTGGTTGTTGTACCACGCCGAGCGGGTTGGTATTCGGGCCAGGCCAGTATCCCACGTACCTTCTCTGTGTCGATTACATATATTCTGCACGAGTATTACGTCTTCTTTCGTCTTCGGGGGAGTCTCGGGACGCTACATAGTGGCATTTGTTGCTGCAATTTAGCCCTGAAACCCTGATGAGACGACAATACAGGACTTTGTCTTATATGAGAGCTGCACTAAAGGAAAGATTATTAATAGGTTCTGCAGTACTTAAGTTGAACGGAACTCTTTAACAACCCTGACTTTTTCACCTGACATCCATAAGAACATTTGCCTAGAAGTGAGGCCAATAAATAATTGACAAAATTTAAAACGTTTTTACACAACTACTACTATGCATCTACGCCTCGTTGCCACTTTGCCCTCACTCTAGTGCCGCCCAGCCGTTTGTCTGGATTCCGCCCAGTTAGCGAGGGCGTAAAAGAGACCATTCCTCCAAGTGATCAAGTATTTTGTTCATGTGATTTTAACAGTGCCACGGAGGACCTAGTTAAGTCATCCAACCCTGGCATTGACTCTAGTTGATGATAGCTCCTCGTAAAATACATCAGCCCTTATTTTTTTGCTAATTTTTAGTGTCACTGCTTATTGTGTAGAGAGGAGCAATTATTCACTGAGACCACTTAAATGCTCCAATTCTTTTAGTATCACTCCATAATTTTGCTCACAAAGTGGTGTGCTAGCCTCTTAACATTCACATTATGTGATTTTTAGTTTCGACCTCTTAAGGTACTTTCTATGTTTTATTTAATTTGGGAACCTACTCACATTTGACCACCAAATGAATGAGGCGCGTTGCGGATTGGCGATTAGGTAATCAGGGACGTCTCTTGGACTACTATTCATGCTTACTAGATGAATTCATCGTTTAGGGATTCCAGTTCTTCGCTACTTCTATGCATGTTGAGTTCGTGTTTTGGATCCTCTAGAGTACTCTATGATCCAACTTGTATTACACTCCGAAGATCAGCTTCGTATCCCTTACTTCGCTGAAAGTATCGTAAGGTCGTATCAATGCGTCATTTATCACTGCCCTTGTACCGCAAAGACTCCTAACTTCTTTACTTGTTTATTCTTCCACATTAGGTTGTTCTTTAGGTTTTCTGACTATGTAGCAGTTGTTCGACTTTAACAAAGTTTAATCGGGGACATCAGAAATAAATTTGACAATTTCACTTGTGAAAAGCTTGTGCAAAATGGGATGTTTGATTTTCTGTCTGCCTCTTGACCTTCGTTTTGTTTACTCAAAAGTCTTTCTTCTCCTTGTACTCAGTTGTCTCTCTTAGAACCAGTGCCTCGTTCTGTTTTATTGCGTGTCAGTGCCAATATGTTATGCATTATTTTATGCTCCCTTTCTTGCACCAACAGGTCTTTTATGAGTTAGTGCACAAATTTTTGGAATAGCAGTACATTAAAGTAATTGGCTTATTCATCACGACTTCATTATATGCTTTTCCGCTTGTTTCTGAATTGACAGTACTCATAGTCTACCTTTTTATGGGTGTGACCGATATTATAGATTTTGTGTGTTCTATAGGACTCGCAACCTCAGTCGCCATGTCTCATGATGAGAAATATATAGAAATTTGTCGAATCAACCACCTCCTGCCGTATGCGGATCAGATGGAGGCCTATGCGGACGCTGCAACGATGAGTCTAAGGGAGTCCTTTAGACGTCTCATCTCCTCCAGTACCTACCTCTGCCACCGCTATAGCTTTGCATATGACATCAAAAAGTATGTCCGACTCAATGTCTTTGGTCCTTCCACCACGATTAGATGGTCGCTAAATTCTATCCTCTGCTAAAATCTAAGTCCAAGCTTTAAGAGTGCAGGAAAAGTAAGAACTAATGCTCTTTTTTAGCTTTATTGAGATGTTTGGATTCCGGTTTACTAAACAGGAGTACATTGCCATCGTTAAGTTCGGGCTTGGCCTAGTGTTTTGTCGGCAAGCCGATACAATGACCCGCGCCGTTTGGGCGGAGTGCGTCGAATTTCTGCTAGCGTAAGTTAAACCTGTATTTATCCACTTGTTTGCATCAGTATTACTTCCCAGACGAAAGAGTTGTATATTTGAAATTGTTTTGAAGTGTAGTTCCCAGCTGAATGCCTTTACTCTCGTGTTTGAACCTCTTTGATGTCTAGCGCATTGGACGAAGTTCTTCTTGGTGATGCCTGCAGTGCATGTGACATGTTTTCGGGTTATTAACCCTCTTTGGCCAGGAAATTTATGCACTAATCTAATCGTATGAGATGACACGAGTCTTTCCTCTTTCCCCCCTGTTCCAAGGCACGTCAATTTGGTTAAAATCACACTCACTGCAATTAGCATTCATTCTTCACACTGAGCCGCCTTTAATTCTTTCCTTACGCCATCCCAAAAACTGCGCACATATCTGATGCTCACAGTTTCGAACAGCGGTCTGTTATTATGTAATTGATAAATTTCTTTTCCCAAAACACATCCCTTGTGATCTTGACCAAGCAGGCACTGCAAATGTCTGCATTTTTACTCAGCGCGTTCTGTAACTGTACTTTTACCGGAGTATAAAGTGTACGGTAAGTAGTTATGCTTGGGTGGGTTTAGATTTGTTAAGCAGTCAATGAAAATTTGGTCGCTCAAACGAATTAACAAGGTGATGAGCAATACGCATGTGGCAACAAGCAGTGTCATCTTTATCTCTTAAAGACTCGGCTTTTACACTCATATTTTGGTGAAGACTGTTGGAGAAAGCTGGATTGCACCTCATTGGTTCTTAAGGTGTTAATAGCCTCCACTTGCTTTGGGAAGATCAAGCCCTACCTCCTGAGATATGGCTCGTCAGTAGCTATTTGCTTTTCAAAGACTCCGGAGTCGGAGTGTGAGGGATTAAATCATCCTTTTTGAAGAAAAAGTCATACACATCAAATTATAGCTGAGCACATAGACATCTGACTTGGATGCTTATAAGCTGGCGTTCGAAACCCTTTTTTAGTAAAATGAGTATAAATGCTTTTAGCAATGCTGGCGTCTATATCGCAAGGGATGAGTTGCAGCTTGATTGGAAGCTCTTCAGAAACGCAGCTATCAATATTGAAATGAATAATGACGTGCGTCAGTGTAAACTAGATTTGGAGTAAGTTGGTTATTTTATCTAACGTTTGCTTTTTGTGAATTTAGCCAGCTCTAACAGCCAACGGCTAGCTATCCAATGTCTTCAAGTGAATCATTTTCCATCCTCTTTCTTTTAGGAATAGTGAGGTAATAGTGAAAATTCTCCGCCACGCGAAGAGGTGGGCCTTTTTTGTGCTTGATGCATGGATTCCTCCACGTTGTAGTCCGCTTTCAGGTCGCCAAAATCATTACTATCTCATTAGAATATATTGTGACACCACGTTTATCCACTCATAACTTTGCCCACTAAGTTACCACTCCTTATTTTCTAACATCCATTTTAATAGTGTATTCATAGACTAGTGAAATATTCATTACCCATTTTAGAGAAGAATTGAGTGCACAGATGAGGTGTTTTATTGTCCCAAAATGGCGCCAATTTTCACCAATTCTTTGGTCGATTGAACTGCAATTCAAAAACTAAAAACCGCAATTATCTTTAAACCAAGAACTTCCCTTACCTACTTTACTTACTTTACTGATAATAAACATAAGGCATGTACGTGACACTGGCGGCGTGCATGTTGAATCGTGCGCACAAATTCTTCATTAACGTGTTTACTAGACACTTGTTTTGGCTTCTCTATTTACAGGTTTTTTCCAGTATCATGCATCGAAGAGATTTGGAATTACTTCAAGGGTTGTATATATCACGTCCTGCCTCATGGTCCATACAAAGGAATGTTCGAAAATTTTTCAATGTTTATGCCCTTTTATTCCTGGACCTTCGATGAAATAAGGTAGAAAAAGTGCCGTTTGGGATGTTTACTTCCAATTAGGAGAGTATTTAAATGGTGCTACGGGGACTTGGTGTAATGTCCCCTTGTCCCAGGGGCTTTCTTTTTTCCGAAATTCAACTAGGTACTCTTCATTATGGTCTTATGCTAGCAAATATTTAACTAATGTGATTTCTTCATAGCACAACATTAATAATATCAAGTCGGCGTGTTATGCCAACTACGGAATTAAACCCTTAAAAATCACAACGGTTGCTTTTATGCATCAGCAAATACTTCTCGAGAAGCAGTTCAATTTGTTTACGTCCTCGTTAAGTTCATGACTGAAATCTGCCAGCTGGTTTTGTTTTACAATTCGTCGAGAACTTTTGTGTTTTTTAGTCGTGTGTGGCTTGACGATATTTTCTACATTTGGTACAAATATCCCAAGGTGGAAATTAGCAAGGTACCCACCACTTCTTTATTCCAGTTCTATAACTGAAAATCCAAATTTATAATCAAGTGATGGAGCATAAGAGAGTGCTCTAATGCGTTTGCGTTTTTCCTCAATTAATTTACTTTACTCATGATTTTTCGCCACTTAAATACTACTTACAAGCTTCCACGACCTCGTTTGCTTGTAAACATCTTGCACCATTATAACTAATTGACTCTTTTCATTGACACTGTGTTTACGCGTTTAGGAGGTAATCTCGCTCCTCAGGTATTTGGCTTTGGCATTCCCGGGAAGGATTGATTGGGAGCCGCATTTGGACCGAATCTTCAATTTTCTTATGCTAAACCTCTCCCCCGAGAACGTCCTCGGCGATCGTGGCCGGTACGTCATGTCGCATATCGCCGACATCCTTGTCTTTTCCATTGGGCCAGGATCGAGCACCATCGATAGGCTACGTGATCTTTTCGAAGTAGGTCTTACATTACCTTCTTTACTTTTCCGCGCACAATATAGTGGAAATGACACTCGAATTTTAGAAAAGAAATTTGTTATTCGTAATATTAATAGTAGCCCCTTCCCTACTCGCTTCACCATTCGAGCATATGAGGAACCATTTATCCAAGGCGGACCCAATCTTATTGAGAGGCAAAGCGGTACATGTGTCAAACACATGTAAAGTTGTATGCTACCTTATTTTAGGTGTTGTTTTCAATTCAGGTCTGCAAGTGTATCTATCACCCCTCGACAAGGCACAGTTCCACGCCTACCTTCCTCTTCTTTTGCGCCCATCTCCTCATTGTTCTGAGAACGCGACTTCAATGGGAGCTGAATGCCTGTCCCGAAATCGCTACCATTTATGGGGAACCTACTAACTGGGTAGGTTTCTCTATTCCTGTTATTATCCATAACTGGATTTGGCAAAAAATGTATCCTTGTTTGGCTTTGGTCATTTCCACCACTCTTATCGCGCTCTCATTACAATGGTCGTTTAGTTCTCTCATATGATTTGTTCAAGGCATGCAAAAGACATCCATACAATTACCCTCCAGTTGCTTGGGCTCTTCTTGATGCTTCCGGGGTGTAGTATTAGCTAGAGACCCTTAAATGCCTTATTATTCACTATCTCTAGTATCATTCTGATCTTTGAAGTTGTTTCATGGAGACTTGTGTCCTGTGTAAATTGTGAAGGAGGAAACCCTTCCCTTTCATCTTGTTAAAGCAATTAGTCTCTGCCTTTAATGTGATTCCTTCCTCCCAAACTGCTTGCAGGTGAAACTGACACGGGAGCAAGTGGATGACTTGGTGGACATCCTACTACCTATTTGCTTGTACACCAATATTTACACCAGCTTCGCTGACACTGGTCTGGGAGTGGCGCTACTTTCCATCCAAAATCTTGCCGCTCTGCGACCGCGTCTCCTCTTACCGCGTCTCCTGGAGAGCCTAGAGGCGGGCATCCTCTCACCGGAGCTGCCTTTGCGCGTCACGCGACCACTAATGGCTCTCGCCAACGCCGCTGTTTACCTCACTGCTCTTGGCCTCCCTGGAGAACGGTCCGACTTCACAGCTATCGGCTGTCAGCCCACCGACCAACCGCACAACTACACCGCCGAGGTAATTCACCTCATCCACAGACCTTTCACTACCTCCTTCCAATGAGCCATTGTTTGGTGCTTTTGCTCTCCTCACACCTCCCACAGACCCCAAGGATGCAGACCGTCGAATTGAGGAAATACATAAATTCACATCTCTATTCCATGTCATACCCCGAGGGACGAACTCTAGTGGCGCGCATTTTGCGCTGCTGCCTCATCAATCTCGACCCAAACCACCGTGATCGTCTCCACCATAGCATCTTGGCTCTTAACACCCTCTGTGAGCTCTTTTACTTCATATTCACCGTTATTGAGTAAGCACAGCCTGAGCTCTACCACTACTGTCGTTTGTAGTCTTGACAATACCAATGCAAGACTTCTCAGTTGAGGATTCATCAATCCTTTCCATTAGAATGCCGGTAGATGGGAAGGGAAATAAGGATGGGGAACAGAATCTGCGACGCATGATGCAACTGGGCTTCGAGGCCAGCGAAGTGGCGAGGGCAAATGTGGATGTAGAGGATCTTGTTGTGCAGATATACTCGCAGGTGTTACATGTTATGGTGATTGAAAACGAGGCGCCGCACTTTCACGTGGCCGCCAACGAGACGGAGCAGAGAACTGGGTGCATACGGGATCTCTCCCCCTCACTCGCGAGCCTCGGGGTTTCCCTCGCCATCTCCGCCTCACCCGTCCCACGTCTTCGCGTTCGTCTCGTCAAGATCCTTACCGATGCAATTTTTCAAAACCACTGGAACACCGCCAACATCCGCCTTCTCAGCGCCATGCTCTTTTGGCTCATCAGCGGCCGTCGCGGCGTCGCTGTCGACGGAGGTGGGCAGCTTCCCGAGTCCGATATCGCGCTCTTCGCCCTGCGCCAATTCTGGCCGCGCTTTTTCCATCTCTTTGAGGAGCTTGATAATGGTAAACAATACCCCAATCGCAATCCTCAGACATTCCTTGCCACTGCTCACTGATAATATTAGGTTATTTTCTGTCACAGAAAACGGTCTCACACATTTATCGAAAGTGGAACCACGTTTTCTCACTTTGCTCGGTGTTGTGCCGGCCTATTTGTGTGCCCTCGTACCCTCTCATTTGGCTTTGATTCAAACTGATTTCATTAACCCCATAATTGATGTTCTCTCTCGCCTCCTGACTATCTCCATCGGTGCGGATGGCGCATTTCCGCCCTCTACTGAACTCGCGCAGGTCGCCTCTGAGTGCGCCAGTGTGTTAATGTTTCGTCTTGTGACGTTCTCTCTCAACCTTGACAAGGTGGACGTCTTCAACTCAGATGCGCATTGTGCACTCGCCCAATCGGCCTATCTTAATGATCCGCTGTGGACGCCGTACGTTGGGTGGCGCGAAATGATGAGGTCTTCCCACTGGAATTACCCCACACCCGAGTCTTTTGCTGTGGCCGAACACGTCGTTCGTGCATTGTTTCTGCCAACTCTGACCAAGATCTCCGCCGTCACTGAAGAGCTCCGTGCATACATTGCAGATGAAGTGACAGTAGCGGTGGAAGAGAGTGAGGAGAACCTGCCTCGGCTGTCCCGTACCTCGGGTCAATTCTGCACCTCACTGCAGCGGATGTTCCTCATCAGCCTGGCCACCTGGATGAAGAACATTGCTGCAGGAATGTTTGAGGGTCTTAAACCAAGACTTATCACTTACGCCGATGTCGAGTACGTGAAAAAGGTGTGCACTGAGTTGGAGGTAACCCATTCAGACATTTTGAGTGCACCGCTGAGTGGCGCTAGTGACACCTTCAAACTCAACATCCCCTTCTTTGATGTGCCTGCTGCATCGGATGGATCTTGTCTACGAGAACAAATTTTCCGTGTGGGTCTGGAATTCCTGGACGTTTTTGCTAAACTCTCTGCCAAATGTGATACACGCTTTGCAAATTCATCGGGTTAGTACCACCAACCCTTTTATTACTGTTAATATCAAGAAGGCTAGTTTGTTTTCGGCACTACCTTGCGCTGGTGAATGCAGTAGTATCGTTTGGTGACTGCGTCTCATATCAACTGTAAAATCGTTTTTTACTACTTCTGTTTCAGTTCGATCGAGCGGTCAAAGTGTTATTGGCACTCTTTATTGTAAGGAAAGCCTTGAAAGCATTGTCGAAGTCGTTGCCACAGCTTGTGCTAATATTTCTTTGAAATTGTGGGAACCCTTGAGCACTTGCATGTTCTCCCTCCTCGAAGTCAACATTGGTAGTCACAGCGGGGTTTTGTTCGACAAATCCCCCTTACTGCCTGCCAAAGTGCATAAAATCTGTGGAATGCACGGCACTTCGAGGGCGCTGTTGGCGGCCTATGCGGATGGTGAGGCACCCTCATTGCGGTGCGGCGGGGGTGGCTGCTTCGGCATGAGCTACTTACCCCTGGCCTGGCTCCTGTGTGCGCGCAAACAGCATACAAACTTCGTATGCACTGTCCTCCACTCAGCTGCCGTATGGCCAGGCTCCGAAGCCACCGCACTCTTTACACGCTGTCGACTGCCCGCTAATTCGCAGTCCCTGCGTCTTGTCGATATATGTGCTCGTATTGGCCTCACCTCCAACAAGAATGGCGTCTTTAAGCTCGCTATGAAGGTCTTCAAGACAGGTGCCGGCTACTACATACCTGGGGTTGGTACTTCCTTTCATTCTTGGTGTCTACGTCCACTTTTATCCGCCTGGGCTCTTCAGTGAAACCTTCAAACTACATTATTCACCTTTTAGGCAGTGTGCTTGGTTGCACAGCTCACCGTGGATACGCTCAAAAAACTATGTGGTCCTGATTTTCTCAGTAGTGAGAATTCAGTGTATCGGACTCAGAGCTATCGCCGAAAAAGGGCCATTTTCATCCTGCACGAGTTTCTTGAAGATATCCGTTTCGTATGGGAAATTAGCTCCATAAATCCCCGGCTTTGGGCAGAGATCTGGGTGGCATTTGCCAAGTCAGCACTCTTCCCTAGCGTCAGTCCTCGCTCTACCTCTGACTCATCCATACTACCAGGCCTCTCACAGACCCAACTCACAGAGCGTTATAATGATCAGGAAGAAATTTCCCACGTAATTAAGGCATCTTTTAGTTTACTGCAAGGCCACCACTTTCCGCTTTACTTTCCCGTCTCCTTCGAAGTAGAGGCCCATCCGCACAATTCACCTTTGCGGCGTCTTATAGTGGATGCTCTGAGCCTGTTCAAGGTCTTAGGCGGGTCAGAAGCGAACATGGTGAAAGAGACTCCTTTTTTGCTGGTTGATACCATGGCCCTGCGTCGAGAGGCCTACAGATTCCTCACAAATGCGCTCTACACCGAGTGCCTGGAGCACGCAGATACCACGGCCAACTACATGACGGTGGTACACATCCTTTCTTGCTACCCCTTCATGGCCGACGACTCGGACAATGCGGTATGGGAGGCAGCCCTACCGAAGGAGTCGGGGGGCGCCGAGTTCAAGCTCACTGCGCCACCACCACCGCCGCCGCGCACAGCCCTAGTGGGTAAGGTGCTGGACTTTCTCACCTCCCAGCACACTAGTCTCGCCTCAGCTGCAGCCAATTTTATTGCATCCTACCTTCGGCTCTTCCTGCTGCGCTCGCACGCCTTTGAACACATCTTTGTCGATCCGGGTGCCGTGGACCTACCAGTTTCCTGCCACAGCAACGCTCCCGGCCTTATGCTTGAGCCCCGCTTCGAATGCCTCTCCTCCAAGACCAACTTCACGCGTGCTAATCACATCTACAATCTCAGTCAGCCCTTCTTGTGAGTCTGTTTACCAAAAGGGAAGCGTTTTTTATAATTTCTCAAAATCCTGTGAATTGTATCGGATTTGCCCTCGTAGTTCGTGTTTGAACCAGCTTTAAGGACTGTTGAAAACGCATCACGGATGAGGAAGAGGGTGATAGGATATGTAGTTTCGACAATGCTTGAAATTGCAATTGTGAATTCGTGCCATTGCACCCATTCAACGGCCTAAAGGGAATGTTTATTTGCTACAGCCACCGAGCTACACTCAAAAAAATTTTCCCATGGGACCTTAGCTTCTTGTTTTCTCCCTCACAAACAAGGGCAGTTGTGCGAGGGTTCAATCGAGACGGCTATTTACACCTGAGTAATTGGATTTAACGACACCCCTGAAGACGCTACACAGATCTGATAAAGACTTGCTAAACATACTACGTAGGGACCGAATTGGCGTCGAATGATACCACCTTGATTAGAAAGTGGCAAATGTTTTCTCAGACATGAGGTGAAAACACCGATAAAATATTTAACACAGCACCTTTTTTCGCCCTAGCATTAATATCTTCCATCAGTTTTAGTGTTCTTTCACCTCGGTTCATCCTTCAAGTTTTCAAGCATTTGAAGGTTGGAATCTCAAAGGCGTCGCTTTTCACATTAGAGGGGAGAGTATAAATAAATAGATCTTTTTTTAAAATTGCAGTTACTTTGAACCTCCAAAGACGTGGGTGGATCCTCTCTATACTCCAGCCTATCCTACCTTCTCGGGCCCCGACGAGAGCGAGTTGGTGAGGTTCGGTGATGCCGAGGAGTGGCTGAAACCGCGATCAGAGATGGACTGTTCGTCGATGTCGCCGGAGGATGTGGAGGAGTTGCGCTCAGGTCTCATAGCGGTCGCTAATCACGTTGCGAAGCGCGAGTTTTGGTTCCAATTGAGCCGCCAATTCCTCTACTTCCACCGCTGTGACTCCAAAATCGAGGAGAACGTCTGGCTTCTCGTCGCCACGGTGATCGCAGCATTCGGCCCTCGACCCTTCTTGCAACGCCTGGAGGACTTTATCATGGCGCTGATTCAGCCAGCGCTTTCAAAGCAGATGGACGGCGTGACTGAGTTCGTAGGCCCGACACTAGCCACCCACGCTCTTCAGGGGCTGTTGGCAGGCTCTCTCGACTGGCCCCGCGAGGCTCGACTTGCCCTTTTCGCCCGCGTACTGCCCCGCCTTCTGGTGTCCATCGAGGCCGCCTCTCAGCTCGCTTCCACCCAACCCATTCTCGAGGCTCCCCATGGTGTCATATTTATCACTTCCGGCACAACCGCCGTAGGTGTGCGCCTCTTCCCTCTTATATCCACCATAACTCCTCTGCCTTCGTGTCCTATGAACAGTAACCAGCCTACGACTGTACAATTTTAGGTGGATCATTTTCAGCCACGTTTGGGACCACCTCTACACCGAATGACGGAAATAGCGCCAGCGATACGTCAATGAATGATCGTCAAGCATATAGGATACTCTCCGAGACTTGGAACCGTACTGATGCCATGGACGATCACAACATTGATGGTCCAATGATTGCAGAGCAAAATACTGACTGTGCAGGCCCTAAGACTCGTCTTCCCTTCCCTATTATGTTTTTTGTGAAAATCTACGCTGACCGATGCCTCCAACATTTCATTTACCTGTCATATATTTGGCGATTCTTCTGTGAACTTGCATCGGATGTCAATGGAAATAATCAAAACGAATTATTTGCTGTATCCGAGGTAACTACTAGAGCCGTTTGTTTCCCTCGAGTCTCGATCGCTTGATTGCGCTTCATTTGGCACAGTTGTGATTTCATCCTTGGCGTTGCAACTACTAGTAGTGGTCAATGTCATTTACTGGAGCTTCTGTTACATGTTTAGGGTTATGCCTTGAACGGGATGAGCTGTTAATAAGTTACGTACACTGAGTTTTCTCCCACGGTGTTTTTTGGTGGAAAATGGGGTGTTACTATTTTACCACCGCAAAGTAGCAGTTTCTTGTAGTGAGGGCTGCAGGTAGCAAAAACGGTCCCAAAATGGAAGTCAATATTTCCATTTACAGATTGATGATAAGTGTGAAGCTCCAGTGAATCACTGCGGCCACCGCGTTCCTGCTGGGCACGGCGAATGCCCTGTGTGTTTGGGGCGACGCCTGTTTCCGCTTTTGGAACAGCGTCGCGCCTTGATGTACCAAGTATCGCTTCTACTCGTACTGAAATTGGAGTGGGGCGCACTGCACCTGTTGAAGCACGTTCATGCAGCGGGGAGTGACGCATGGGAGACCCTTGCCTGCAGCGTCTCCTTGTGGACCCGCGAAGACGCCAGTATTACTGCCGGTGTCTTTGCCTCTGCAGGTTTTGATGCCACCCTCATGGAAGCACCCCCAACTTTGCGTCTCTACGCCGCCACTCCCAGCACTGATTGCCCGCAGACCTCCGAGCATCTTGTCTCCTCGCTCTTGGAGGCCAAACTGATTGAGCCGCTGGCCGCCTCCGCTGCCGCCGAACTGCTCACTGACGCCGTTGTTGGACCGGAATTCGTCATGAGACGCGTGAGAACCCTGCTGTCTGTGCAAAATATGTGAATTTTCCAACTATTACAATTTTCTCTTTACTCTAGTTTCTGCCATTACTTGTACGAGACTCGTTGACTGTCTTGGTGCTCAAGGGGGTTGTTCCTTCGAAAAAGAGCTTTGCTCTACAAAATGATCTTTTAGCAAATGCTGTTGAAAAACTCACCCCTGTCACACCGGTTCGTTGTTCTGGTTTTCTTCATTGGTTAATTTTTAAAACACTCTAATTTTACAAACCCTTTTCACAGGAGCTGTTGAATTGTTCCTCAAGGATGAAGTGGTTGGTTTCGCAACAGATCAAAGCACGCTTGAGCACCTTGGTCTCGGTTCTTCCGAGAGTCATCAACGGTGCCTTTTCCACAAACCCCGCTCTAGAATCAGTGGGTGCGTCGCGTGACGCCGTCCTGCTTCTTCTAGCTCCCCTCCTTGCAGATGTCGTGTCAAGCAGCAATTTCTTCTGGACCGCGGGCAAGTCAGTGAAGAACGAAGACGGCAAAAACGAGCTCAACAAGTGCATAGCCACCGCGCTCCGGTCCCTCTATGGAAAGGTCTCAATGGGGCACACATGCGCAGAGTTGTCCCTAACTCAGGCCAACCGCATGCTGGACATTGTGGAGGTCTTCTTGCTGCACAGCTCCTGGAAGACTCGCATATACGGCCTGAAGCTGGTGCGACGTCTAGTTGTGTGTAACATCTGCTCCTTCTGGCGACGTGATGCACACGGCAAGGAGCTTCGTGCGCGCTTGAAGAGCCATCTCAATGAGGCTCTCACCGACCCCTGGATTGAGGTGGCTCGCGATGCCTCCGACGCCATCGCCTACATTCTGCAACTCGGTATCTTAAAAGTGAGTCATCGACCAGCGCAGACTTGCACACAACCAAAGATGGGATTGATTTGACTGAAATATCTTGGTTGTAGTATGAGGACCAGTGGTTCCGTCATCTAGTGAAGGAATCACGGGTGGAATTGAGGAGACAGGGCGGCGAAAAAAGCACAAAGGAAGGCCAGAGGGAGCTACGCCGCCGGCACGCAGGCGTGCTGGGCCTCTGTGCCTTTATCAAGGCCCGCGAGCACGACACGCCCCACTACCTGCCTGAGGTGATCACCGAGGTGGCGGAGCACGCTCACGACCCCCAGCCGATTGCCAAGTCGGTCGCTGACACCCTCACAGCCTACTCGCGTTGCCACCACTGGGATCGAACCAATTTCTCCGAAGCGCAACTTGAAGCCTATCTCTCGGTTGCCCCCTCCGTCAGCTACTACGTCTGAGAAGTATCGACATCCCTCCTTTTCTCTCTCCCACACGTCCTTCCTTGTCACTCAGGGTGAGAGGAGGAAGCTTCCACTTAGAAAAATCGCCGCATTTCTTTACCAAACAGTGCTTTGCATGCGCTTTTTTATCGAGATATGTGCGTATCAAACATGCTTTATATACATACACCGGAATCATATACTACGTTTGATTAAATTCCCTTGTTTAAAACATCATGGGAGTTCTCGACTTCCCCTAGTCGTCACTTGCGTGAGAGTACATGGCGGTTCACCCGCACTCGCGGTGATAGAATTACCGATTCGAAACGAGAAACCGGAATGCTTAACCAGTGCCGTAAGCATCTTTGCCTTATTTACGTGCCACGGAAGAATGTTCAAATCTTGCGTTATCAGTCGGCGAATAATACGGGTCATTTGCTGTGTGGAAATAAGTACTCCATTCAGAAACATTAACATTATTCACCGCCTAGAGAGTAAATAATCTTTCTAGATTCCCACAGTTGGACTTTAAGCTTAAGAAATCTTGCTAGTTACAGAAATGAGGAGGTGACGACTAAACCATTGGAATTCGCACAATTGAAGCATTTGTATCCCCTCGCGCCCAGAACATCAAGCGGCATATTCCTTGAACATATCTAATCATGGTCATTGAAACGATACACCCTCGTCAAAATTTACAAATCCAGCGGGTATAAAAGAGCGCTCTATTCTTCCGTATCAAAATAAAGTCGAAGATAGAGGTCGGCGACAAACCACGCCGTTTCAGCCTCCCACTGTGCGGCTCCAAGTCTAAACAAAGATGGAGACCATGATCTACTACAAACCAATCCAAGCCTAAGACAAGTTCAACTCACTTCGCAAGGCGGTTGGAGAGGGTGGAGAGTTGGTTGATCTCAGCCGGCGTGAGGCTGTTCTGTAGAGCCTGTACACTCTCCCTGTGAGATTCGATCTCCTCGTCTACGCCCTCGCCCATCTCCTCTTGTCCCTCCAACCTGGCGATTTCAGCCTGATGCTTGCTGATCATACTCTCCACATAGTAACGTTGATCTATTAAGCGGCTTTGTAGAGATAGAAACGGTCTATGTCAAAGTTCACTTTTAATCAATTAACAGTTCGAATCACTAACTGTCATATGCCTTTATACCAAATCCGTACTGGAAAGACCAGTGCCAAATTCCTATTCGAAAATCAAGAAATACAGGGAGCACAACCTTGTAAAAGTAGATGCAATCTAAAAAGCAAGATGTGGTTTACGCTATATGACCGAATTCAGACTGCTTTGAAAGTACTAAGGTGCCGACTAAACGCTACGTATTGATAGTAGATGGAGAAGACCACAGTTTTGGCATTAGAACACCAACTCCTTGTTTTTTTTTTCGGGAAGCTAGGGGGGACAGTTGAGTGAGCCTATATACCGAAAGGCCGACCTTGTCATGTGGCCTTTCCGATAACTCACCTTTTGGCGTTCAATTCAGCGTCAGAACGGGTGGCCAAGCAGAGGATGCAGTGCTGCGCGTATTCGACCGTTAGTCGCGCCACCATGGAGAGGTTTACACTATAGAGGCAGACCACAGTGTCTGCATTGAAGTCTTTTGCTCGAGAAAATTCCTATGGGTGAATGACGGCAATGTGTATGGTGCTACCAAATCCATTTAGACTAACTTGCATCATCGCAGATGAAATAGGGCTGTTCCATAGAATATAGAATAACTTGTCCTTGTGATCAAAGTCATTAAATTCTTAGCACGTTAAATCCAACCATTTGATATTGGTTTGATAGAACAACATAAACAGTGATAGGAATTCTTCTTGTAGAAATAACGAAGCTTGAACATGCGCGAAGTGGACTGGAGCATGTATTTTAATAGTACGGAAGGTGTACGAGCTAATCGATCCCGTGTATTACCGGCAAATAAGCTAGCGACAAAAAAAGAGCCTAGAAAGAGCATTCAAAAGAGCACAAAGCAAGAAGATGAATGGCACAAGCCCATCGACAGGCAAGCACTTACAGTGGTCGAAACGAATTGACTTGCAACCATTTGTGGAAGAATCTTGCGAAATTCCTTTTGAGGTATCAAAAGACGTCTTTCTAACTGCAACAACGAATAATAAAACATTGGGATTTAGCCAGATTGGTGGTAAGAAGAGGAATGAAACGGGCGTACAGTTTCATAGGGGAGGTAGCCTTCAGTCAGTAGGATACGGAAAATTCGAACACCTGCGTTTTCAAAGCTGCAATAGTAATGTCGAGGTAACGAAATTGTCACCAGGTGATCGCACAGCAGCCAGAAATGGTAAAACTCACAGGACCTGCACGATGTTTTCAATATGACGGACCAGAATGCCCCTAACAACCTTCTTGTAAGCTAATTTGAAAATACTAGTCACGGAAAACTTAACCAAATAAGTAAAGCGGAGCAAAAAAGGACACTGTAACCTTAAAATTTTTGAAAGGATACGACATATGTATATTCCTCCCGCTATTCCGGGTTTTTGTTCTAAAAGAGACATCTAAATAGCAAAACGGGACTCTTAACACTAAAGGTGACTGAAGACTGTATTAAATTTGTTAATCGAAGCTCACTGGATCGTCCAGAAGAAGGGTTAAGTAGGAATTGAGATAATTGGGAGGATCACGGAAGCTCTGAACTACCTGTAGGATGGATTCAAAGTAAGAGACAGTGAAAATGAACGCAGGAGACATAGTGCTAAATGGTAAAAGAAATTAAATCACTGTAAGAAGGGACGAGAAATAAGAACCGGTAAAAAGAACCTGTGAATGATCAACAGCCTCGGAAGAGGGAGACATCACGTGACTGTGCTCTTTGGATGCGAATGCGACGTGCAAAATCCTCGACATTACATCCCCAGCTGTCTGTTTAAAAAAAAGAAATGAAACAAAACAGTCTCATTGGTAATACCATTTAACCATTTGCAGTGATCACGTTAAAATAGCGTCCCTCACCTCATCTATTCTTTCAGCAGCAAGGCGGGAAATTAAGTGATCACGCCAAAGGGCCTCCAATGAATCGGCACAAGGCGCCAAAATAAGATCCCATTCAACTGAGTGTTTCGGAGTCTGCATAAGGCAAACACAGACGCACATAAGTGGTCATATAATTTATTGAAAAATATTTTACCGGCAAGAAACTTACGGGTAGAAAGCGGTGAAAATTCTTGTAAGTGGCACCACTGGCAACAAATTTGCGTAGGTTTTCTATAAAATTATCATTAATTAATATGCAGGTGAATGAGCCTGACATGCAGCGACAGCCAATGGAAAGCAAAATGGACAGAAGTAAAGGAGAATGGATTAGCTTATACTTAAGCAAGCTCGTACATATGAGAAGGAGAAAGGTCCAAATAAGTTAAATGATAAATAGTATTGACTGAAGAAAAACGCACCGAGCAAATCTGATTTTGACAGTGAAAATCGTTCGTACTGAACATGCTCTTCAAGTGGGTGCAAAATCATTGACTTCGTGGAAGCTCTGATGACACCCAAACTAACCAGAGTATCCAAACACTCTACCAACACCTCAGCTTCTTTGTACTTATCACCTTCAACATTTGTTAAACCAAATATATCTTGATACCTTCGGATACACGAAGAAGAGCGGCACGCAACACCTCAGAAGTTTTTGCCATTCCTGATATGAAAATAATCTGAAGTAAATTTTCAGATTCGGGTCCATAAAAGAGAAAGCCGACTTTGCATAATATTGGTATCCTAAAAATGCCATCAAGTCAAATGTTTACCTGGCGAGTCTTGTTATCCCTTGGTAATCCAAATCGTACTTAAGTAAATCCTCCTGGTTTACTTTTATCACACTATGCCGCAAAAGAGCCAAAATGGAAGAGGCAATCTCATGGATAAATGGTCAACAGCTGCTTACACTGATGGGCGATAAGCGACCGGCAAGTATGCGTTCTAGCATCTTGAGTGTCACTGAGCCATGTATCTGAAGACAACGAACGATGGTCATGGCATTGTCCCCAAAATACTTATTTGTCAAGAAAATTGACAAGGCAGCAAATGCATCGGACATGATCGGAAAAAGGCTGATCGGGAGCGGATGATTTAATACCACTAATTTCATTGGTTTAACTAAGAAGCCGGTAAAAATGCGTCTAGGTTTATTGCATTTCGAGCATGATAATGTGTAAAGACCGTTTTAAATTTTACTTATTGTCGTATAGAGTGCAACTGCTTCTGTTGTCACTTACTAATGCTTAAGTGACATTTAAGATCCCTTCTTAAGGAAGAAATGATTACGCTGGGATGATGTCCATGACAATTTGACCGCTAAACTCAAAAGTCACCTATGCTGGCCAAGTGAACTACACAAAATGGACATAATAGGCGAAGTCCCTCAAGAAAGAGATGAATCTAAGTTTGAAAATCTTCTCAAACCTATACGACTAGTGAATTCGTTTCATTTACGTTACACTTCAGAAATATCAATCTGTCATAGACAAGTCAAATCCCTATACCAAAACTAGGTGGTGCATCACTTTTGCATTCCTTGCACTCTATGTTCTTCGAATATACTTCATCCAGGTATTTAAGCTTTGATGTCTCATTTTTAAGGGGTTCCATATCATTAGTTATGCGCTTGCTATATACATATTAAGTTTATTCATACATTCTATTTCACCACAAGTGGATCCAGAATTCGCGGATCTACTCGGTACAGTGGCTCTAATAATTACATTACTGTAGATGAAGCACCAACACTCCCAAGAACGGAGGCAGATGAATTTAGGCCCTTTATACCACGATTATTGGAGGCGAAATTCTGGTAATTTGATCTTTGCGCGACAGAATATGACTCATGTTCTGTTGGACTTTTTATGCTTTTTGTGGATAAATATTGCGCATTTCCCTTGTCTGAAACCTTGTAAAATCGTATGTAGTTGGAATACAGACATCGAGTCTCGCGTTACAATCAAGCAGGGTTCACTACATAGTTTTGTAAATGAATACCTGCCTCCAGGTACTACGCAACGCGAGCCATAATCATAAGTCTTCTGTGCACCTTCTTCTCTTTCCTCGATATTCCGGTCTTCTGGCCCATTCTCGTGGTGTATTTCATCCTCCTTTTCACCGTTATGATGAAGCGACAAATAAAGGTATGCTTATATTTCTACCTTATGTTATTCGCACTCGTCGACCTTTACATTTGGTTCGGTTTCCGTAATTTCTAAAGGATGTCTCCGAAACGTGATGCCGCTGGTCAAAAATACATGGCTGTTTGTATCCCTCTCATTGAGGTACTCCTCACAAATCACAATAGAGGAACCTAGATATAACTGTCACCCCCGTCCACCACAATGAACTGACCACCGCCGTCGTAATTTCCTAGGTGCTCAAATGGCTTTTTTGAATGTTTGGTCGTTAATTTAACTCATCAGAAGTGTTGAGGCTCTTTCAAGTAAAACGCATGACTTACGGTCAGATACTGGCTTTCTCCGAATGTTTGCCTCGCTAATTTGGCGCTCCAAAGACTGGTACTTCGGGACTTGGCTCAATGTTCACATTACGAACTGAATGCTTGCACTTTTCTCGAGTGCTTTTACCAATGATTCTTGCTGTATATTGGTATCGGGATGTACCTTAACCCTGTTTCTTGTTCGCAGGTCGAAGTCTTATATGCTAGTTTGTATTGCCCACTTATTGTACCAAGTAGATTTGATTCCCACTTATTTTTCAGCACATGATCACGCACCGGTATGTGCCGTTCTCCTACGGGAAGCCGCATCCCACAGGAAAGGTTCTCGTCTCTTAAATGGCTACAAGCGAGTTTTGTTGGAAGAAGATTGATTACTTGGCCTGTTTCATTCAATCCCTTTTCAGTGAATGAAGTGTTTTATTATTCCCCCTTCTTAGTAAATACGGTGGGTTCTTGGAATGTCTGCGCTACAGACGCCATACTGTGGCTTTTGGGCATGCTGTGTATTCCAAGAATCCCACTAATTTTCTGAAAAAGTCGTCCTTGGCGTCCGAAAATGAATTCCCGGTGGTAAGGTGGTGCCGCCCGAGCAGATTAGGTCAGATTGCAGAAATCGCCCACAGATATAATTTTTAAGTTTTCATTTATATCACGTTGAGTTCTCAACTTCATGCCTTCTTATCGCTTTGCTGTTGAAGTGAAAGTAGTGTTTGCTTTATTAGCCGTAGATGGCATAATCCGGGGTAAGATCATCGTTCATTATTATTTTTAAGTGGTGCTGATGTTGCGGCTGTTATTTTCTGTTTATTCTCATGACCGCTTGTCTTTAAATTGTATGACCGCGCTCTCAACCAGATATCTGCCAGCGTTTGTTCTCAGACACAGTCTCCTTTTTACCGTGAGAAATTCAGCTATAATACCAGGTGGAGATTTCATGCTTCCACTGCCACAACCTAGACGTTTCGCAAGACAAGGATGTGCTGCCATAATTTTCTCAAAAAATACCGCTCTACTTCAGACTGTTGTGTTTAATTCTGTGTAGATACTGTGGACTAGAAATTTAAAAGTTCACATCAAGTCGTGTCATATTCTAGAGCGAAATTAATTTCAAGATGCGGTGCACCTTTATTATTCACCATCGGAATACAACCTGTTCAGCTTGGTAGTTGTTAATGCCGCCCAGTCATCTAAGAACCAACTTTTGGTTCCCACTGTAGAAGGAAGTGTAGTTAGTCCTCTATGCCGAGCTTCTCAGTTTGATGGAAATGTCCTCCTTCGAGCTAACGTTCTTAGTCTCGTGTGTGCACAGTATGTATCATTTCTCTAATCATTACGTCTCGATTTTTCCAATCACTTATTTCATCACATGGAGCGCTCTTACTAGAGTTGTGTACCTCATGCCCTTCGGAAAGGTTGATTGTGTGAGTGGAGTTTCAAGCGATTGGTTTTTTAATTCCCATTGCTAAAGGTGTAGCAGTTATCGGTATTATGGTGTGAATCTCGTGCTGCCGACACAATTCATGCTCTTACCATCTCAAAGTCGCGCTTGATTCCTTTTTCTGTGCTGCACCAGGAGTGGGTCTCGCGAAAGGCTCTCATGCGTTAGTGATAAAATGGTGATCCAAGAATAGGTCGGAAATTGTGTTTTTGAGGCTGCATCGAAAACACTCAACTTGCACACAAAATCAGGAGCGTTGATTTACGCCACGAGGATCGTTTTTTACAGCGCCTTGCATTTCAAAGCATGTTACCGATCTAGAGCACTAAAACGTTCTTAAAACTAGGCTATTTATCGGTGCTGTTGAGTGTACCGGCCATACAATTGCCTGTAGAGTGGCCACATTCCACTTTCGAGTTTAAGTATTATTAGTCTAGGAGGAGATATTTCTAAATAAAAGGTATATTTATTGACCAAGAGGGAAAATTATACAAAAGAACGGAATTTAGCAACGGTTAGACTTGACAACACAAATGACAGCGCCGTGATTGATGCAGGACTCGTAAAGGGTGGCGTTCTCGGCCAGCGGACATCCCTTATAGACGAGGCTGAATGAGCCTGGACGGAGGCAGAGGCACTTAGAGACGGCTTCCTTCACCATCCTCACCGTCATGGTTTGGGGAAACTCAAACTCGTTCACTTGGTCGCTGGGCGACTTGATGTACACCTTGATGGGCGGCATGCCGGCGCCCGGAGGCAGGCGGTCCACAAGGTTTAGCATGGAGCCTTCCTCGACGCCGTAACCGCAGAGCTGGCGTTCGTCCTCCATGAGCCACGACTCAAACACGAACTCGGGGGCGTTGTACTTGACGGGACAGCAGCACGAAAATTGCTGCTTCACCTCGCACACCGTGTCCTGCGTTGTGACTATCAGAGGGAAGCACTCGTTGCATGGCGTCTTCACGTAAATCTGGATCTTCGGGTGGAAGGTAATAGGCAGTGTGAGGTTTACCGTACAGCAGTTACTAAGGCCATACTCGCTGAGGCAGCGCTCGTTCTCGAGGGTAGTTCCACCAAAAGTAAGTGTCTGCTCCTCTATCGACACGTTCTGGGCTTGCAAAATGGCACATTTTAAATCCTCCACCGTTCCCCGGTCGTCGACATTGACGCTGCAAAAATCTTTACAGTCATAGACCACGTTCAGGAGCATCTCTTAGTTGCGGGCTAGTTAGAAAAGCTGTTTGAAAGCTGAAAATGGGTGTTGAGACGGCCACCTGACAGTCTGTGCCCTCTGTGAAGCCAAATCTGCGATGCTAATTTAAGAGAAAAATCGATAGTCGGTCACGCGTGCCCCATCTGCTCCGCAGCCCCCACGCGCTCCTCATCTCCACTCGGTGACATCCAACTACTAACGTTCTCTGACGAAACGGACTGTTCCTTAACGATTTGCTACAACGCAGCACGGTAGAAGTGAAGTGCTATACTCAAAAATGTTATTTAGATGGCAATAAAAACCGCTAGATTGCTTCTGGTTTAAAGCTTTGTAACGTCCAGTGAGTTATTTTTCAACAATTATCTTAAAATAATCCAACAATAGTTTTTTTATCATTTTAGTGTTGTATAAAATTGAATATTCCATAGTTGGCGGTCAGTAAACTCAATTTATTTCTGTGAAATAAATTTCCTTACTCGCAATTCTCATTAACACAATGCAAAAGTGATCAACGGCTCTATTAAATGCTTTATAGGACTAACAGACCTGTTTGCAAACACTTACATGCTAGACTGAATGGTCAAATCTGTTTGAAAATGGCAGGTACGGTAGGTGAGTTCCGCAGCGCCCTCTATTTGCACCTTGGACGAAGCACCAAAGCCAAACCTGTATGATGAATCTTTATAACTACATCGTAGGCCGTCCACTTACATTCCTTTAATCCACGTTTACACAAACCGACTTTCATCAGCCCCAGCAGACTTGCTCCTTTCCTAATCATCAGTAGACCTGCAACCATAGTTAGCATAGTTTTTCCATAGCTTTGGCTTTAAACTGTTATTTCTCTCACCTACACGGGTTTTCTTAATGCTTTATCCACAGACCCTATCCATCCACTTAAATTTGATTGTTTGAACTTTTCGAAATAGTCTAGCTTTCAAACCTTGGCTGTGTCCACTGTTCGATACTATCTTCCATGCTGGTTGAAGACACCTCCTGAAAATGCCTAATTGCTTGACCAGATTTGTTCTAACATCTCATCAAACTTATTGTGATGTCCTGCGGTCAGCACGAAGCCCTTAACGGACTGGGATCATTTTTGAAATCAGATACCATTTTAAATGGAATATCTGCCATCAGCCTTCATGTGTCATTGCTCTCCAGTCCTATATTTGAGTTTTATGAGGATGGAAAAAAATGAACGTGTTCCAACCCTTGTCTGGCTGTATGGAAAAACCAAACCATCAGAGTTGTGTTGGGAGCCTCCAGGCGTGATTTGCAGATGTTTCGGCCTCACCGTCAATGCGCACATCTGGGATAACAGAAGAGACGGATGCACGCAAGGGCCGCTTTCTATCAAATGTCAAGAGTGCTAGCTATCATCCGATCCGTGGCAGCTGGTAGTGAGTTAAACCTCAAAAGTCTACTGCATAAATCATTTTCAGTTTCAAAGAGGACTGCTTCATTAAGATACGCTCCCTCCGTGACCTTTCCAACACACAGTAAAGAAGGCGATACCAAGATTGCGTCCAGGCTACAAAATTAGTTAAAAGTACCCAATCTCAAAGTTTCGGATTGCACAACTTTGTGGTAAAATGTAATATCTAACTTCACATTTAAAGGCATTTAGAAGGCTCTAGTAACTGATCTTCCGTTTCAAAACGAAATTTATTCTAAACGAGTGAAGTTTCACGACGTTCGAACTGTTTTAGTCACGCTGTCGCCGTACTCACACGCACCCGGTTCATGCTTTTCGGCTGGGCAATGTTTTGTGTCAAGGAAAACCCGAATCCCTTATTGACTCTAGCGCTTCTAAAGGCTTCCTACCATTACTGTTTTGCTTCAACGTCAGTGTTTGTTTTAATTACTGTGTTCGTCAATTCCTCATTTGCGGAGTTGTAGAGTCACGGCTATGTAGTTTTCTTCAAAACCTCGGATAAAGTACACCCATGTGTACGCACACGTTGCTTGACGGTCCCAATTATTTAAAAAATGCGTCCCTTGCAAGCAAACACTGTGTCAGATGCATTTTCCGCCCCCTAATTCATGAAATGATTTAAGCACAATGGCGTGGGTGCTAGCACACGCTCACTTGCTTTCAACACCTGCACACAAACACACGCAAAAGAAAGCAGAAACGCAAGTGCGTATGCACACAGCAAAGTACAGTCGCCTTCAGCAAATCGCCGTGTCTAGCCTCTCACTTTGCGCGCATAGTTAAACCAATCACCTCCGGTCCACCAATTAAGAGATTCGGAGAATTAACGAACCTACACAGCAAATACCGATTATACTGATGTGTCGTTGTAGTTGTACTTTTGAGAATGCTCATCAAAGTCTGTCGCACTGGAAGAGAGCGCCAGACAGTCAGCGTGTCCGATAATGCCACTGTTTTGGCCCTCAAAAAAGTCATCGAGCAGCAGGTAAAGATTCCCATTGCCGAGCAGAACCTCACCTTCAATGGACTAATTCTGGAGGACGACAAACTCCTGTCGGAATATGGATTCTTCGACAATTGCACTGTTGTCCTCTACCTTCGCCTCGGCTTTAAGCCTGACTTCCAGCTGACCATCTTGCTGCCAGCCAGAAAGAAAATACATTTTGATGTGTCTGGCGAGAATACCGTTTCTGAACTGAAGGAACTCATTGAAAAAAAGATTGGACTCAAACTGACCACCGCAGAACTGATCTACGATCATTGGGTGCTTGAAAACGAACGCAAATTGATAGAATACGACATCACTGGTGGCTCCACTATTCTGCTTGTGCACGAATTGCGTGCCGGACCCAGTCTGGAGCTTCGAGATTCCACGCAAGTCAGACATGCCCAAACGATACCTCAGTTCACATCTTCGCGCCGTTTTCATAAAAAAGGCGAGTCAGCTCTTGATATCAGCAGTCTAGAAGAAAATGACGGGGAAGATGAGGAAGAGGATGACCTGAGAAATCTGATAACCGTTATATTCCTGGCCAAGACTGGGTCTCCCATCGCTTTGAGAGTACATCCCAGCACGCCGGTGGGAGAGGTGCGTAGCAAGCTGGCCCGGGTACTGCATGTTCCCACTAATTCTATGTGGTTCGTTCGCGATGGGAAGCCTCTTGACCCTGCCAAAACCTTCTCTCAGTACGGCATTTCGCATGGCGAATCGGTGTGCTTGATGTCAGAGGCCCACATTGTGGAGGGCTCGCGCTTCTGGTACTCTTCGGAGGAGGAGAACATTGAGCCGAAAATTCGCATCATCGTTCAGTCTAAAAGTGGTCAAACTCTTGCCTGCCACGTACGTCAAAGCACGAAAATTGGGTCGCTCAAACGACGCCTGGAAAGGGAGGTCGGTGTGTCCCGAACCAAAATGGGCCTCTTCTATCAGCAGAAATTCCTCAGTGACGAAGCCTTAGTAGGTGACTATGACCTCTCTGATGGCGCTCTCATCTATTTGCGATACTAAGGCTGGCTTAGTTGTTTACAATACCTTGAATTTATTCACTTACTCTTGCCCTCCTTGCCATCCTCCTCTCGTTTCTTTTCGCGCTATTTATTATGGCCACATTACCCATTGTGCCTTGGGGTTGAACTCAATGCTAGATCTACCACAAATGAACTTGTGCCTACACAGTAGCTTTTTTGTTGGTCGTGTTTCCTCAATTTATGTGCAGAAATATTGATACTCTTATAAAATTGCATTTCCTGTTACGATGGGAGTGTTTTTACAACTTCAGTCACGCTTTAAAGTTTACTTGGGAAGCACTCATTGGGATACAATAACTATTTAAGGCGTCTTTTCCTATCATTAAGAGGTACGATTCATGTTTCACCTGTTTCGTGAAGTATTTGTTACAAGTCAGATAACGCAACGGTTCATTCCATCTGCTACTTGATCAGGCATAGCTACTCTTTTGCAACTTCCAGGGGCAGCGCAAAGCTCGATAGGTTTAGTGCGGTGTAAAGTGATTCACTAGTATTCCCAATACACAATTCAGTGTCAATTTCATCATAATCAATTTGATAAAATTGTTACAAATAGTGAATTAAATCATTTCAAGTGGATAGAATGATAGCCATTGCTGATACGCCGCCTCGACGCGTACTGCAGAGCGTTAATTCCTTTTGCATTGACAGCTGGTGATGGACCTTTCAAGATATTTATGTATACACACACGTAGGCAATCACAAACTGCAATAAAAGTGGCTAAAAACTTATCATATCTTTATTTTAAACAATGATTTCCAAGTATAAAACATCTTTGAAATAGGTCACTTTGGGTTAACATTTTGTCTGATTATTTTTAGTCTCAAGTACTTTTGGATTGTGTATTTTACCGGCGTCTCCTCTAAAATGGGCTTAAGGTCTGTTGGACTGATCAGTGAATTGGTTTTATCGACTAGTGCTTCCATAAATGCGATTCCAGTATATTATAAAGTAAAGGACTCGACTATAAATGATTTTGTAAAAGCTGCTTTGCTGCCAAGTTGGCTAAGTACACGTCACTTTGTTTGTGTGGTAGTTAAAAGTGCGTTTCTTAAGGACCTGGTAATCCAATTATTACTAACTGTTGCATTCTCTTCTGGAAATGGGTACCGGGATGGAACCTTCATTGTCTGCCCTCCCATTGTAGATAGCTTTTAGTGATTCGTTCCCACACACTTCCTATTTCTTATTGATCACTGGAGTGAGTATTGGTGAGAGGACCCCTCCTCACGAAAGGGTGTCAGTTCAAACGCCCGTATTTAATTGCGAATTCAGTTTCCCCCTTCTCGCCGACCCAAGCCTTGCAGGCTGCAAAGTGGGCTATTACGCGAGCTCCGGCAGTGGTGAGTCCTGCGGGGCCAAGGATGTTGAAAGTGGTCTCTAGATCAGGGTCTTCGACGGCCCGTGGGTAGCGCAGCTCCTTCATGCCCTCCGCCCTACCGCTCCGCAAGAAGGTGACCAGCGCTCTACGTAGAAACTCCGACGGGTAGCCTGTCCCTTGCCCCCGCTGCTGGTGTCCAATCAGGAAGGCCGGCATGTCGTAAGGCCTACTTACCGTTTTCTCCTCCAGCTTCGTTGGGTCCACCTCGCTCAAAACTCTGTAGACGGGACCTCGTTGAATCATCGACATTCGCATAAGACGACGCAGATAGAGGTCTACCCCGCAAACTTCTCGGAGGTCGGTTATTATCGCGTTGACAATCGGTGAGTAGCGCATCTTTGAGGTGTTGTGCTGGACTGCTTTCAGCATCGGTTCGTATGCCAAGAGAAGTTCCTCGTCATATTTTCGTCGAGTATTAATCGAGCTGAATTCGGAAAAGGTGTTTTTGATCATATTTTTAAACGCCTTGAGTGAGAGCGCCTCTGGTGGCGGTGGGCAGGGGTGATTGAGGGAGGACACCCATACGAGAGGCAGATCCCTCACTGACAGCGCCTTCAATGGTGAGACGACCCTAGAGACGTGGGGGTCAGCGAGAAGGAGGGAGGCTGTCAGCTCCTCCTCTTCTTCTTTGCGTGGCAGCATGGCCATCCGCTCGTCAGCATGGAGCCACACCCCGGGTGTCCTTTCCAACCAAGCTGCCTCGCTGATGCTCTCCTCCAGGCAGGCAATTCTGTTCGCCAACGTTGAACCCCCGCTTCCGCTATTAACACCCACGTTTTCGCTTTGCCATCGTCGACATGCTGAGAGTAGTCCGATGTCACTTAGAATAAGTGTGTGAAAAGGCCGTTTTTCTGATGGAATTTCTGGCACTATCAGCCCACCATCATGTAGCCAGAGTTTCGAAATTAAATATGGTTGCCTAAAACGTAAATGTTACTTAAAATTCATAAGTAGCTATACAAAAAGTATTTTCGCCATTTATTAACCTCATCATTTCAATGAGAGGTGCATTGGTTTGATCTTAATTCTATTAGTTTTTATTACAAATCCCGAATAAAGTTACAAACAGTCAAATCATTTTACTAAACAGACATCTAATGTTGCGGTTACTTAAGTATCAATCCAAAATTAGAATGAAAAAATCATTTGTCACACAAAGATGTTAACCTTTCGGGTGTCTTAGCTCATGATGGCGAAATTACATAATTGATCTTCCACCTGGCTAGTATCTTAAAGAAACAAGTCAAACAATTGTGCGATGGAATCTCAGATAGAATTGCAAAATCCTCTCGACCTTCATTTTATATTTGGACAAGTGTATCATAAACGTTGCCCTGATAAAACACTAGAATACCTTTACTAGGGCCTTTATGCTCTAAGTGCTTATCTCGCAAGTCACTTCATGACCGACACAATAAAATCATGCAAGTACGCATGTCCTCAGCCAGTGACCTTTTTCATCCCAAAGAAAACGAAAAAGGTCATCTTGTGACGTGGCACCTCGGATCTCACCTCATCCCACCTCATTCACCTTTGCGTGCTTCTACGCTGTGTGGCTGAATAAATCGAACACAACTGTGATTTAGATGCCAAGGTTTACCGCCCAATGGGAAATTATTTCAAAACACTCCTCCGAAACTTGACATATTTTCAGAAACCTGGTTGTTGCGTTTCATAGACCCTGGGGGATTACTTTTTCATCGTCAAAATTAGGAAAGACTGCAGGTCTTTTTTCGTTCTGTTGCTGAAATGCAGCTCATCAGGGATATTGCAATGCCCTAAAAATACAGGTCCCTGGATGAAAGATTGATTTAAGTCTACTGCAAAAATGATCGTTTAAATGGATACTTGGGGAAATGAACACATGAGAAAGTAAACAGTTCATATCTACACCGACGTTTAGAGTGACTGTCTGAATTACCACATAGTTGAACTTTTCGGAATATAATTTAATTTTATTGGCCTACTTCATTAAAGACTGCCATATCATTGTGAAGCGCATTCGTTACATGATCTTTCGTGGCTCAATTCCGCTCTAGGTGGTTTTTCAAGTTACCTTCAACTCACTGCTACTTGTGGATCCAATTGGACTACGCCAGGCATTCTCAAAGGCGCCGGAGCAAAAGTATTGTAACTCAGTTATGCATCACTTGATATGCCTAAGCCAATAAGGAAAATTTATGATGCCTTCGTGAATTGTGTATCAATAAGTGAATCCGTTTAGCTCTTTCTAGTGCCGCTTGGTTTTGTGGTATTTACACAGCCACATTACACGTGGTGATGTCTACGGACCGTGCAAGGCTTTCCGCAAGACTGCAGTGACGTACTGCTATTCAAACATAGGTAATAGCTGCTCTTAAGTTTGTATAAGACGCAAACGGACCAGGATAGGTTAAGTCTTCGAGGTAATGTGAGTGCAATCATCAAAGTCTTCCTTTCAAAGAAAAATTTGGGTACCAGGGTTTTTTTAGATGCGAATTCAAATTAACCGCTACCATCTTACCTGGAATAGGTAATGCAACACACTTACAATCAAAAACTCTGAATCGGTGACAGAACCTGAAGTACTTTATCGGCCCGTTCACGAACAACTGCGTAGCCATAAATCAAGGAACATTCGATGAACCGCGTATTAAACTAAATTCTCAGTCACTGTGCTTAATCAATTTATCTTAAGTTCTATTTTACAGAGTATTCCTAAGATATTATTTTACAGAATATTGAAGGTTTGGTTTCTGTAGAGTAGCCAATTGTACAGTTTTGTGAGTGTTCGCAGACAGTCAAACAATAAAGAAGAGGTTGAGTGGCATCAGTGCACACCAAAATTATTTCTGAGAAAGCAAAGGGAGTGTAATCAAGTTGAACAATAACTTTCATTATTGGAATCACCATTTCCCATTATGAGTTTCCTCTGAGTGGTCACTCCTCCACTTGTTCATTTACAGTTTACCATGAGAACGAAAGGAAAAGCAACACTGCAATGTGAAAATCGCTCTACAAGATGCGCTAATCAACGCCCTACACGGATGTTGGAGAAAACGTTTAGTAGCCTTAGCAATGATTCCATAAAATGACTTGGCGAGAGTATTTTTTTGAGGGATCACCTGATGTAAAACCATTATGGAACGCTGTTGGTTTAGAAAATTGCGTCGGTAGGCGGTAGTCCGTATTACAAAGGGCTATCGAAAAAGTCCTATATGAACCTATAACTTTTTCATCTTCTAGTGAGAAGTTATTTTCAACTTTGACCAGTCCCTGGGTATGGGCGAGCGACTTTGGACTGGAGAAGTATTGCGTGTAGAGCTCTCGCGTGAATCGCAGGCAAGTTTAAGCCACACTAAACGTTTTGCTTCTTGGCAAATGTCTATTGGGCAGCGGTGCTTATAGTCACGCGCTTCTAGAGGAGCGACACGCGACGAGGTCTTATGCTGCAAAGTGGCGTTGAGACATCGCAGATATGACTCAGTGGCGATTTGCATGGTTTTCAGCCTCGTATTGTCCAGGCAACTTGTCCGAGCCTGGCGTTATGAGCTAGATGCAAACACAGGCCAAAATGAAGTAGTGTGAAGTTGTTACCCGCTCACCAGACCAATTCGTGTGTTCTGTTTAGCTTTAGAAGTTGGAAAGCAAGTGCCCTCTGTTACGTCTAGATGGGCTGGATACAAATGATGCAAAAAAATGACTTAATCACTATAAAATATTCTGGCAGAATGACGTCATAGATATGCTCATCTATCTCAATTCAGTTTATCTGGACTGGCACAGCCAAGGAAAACACGCTTCTGTTCATCTATTTGTCTTCCTCTACAATTTGGACAAACAAAATTAAAAGCTTAATTAACGTTACTGATACTCTTCGAAATAATTGTTACTT